AATATTATAGTACCGAGGACATTGCTTGTCAGAACAGGCACGTGGCACAGCTAAGAAGGTAAATAAGTAAAGTAAATACAAGTAATTATTTTTTCATAAAGTGATATTATGATGCTGGGTGCCATTGTACTAAATATAATGAGAGCAAAATAATAAACTTAATTACAGCATTAAAAAAAATCTTTCAAGTTTGCGCCTAAATAAGCTAGAAATCTCAACTTACGATACACACAGATAAACCACAAATTAATTGCATTTCTATTTATACTTATTAAATTATTAGTTAAACTTAAAACCATAAATTAAATGTTCTTATATTCATTAAAGAAAAATCACAACGGAAAAATGATAGTAAAGATTCATTAGCGCGTCGTCCAGCGGCCGACGGCGGCTCGCAACCGGTAATCAGTCACAAATTAATAGTTAGCCACAAGGGCGAATCAAACGAGTTTTCTTTTGAAAAATAAATCAAAAATAAAAAAATATTATTTTGCAATTACTTAATTTTTGATTAGGACTTAATTTAAATTTTTGAGATTTACCTACCTATCTATACAAATATATTTATCAAATTGTGTTTATAATATGTATTGTATTTAAACTTTAAATATTAAAGTTATATGTATGTAGTGTATCAACTATCTGGTATCCATAATACAAGCCTTGTAGCTTACCATGGAACTAGATGGTGCTGTGTAATAATGTCCCAACATATTTATTTATGATTTATTTATTTAAATTAAAAAAAATAATGTCTTTTTTCGTATAACTTATGAATATTCCTTTTTTAATATATATTTTGCACAAACACTGTCATGACAAAATATGAATAACAGCAAAAAAATGATGTCATTAATAGGTAGGTAGAGGAATGATAATAGAGGATGATAACAAAAGGCAATGACAGAATGGATGGATTGAGCTCGCACAATGGCGGGCGGCGGGACACACGATCTAATCTAATCACAAAGCGGTGCCAAAACAGGCCATTCTCTGAAAGCTCCTCGCAAACAAACAGACATTCGACGACGCCGTGAAATGGATCCGGAAGAGGCTCGCCGGTGTTTGGACAGCGGCACAATGCGCACAATGCCGGCGGATGCTTCGAAACCGAGCACTAAAACCTTTGAGGTGTCTCAACCCCTAATGACGTAAATCGAAGCTGCACTCTTTTGTTTTGTTTCCGATAAGCGCTCGCAATCTGCGCCTTATACTCGTATTACCGCCTTTAATCATTGACGCTCTAACGACGGCTCAATCAATGGCACCTCCGCCCGTAATCAATACGCCTTTACGCCTTTCATTGCGGAATAAAAATGAGAGAAAAGTTTACATTATTGAGATTCGAGGAAATTGGCGCCTAACGAGCCGGTAACCCGACGCGTCGCCCTCGCCGCTCTCGTCTCCGAGCATTATATCTGATATCCACTGAGTCACTTCAAGTGTCGAATTACTTGTCACAAGCAGACGATGACTGTTAGTGCTCTTGTTATTCATTTATACTTTCATAACAGACTTTACCTCAACAAAATTTTTAGATAACAATGCATTACATACTGTAAGTATATTGTCTTTAGGTAGGTAACTGTTACATATACTGTACAATTATAACATGACGTGATTCATCCATACCCCATATTATAAAATTATAAATGTGAAAATAACTTAGTCTATGTGTTTCTTACCTTTCCACCCTTAAAACACTGAACAGATTTCTATGAAATCCAATAAGAACTTAGACTATCCTTTATCCCCGTCCCGATTACCAGGCGAGCGGACCCGCGGCAAAAATCTGGTTTGTAATACATGTGATGGTTTTGGTATTTCTTTAAACAACAATTGACAACGAATTGACGACCTGAAAAAGACATGAAAGACATGATGTAAACTAATTTTTATCCAAATATATACATTATACATTTATAACAATTAATGGTTCTCATAGTACTCGTAGCTACATGACACAAGACCTGAGTGAGATAATGGTAGACACTGTAATAAACAGCATTTAGGGCAAACTAGTTTTGATTCTCTAGTTCTAGTTATTTGCGATATGATCGGCTAATTCAGCCTAACCCATACAAGTTCATACTAAGTAAAACCAACAGTCCTAATATGAATGTAGTCGCCAAGCAATTACCTAAATGAGCCACTCAATGAAATGGATACAGTAAGATACATAAACTTTCGTTAAATAAATTAAAGCACAATATATGTTAAAGGCGTGTCTGTTTAAACGCTACGTCTTTACGAATAAACTAAAATAACAATTTAGGAGTGCCGAGTCATCGTGCATGAACCTTTACATACAAAGTCCAAGATACAAACACCCCTACAAGGAGTAGGGGTGTGTGTATCTAATATCTTGTATCTAGTTAGGTACTTCATTAAACTAGTGGGTGGGTACAAAAAGTCAGAAACATACGCATTTCTTTTAAACAAGCCTTTTAAACTTTCATCGCTTTTAAACGAAAGATCAATAATGAGCTTATTTAAATAAATTACGATTACTTCCTATCTACTTTGTAACATCGTTAGCCAATTTTTGTAATGAATAATAAATTTATCACAAATATGTTAGGACTCTACTAGATATACTCGTATGTCTTTAGCCTACTTCGTCTTTAGTATAGGCTAAGTATAACTAAATATGCTGCGGTGTTTTAAAAAAAGATACGTACCTACCTACGTTAAGAAAATAACGTAAATAAAATAACTCTTCAATTTTATTAATTATTAATAGATTACTAATGAAATATAGTTGAAGAAAGTGTATTTTGTTTTGTTTAGTCTTCTCCATAATTCTACATGTAATAGACGAAGTAATCTGTGCTGAGCTTACTGCCTGCAGACTTCGAAAAACTTCTAAAATTTTAGCCTGTGTAACATCACGTTGAGCGCTTTAGAAAAGTAAAAATAATAGATACATAAAAATAACTTTAGCTGTAGATATTACTATACTCGTATACCTACCTTGGTACTCGGTGGTGTTAACTCGATGGCTAAGTGGCTTGCATGTACCGCTGCAGACCCGGAGGGCCTGTGTTCAAGTCCCGGGTCGGGTCAATAACAGCCTGGAGTGACAGAAATAGAGAGTGCACTTGTGTTTGCACACATACATATCTACTTGTGCACTATGCATCATGTCTGCGCAGTTGGCAAGTCTCAGCGAGATTGACCGAAATCGGTCAGGAGGACTGATGTCCTCCATCATACTATTAACTATATAGGTACTCACATAGATGCGAAAGTATGTTTGTTAATTTGTCCATTTAACAGACGTTTGGGTAGGTAATTCAACAAGTTCGTAACTCTAGTGATTAAGTAAAGTACCTACGCAAAATTTAATTAACCAAGTGACAATTGATCTCTAACTTTTATTACTAAAGATTCTGTTAGGTACCTTATTTTTCATGTTGAGGAAACTTATCATGAGGTCCCTGCCTTCCGTCAGCAGCAGGGGACTGTGAGATTCTTCGCGACAATTGCAAGGATAAAACGTTGTAGAATTGTTTTTACATAATAATATACTTACTACAATGCCAAGCGTAAGAGTTAGTTACCTTGTGTCATGGGTACACTCAGGCGTCACGCCAGGCGCCTTTACATAAGAAAAACCCAGAGCCCTTGAAGAGTAGGTAGACTCTGAGGGCATAGAATAAGGGTGTATAGTGGCACCTTTAATTTTAACGTTTTCTGTCGAAAGATTGCTAAGCAATAACCAGCCAAAACTAACTTAGTACCTAACTGGTTTCTACTTACTTTACTTTATAGTTCTATGAATACAAATGCTTAACCAACTTCCAAAAAAGGAGGAGGTTCTCAATTCGTCGATTTTTTCTATGTATGTTCACCGATTACTCGAAGACGCCTGTATCGATTTGGATTTTTTTTTGTTTCGAAGGGTATGCTTCCCAGATATGATGTCATTTAAATTTTAATGAAATAAATATTTTTTTAAATAAATAGCTTAATCGAATATGTTATAAAAAACTTTATGGTGTATTTTACGTATCGAAATATATTTGATTTGCTTTGCATCAGCTGGAGAACACTAATACACTAGTATTTCCCATCTTTAAATCTAAAGACGTGTGTTCTATATATAGCTTTATGGTCGCTATAGTGATTGGATTAGAACATGGCGTCGTTGTGATTGTGAAGTCAAAGCTTACTGTAAAAGCCCCCTTTAATTCCATAAGAGTAGAGTCTTATGAGGTTTTTTGTACATTCTTGGCTGTTAATGTGTAGGTTGCGTGTTTTTTTTCTAAAAGCATCGAACCGTAGACAACAGTGAAAAATAATTTTTGAAGCTAACCAAAGAGAAAGTACGCCGATAAAATCAAATTATTTTTAATATATATTAAAGCATGATAACGTTGCCTATTTTGCTTTTTATTGTTCAGTTCAATTCTCTTGCTAATAGCTTCAAAGCATGCCAGTTGAGCACAGATTGGGTACTTCGTCAATGTCACGTAGAATGAAGAAATCTCACCTTCGTGATTTAGGATACTGGTCGGTAAATTAAGATTATCAAGCCTGTTATTGTACAATCGGCCCGACCGCGTCTTCTGAACGCCGCCAGGGGTACTACGATGAAAATGATTGATGAATGATGATTAGAAGACCACCACCTCTACCACCTTCTACACATCTATTTTACTTCTTAAATACATATAAGCAAGCTCTCTAAAAATTAATGTGGAAAAATTTTAAATATACTTATTCTTATACAAGAACATTTTATAATTTTGAATATATTTTTAACAATATCATATTATATAAATCATGTGTACATAAAAATCTATGTATAAATAAATTTAATAATTTACATAATCAATTGCGAAATATATATTATACATCAACAATAATAATCAAATGGAATAACGGAACGTAAACTTCAAAGACAAACGTCAGCGTCACTGTCTGTGTCTGCCCAATACAATAAAATTTCCTAACCTCACATTTTTATAGAAAAGTAGACTGTAAACAATTTTAAAATGTTTAAATCCATAATAACTAAATTAAATAATATCCATTCGTGTGGATTTCACACGACTTCTTGTTTAAATGAAGTACAATTATTGACTCGACTCCGAGTAGTGGATAACTCTGAGATAGGAAAACGAGCGATGGCGGAGGGCAAACCACCTAAAGTTATTTGTGTTTACAATAAAAAGCGTGAGTTAATAAGAATAATTTTACTATTGAACTAAATAGTAGATTATAAGGAGAGACCATTAGACTTGCACAATAATAATGTCTTAATTATTATGTGTTTTCATTCACTTTTCAAGCTGTGATGATTATACTTACCAATGCTAACTTTTTCTTCAGGTATTGGCTACATAGGTGACAGAGTCATGGTAGCTATCAAAGGTCAGAAAAAAAAAGGAATTCTAGTTGGATTAAAGCAGACACAAAATGTTAAAGTGCCAAAATTTGATAGCAACAATATAGTCTTAATTGACGACAATGGAACTCCTCTCGGAACTAGAATCCATGTTCCGATACCAACCATTTTAAGAACAATTTTAAAGGAAAAAACACATGCCAAAGGAGCTGATTATACTAAACTGTTGGGAATTGCAACAAGATTTGTGTAGGTAATTAACTTATTATAAGTAGTGTTATGTATAAAGAATAAAGTTATTTAGTATTTATGACTAATTACTATTTAAATAAATAAAGGTGTTATTATTGGTTCTTGATGTTAAGAAAATGTTATCTAGTAAACATTATATCTAAATATCATATAGCCCCTTGAGAGCTATGAACAAAAGAATTGCATTGGGCATTTTTATTACCGGAAACACAATGTCTAAATAAATATTAATAAATATTTAGGAAAAATAATACTCATAAAGAAATTTGAAAATTTATTAAAACTTATTATCAGTTCCAATGGAGAACAGACTTATTAGGACACGCTACCTACCAATGAGATGAGTAGACGACACAACATCAACTACAGTAAACATTTTATATCCTAAGTAGATTAGTTACAGTACAGTCGCTGTGGGAACCACGACATTTACACCCTTCCCCATCTTACTTTCATTAGCAGTGTCTTTTAGTTCATAAAATTTCAAATTAAAGGAACAATACTCTTAATTCCATTTCTAATATACTCTATATTATGATCTTATATAACATGGTAAATAGAAAAATAAATATTAAAAAAAATAACATGATTTTATGTGATCTTTTTATTTGTACATTATTTTATCCCATTAAAAGATTAAAGCGCACTTAGCCTGGATCTCAGACTATTAGAACACAACAATCAGGCCAAGCTTTAAAACAACAATAAGTTACTTTCATTTCTTTGCCGAGATTACTTCACATAATACAAAATTGTTACATATTTTCCACATAAACTTCACAGTCGTAATTCACCTCCACCTATTATCGCAATTTCCGTAATTATGTTTTATTACATAACTCTAACAGCCATTGTTTGTTTCAAAAGCAATTATTATAATAGTCAGAAGCAATAGAAACATAAAAACTACTCAAGTCAAGTGTTTAATGTCGTCGTTCCCCGATAAGGCTTTTATTTTATACCTATTATATATTTTTTTTAATTTTCGAATTATAAATAATTAGATAGTGGTCACAAAGAAGTCTTTACTGACTTAAGGTCAGATCATGTTGCAAGTTTTAAAATATAAGGTGGAATCCACATCATCGTAAGAGTCTCGGTCCGGTCCCACACCTTCGAGACGTGCCCTAACACTTGCATTTTTAATGTGACGGAAAATATTCATAACATTCTTCGACCGAGATCGAACCAAGACTTATTGTTGTGGATGATTTCATAAAACATAACAAATTGGTGAATACTTTATTTTCGAAATATAACGGATAACGCTATATATGTATATATTTGCGTAAAATATTAAATCCACAACAAATGTGACTAGATATTTAAGATTCACGTGCGCTACTAAAGTATTGTGAGGTGCCGCCGACCACAGCTTTACACTTCAATTGTGTCCACACAGCTTGTTTATGACTACGGGAAGAAACTCAGACTGCTTGATTCACTAATATAAAATAACATCTCGTCACCTGTAACCTGTCCCACCATCCCCTCAACAGCTGTAACCTGTCCGAGCCCTACCTCACTAAATAAATATTCGAATATTACCTCTTCCCAGCTGAATGGACACAATCTGCTTAATTATTATAATAAACAACACACAACTAGTGGAGACAATCCATCATTTAATAAAACGTTTGATAAAATATAAACATTCCAGGCGATCAGCTAAGGGATACTTGAATTTCTGCGAAAATGAATTTGATGCAAATGACTTATTTGCTGTTTGTTTTTTACCATTTTATCGTAAGTCCTAAACGCGCCTAACTCATCTTTCATATTTACCAATATAGTCTGTCGTTGCGAAAAAATATACAATTTCAGTAAATTATGAAATTATATTACTTTTATATTTATACAATTAATTATCTAAAACCGCTATTTATACACACAAACGTTCGTTATAAAATTAAAGTACAAATATCGACAATCCTGGAATCGGGGCCACGTGTGGTCATCCAACTCGCACCAGGAAAATCCCGCCTAACGTATAAAAATAACTGGTGTTAATAATTAATGTTGACCAAAATCCCAGTATCTTGTTACCTAAATATAAAAAATTCTTATTTAAGTAATGAAATCTTTTATCTATCGCTGATTAACATGATATACCGTCGAGGTACGAGTATGTTCATATTTCGATACTCCGTGACGAATTTATCCGATATCATCGCTACTTTGTTATGATTAATTTGACAATTTGCAGTGTTTAATATTCGCCTATGAATAATAATATTTTAACTGACGGTACGCAAATCGTAAAATTCGTAAAATTAAACAACAGAGAATTTATAAAAAAATGCCATTAATTAGCTGGTAGGTAATCGTGATTCGTATTATCAACGTACGTAAGTAGCCTAAAATGTTATCAGTAAATTCGCCACTAACAAATAATGATATGTAATGAAAATATAACAATTTGTATGTATATATAAACAGCGAGTCAGCAGGTATGGCGCCGGCGGACGGACGCGGACGGGGACCTGGCGTGTGTATCGTCCATTACAATAAACTGGCGTCCCTTTTTCGAATTGTTCATGAATTATTGCCTAAAACCTTTCTAGATAATATATCTTTCTATCGGTGAAAATTGTTCGAAAATCAATACACTAGTTTCTGAGATTAGTCCGAACAAAAAGATAATTAGCGCGGGACTTGAATTTTTAATATTATTTGTATAAAAGAAATAAATGCATCTATGAAGATATCACTTTTAAAATACGGTAAATCAATGCGCCGCGCTCTGCTTCTCAATTAAGAGACTTAAATTTGTAGGGCAATTTTTGAGTGTAATTGAAAACTGGCCGAGTGGTTCTCATCTCATGTCTGTTTCAACTCGATCCAACTGTGGCCCTATGATTTTATATAGCAACAAACATTGACCTATTTTTGTATATAACAGTTAATAGAAATGATATAAATGTCACATTTTAACTTGTGACAGTTTCATTTAATAATGGACGATACAATTGCGAGTGTAGTGTGTGGTTTTTAGGTGAATTTAAACTGAAAGAATTTGGGATCCAAAATTGTATAAATAACTTTTGCTATACACTTATTTTATTCGTATTAAATTCGGATAAAGTTGCTCGATGATGAAAGTGTTATTTTTACAGTCGTGTTATATGCAGGACGCGACATCGACGCATGCCATTTTATGATTGCACTGCAATAAACAAAACCATAGAGGAAATTCTGCTCGTAAATTATACACTAACCTTGTGGCGAAAGAACAACTCGTTCCAAAATAACTTTCTGTCGGCTAATATATAAGCGAAGACAAGGTTTTTGTGCTACTTGCGGACAACATTTACGAAGCATAGCGATACAGGTATTAAGTTACGAGACTAAAGGCTCGTACACACACGAGGAAAGCGCCCTCTGGCGTGCGGGAAGGACTCTACACCAATCTACGATCGACTCGTACTGAAACCGACACCTAATCTTGTAACATAAAATACTAAATAACAATATGAATTAAAATTATTGCAACAAAATTATAAAAAAAAATTACATTCCATTTGACTACAATAGTTTCGCTAACGATGTAAATCTACAATATAAAGTAAATATATTTGTATGTCTTATATTAAGTAGTAATATTTGATGATGGCGACCACCCCCCACCCCACTGCGCCCACGGCTTTGTACTTCAACAACAACAAATGTCCGCACTTGTCACGAGCCGCTCGTTTTAGCCTCAACATTAAGTAACATGTGACGCACGGACATACAAATCCATTATTTCTTTTCATATAAGACAAAATAGAAGAAGATCGTTTAACATTTAAATTCGAATATAACATTAGATAGTGGACTAGGGTGAGAGCTGGGAGGGCTTGGCTTGGGAGTGGCCCGCAATTTGTATAGTGTTCTAACTAGAGAAAGAGGATCCAACGAATGGGACATGACTACTCTCCACACAGATCTCGAGAAAAGCGAAGACGACGATGTACGACTTGAAAAGTCCTGCACGCGACTATGATAAGATGTGAATGTTGATAACCCTGAAATCTCAATAGAAATAATATGGCAAGAGACTTTTCTCGAAGAAATAGTGGAGAATGCGGTAAGTCTAGACGTCTACGACCATTTTCTTGTGTATGTCGGTATTGCCCACCACGTTACAGAACTCCTCGAAGGAGATTTTGCCGTCTTCGTCCTTGTCTGCAAACAGGATCGTCTTGTCCACGATCTGCTGTAACTGCGTGTCCTTCAGGTTGTTCCCGACCATCATTTTGAGAACCTGGAAAATGTTAAACACACATAAAACAATACTTTCTTAAATTTACGCGAATATTTGGCTTTGAATAAAACTATCTTTTTATGCTGTATAGTATTCATTGGAACGTTGGAAATCAAATCGAAAAATCCGAAAGGGTTATTTTATTAGAAATATACAACTTCAAACTACAGGCTACTAATATTAATGTCGTCTTCACTGCCGTATATATTTTCATTTGACAGTTGGGAAACTGCTTTAGGGTTAACGGTGACTGTTATTTTCCAAGAATTGGGACTACAGTGCTTTAATTTCAATACTAATTGCTACGATAACAGGTATTTTTGACAACCCTTGCTTTTAACAGAATTTCCATTCAACTGAATTGGCGATCGTCTAATATACTATGATAGAACCTAAACTATACTTTCTGATTATAACTACAATCTATACATATAATAAAATTGTAACTAAGTCGAATCTGTACATTAAATACTTTTTGGAAAATCTAATTGAAATAGACATTATTATCGATACAGAGTCCGAATCTATAGTTTTTAGAATTTTTGTCTGTCTGTTACCGCATCACGAGAAAACCACTGGACAGATTTTGATGAAATTTGGTATGATGATAGCTGGGTATCCGGGTCAACATATAGGATACTTTTTACCGCGGGAAAATATCTCATTTCTGAGAAAAAAATACAAAAACTGCATTGCAAGAGTGTACTAATATGTAAAACCTCAGAATTTGGTTTTTAGTCACCTGAACGCGGGCGGAGCCGCAGGCAATGCTAGTATCTTATAATAATATAATGGGTGTCTCAATAAAAGTGCACTACTATTTAAAATTTGTATCATATTTTTTTGTACACTTGTACCTGTTGCCACTTGGCAACTCTGAAATTTGACAACTGTCACCTATGATTATTCCGATTATTGAAAATGGGAGAAAGAAAAGAAGAACACATTAAAATTGTGAAAACCGATTATAAATGGGGAGATGTCTCAGCGTAACTGAACGTTGAGTGAACGGCCTTCTTAATAGGAATTAGGAACATGATAAAGAAGTTTTTGTGGTCTCAACTGGAGAACATGACAGTGGTTTCAGCACGACGTCGCCACCTGCCGCACCGCGAATGACCATCGATTTATTGCAACAACGATTTCCAGACCAAATCATCTCACGAAATTCAGACGTCAAATGGCTACCAAGGTCATGTGATTTAATACTGTGCGATTTCTTTCTTTGAAGTTTTGTGAAATCCCGTGTTCCTTAACTTAAGGTCGAACGCTTCATCAATGAGATACAGCCACATCTTTGTCAAAAATTCGCAAATTTCATGAAAAGCGTAAAGGCCTTTGCCGGACATTTTATTCCATATTTAATGGGGACATGTGTACTGTACAATACAATAAAAATATCGCAACTCAATAAATACGTACTTTTATTTTTAAATGAAATAGTGCACTCTTATTGAGAAGATATTAAATAGTTTAATATGCTTTGAAAAATGTGTAACTTTTATTTGCACAGTCTGCTCTATGTTGGCAAGTAAACAGTTGGAACTTACAAACAATAGTTAGAAAGAAATAACATAAATATTTATGTTATATATATATATATATATATATATATATATATATATATATATATATATATATATATATATATATATACATATATATTACAGCTTTGCAAAACCTTTTGTGTGTATTTACTATTTAATATTCCATTTTACAATCTCTAGTGACATAAATATTACTACGAAGTTTTAAAATTCTGTGCAATTGATACACAAACGAAACGTCGAGGCTGACCTATTTATTTGACCTAATTTCTAACATTTTGTCTCCTTTCTCCCCAGGCTTTATTGCTCTTGCTATTTATTGAAGCTAATTTAACAGATATTTTCACAATATTCGTAAGCTCGACAATAATAATTTATAGCAATTACATTAAAATATGAGTATTATACCATGAATGAATTATATATTGACCACTAATATTGGCGAGATATAAAGTAAAAATTTAGTTAATGGAACAGACTATCGTGTAAAACACAGGCTCGGCCTAGTTACTTATGCTTTGTTAAATTGTGAATAGTGAAAGTAAATATTGTATGTAATTTACTTACATTTTAATTATTCAAAGACAGTCACCTGAAATAGTTCGCCGTTAGAGATGAAGCCGTCGTTGTCCATGTCGTAGATGCGGAACGCGAAACGCAACTTAGACAGTTTGTCTCCCTTCACGCTGAACTGCGACACTCCCTGGATGAACTCTTTGAAATCCACCTTTAAACATATATTGCAAATCATTATATACTTGACACCTCCAGGTAAATTTCTAAGAAATTATTTAAAATTCTAAGAAATCTATTGTTAACTGACACGCCGGCGTGTCCGCGGTCGTGGAGGGAATAACTTAATCAATAGTCGCAAGTTTGATCCCAGTTGTGGTCAAATATTTCTTTTATTGCTATAAACAAAATATGTTCGAGTTGAGGACTTTAAAAAAAATTGACATCCTACTAAAAGTGTAAATTAATTCTTACCTCATTATAGCTTAAGATAAACAAGAAAGATTATTCCTTACTTATAAATTAGTGGAGGGCCGTAAGTCATAAAAATTGTAAAACCTCGGAATTGCAGGGAAAGCCAATAAATCATAAAAACTGTTCTATTGCATTGTTAAAAGCTCAAATAAAAAAGTTAAAAATAAAAAATTGTGCGATCTTGATTACAACAATTTACTGAAAAATGAGAGGGAAAGGAGAAAAAATTTTTAAAGTAAAGGTTTCAATTTTATACCTAAAAAATATATTTGTATAGTTCCTTTAATGAAAATTTATTAATATTTCGCAAAAAATAATCAAGATAATAAAAATGTATACTACTCATACTTATATACTACTAGCAGAACCCGCGGCTTCGCTCGCGCTATAACTACAAAAAATCTTTAAAAAGGTAGTTTCATAGAAACTTTCATCCAAAATATTACCCCCTTATAGAATGAATTTCGAAAAATGCTAACACACGTATTTATTTAATTTTATTGAAGAGCATTAATACCAAGATTCAAGTAATTCTGATCATAAATATTTTTTAGATTGTATTATAGTGTTTTCCCGTGGGAATTAGATAATCTCCCGCGGTAAAATGTAGCCTATGTCACTCTCCAGCCCTCCCAACTGTCTCCACACAAATAATCACGCCATCCGTCACTCCGTTTCGACGTGAAAGAAGGACAAATTTTTAAATATATAATATTACATAAGTAAGGAAGTATGGATATATGTATATTAATACATTATCGATCATTATTGTCGTCGTCGTCGATCTCATTGATGTAGATTGTAGGTGAAGGATTATTACAGCCGTTACCATTGAATTCTAAGCAAGCTAAAGTGCAATTTAATCTATTTTTTTTGCACCCAAAAGATGCACCGCATCCTGATTTACATGTACTAAAAATCATTCCCAGTAAGGATTCTGGAGCTAGTAGCTGAGTCATTATTTGCGGTATCAGCATTCCGCATTCATATTTCCAACCCCATTCTTCTGGTGATACTTATTTTCCGAGCCATGTTTGAATTTGCAGATATACTCTTTTGAAGTGTCCAAAAGCGGCATCTGTAGTAGGTGGTAAAGACGGCAGTTTAACGCTGGTATTTTTAGCAGTAGCTTTCAAAAAAGAGTTATATCTTAATATATTTAGATCTTTTATTTTTTGGGGGGCAGCGTATAAAGCAAGAATGCATGTAACACCAGCGTTAAAAATGTCATTAGTATCTTTGCATTCATTTTTAAAAACTGTCACAGTATTTCGTTTCTCGAAATTTTTTGCAAATACATTTTTGCCACGTTGGAAAAAAGCTGACGTCGCGTCACAACTAGTGAAAGCATGTAAGAACAGAATATGCTTTTTACACTCTGGTAATACTCTTTCTAAGTTCTTAGAAGAGTACACTTTTTGCAGTATTTTGCCTTTGGATGGCTTTCGAAAATAAATTTCTCGGTGTTGGTGAGAGCGCAGTCAATAAAACTAAAACATGTACATCCTCGGACACTACAACAATGTTTTCGGACCGCAGGTTAATAGCAGTTTCAATTATTATACTGTCGACATCAGCTTCTGCTTGGCAAGAAAATATTTTAGTATTTCTCGTAACATAACTATGAGCCTGCTCTTATTTTTGGTATTCCCTAAAAATAAAAACAAAAACAGCTACGTGTTCAACCTAGCTAGGGCCCAAGGACGAGTTTGTAATAGTTCTCTTTTCAAAATATAATTTTAAACTAATAAAAATAAAAAAAAAAGCTCCCAAAAATTGATAATTATTTATTTTAATAATTAAAAAATTGAGATCGCGCAAAATATTTTTTTTAACATTTTTCTATTTACTGTTAAAAACACATATCAAAAGTTTTTATATGACATTATTCATTGACCTTCCCTGCAGTCCGAGGTATAAATCTTACGGCGCTCCACTAAATATGTCTTATCTTTAGGATTTTTAAGACTGTGTAATCTATGATTTTTATGAAAGTAAGAGTTCTAATAAATAAGATATAGCATAGGATATTATATTATAGAGTACTAGCTTCGCTCGAGTTCGTCCCTAGGTATTTTTGGTACCTTGGGTTACATTATTGCAATTTTCGTGGGTATCTCTAATTTTTTTGAAAATAAAATATGCCCCAAGTTACTCGCTCATAATGTAGCTTTTGATACGTGAAAGAATTTTTAAAATTGGTCCTGTAGTTTTCTTTAGTTTATCCATTACAAACACACATACAAAAAATCTCTCTATATTAGTTTAGAAGTATAGTTCACCTCGCCGTTGCCGTCCGCGTCGAAGATGTCGATGACGCGCTGCACGAGTGGGTTCTGCTGCAGCTCGGGCAGCGACATGAACTCGTCGATGGACAGCGCGCCCGAGTTGTCCAGGTCCAGCTTGCGGAAGCGCTTGCCGAGCCGCCGGATCTCGTCCGCGTCGACTGTTTACAGACATCATGTAGCCTCGGAGCCCTATCGCGCCTGCCCTACGTGCGTGCCACACATCTACTACGGCTATCTACAATCCTATCCCATTCGTTGATAAATATTACCTTTTCAAATTTACTTTTTAGAACAAAAAATACATTTTACACCCAATTTTTAGTATCAATCGCGATTGTACAACTAAATATCACTTTCAGTTCGCTAAGTTTATTTACAAAGTTACGCTCTAACCGCTGTTAATGTATTTGCGAAAACAATCGCGATTCGTTTCACATTGTTTTACTCGCGCGAAGTCGCGTATGTAAACGGAATTCTAATTATCGCAACCAACACATAGCTATACATACTACGTAGTGCGCGCCAACAAAGCCGTTAGAATCGATAAAATAAAATGTATTAATTGGGCGGTGCCACTGTATACTGTCCGCTAGTGGGCCCGAGCGCGCCTCACTAGTGCCGGGCGCCCACGTGCCGTCTCTAGTACCTGCTATCTATAATTAACATACAAAGCTATTCTAACGTTCCCGTGCTCTAAGCTCGCGTCCTGCCGCCTGCCGGGCCACAGCGCCCGGCCTACAGCTAACGGAAAATACTAAGCAATGAGAGAAGTCAGATACAGAATCGAAATTTGCCAAGGTTTCAAAAATAACAAGCCAGAACAAATAAATCTACACAAAATTAACACAAAGAAAATTTTAGAGTTAAATATATGTCTTTACCATTAGCAAAAATCTTTATTTAGATTAGTTGATGTATAATCCGATTATCTAGCTTTGCTTGGTATTGAGACAATAACTGACATCTCCCATCACACACATTCCTCACATCTGTACAACATAATCATCACAAACATTCACAGTCTAACTTTACTATAGGCATGGGTGATGCGGATGCACTAGCCCAAGTCATTCAATGTACATCCAGAACAATTTTTACATTTAAGGAAAGATAGAAGATAAGAAAAAGAAAATAAACATTATGTTTCTAAAACAAACATTCCGATAAGCTTTCATCTAAGATCTATGACGTGCAGCACTTGACACAGATAACATTTAACAAACATTTTCTTATTTTTCTTTTACTTTAAAACCTACCATTAAAGAAGAATTATTCAAAGTAAATTTCATATAATTATATATGTACATATATAAATATTTGTTACAAGTCTTACAGGAAAGAAAACAATATGAATATTTAATTTATGAAATTTACTCTGTACTGGAACACAATAACGGCAAGCAATATATTTAAGTTATAAATGTCACTCGTTTATTAAAAGCCTCTTTATCAACATTCAATCAATTAAATGAATAATGAACTTTCTAAATAAGGCTTTCCTATAAAAATATTCAAATTAAAATATTATATTGACCAATATATCCATAGCTATGTGCTGATTTATTACACTTTTTGAATACTGAATATTAAAAAAAATTGTTCTGGATATGGGGGTGGGACGTGTATGTGCGGTGTTAACATGGAGATGAACATCAGCGAGTGACACTACGACACTCACAGTTCTCCACCTTAAAATCAATGCAGTTAACACGTGCTGAAACAAACCTCTTGTTATGCTTCTTACGCTATACGCACACCCTATTCACCACTCAAATGTATTCCACTACTCCTCTTGCACCGTAAACTAACATGGTTTAGTACTGAGGGTCGAAAAATGCTTAAACATAAGTAAATTTTATACTAATCATTACAAAGGGGGTTATTACTCGCAGGGCACTTGTCTGTTTTAAAAAAGATTACTGGTAACAGAAAATAGTATGCAATGAAACACTGGTTATAAGGCAAGTAAAATAATCACGGATAGGTGAAGAAGAAACTTGCTATATCAACGTATATACTTACAGTTCGAACAAAGCTCCATAGGAATTGAATTTTCGTTGCCCTGTAAATGACCATAAAGTTCAATTGCAATAAAAATTGAAACTTTTGTAACAATCTGTTTCTAAACTATTAAACAATATTATAAGTTTCGAATAAGGCAAAAATATTTTTATTTTATTGCAATATTGCTAAAAACCACCGGTTTACACCTAGAAGATCCAATAAGAACAGACGATGAGGAAGTTGAAACTTAGATAACGTTGTGGGACTTACCATTGTGCTGGTTTTATATTACAACCAGTTATGAAAGAATTACAATTAAAAAATTGTACAAATTTTCAATTAAAGTCGATGATATTAATTGTAAATGAAAAACGACTTCTCTGCAGGACACACCATCGATGATCGATCTAAATAAATTTGACAGATTCACAAGAATATATAAACAGTAAAATGAAGATTATAAATGAATTTATACAATACATAGTTTACTTGAAATATATTTATAATAAAATATATGACTATATTTTAATATTATAATCACACACATCCCATTCAATTCAATAGACTAACGTATTATATAATTTTGGGTTTTGTAAATATGGTACAAAAAATAAATATTTCTTAACGTTTTGCGTGCAGTGAATGTCAATGTCAAATCAAGTGCCCTCCCCTCACCCCCTCTTCTTTCTCTTTCCGATAAACCTCAACCATGGCGGCCGGGGTAGGTTTTTATGAACTTTGTAATATCTTTGCAATCCAGACTTTTGAAGGCTGAATGTTAAATAAGGTGAAGCCTTAAACGTATACTTTAGTCATATTTGCGGTTATTTTTTACAGGTACTTTACACTTATCCGGAAAATTTCCGTGCATATAAGGCGTTGATCGCCGCACAGTACTCCGGAGCCGATTTGAAAGTAGCTCCAAGCTTTGTGTTTGGTGAAACTAACAAATCTGAAGGATTCTTAAAGAAGTTCCCGGCTGGCAAAGTGAGTGACCGCTACCTAAGCTGATATAGTGATTGTGTTATCTTACCAGATGTTTTTGACGGTGACGTGTAATGTTTTGGAATTATTTTAGGTGCCAGCATACGAAAGTGCTGATGGGAAAGTTCTTTTAACCGAGAGCAATGCCATCGCATACTATGGTGAGTCACAAATCTTTACGTTTTAATAAAAATTTTTACCTATGAATTCTTAAACCAACTAATTATTTTCTGACTTCATTGTCGAATTTACAGTAAATAGAACTTAAGTATGATTTATCCATATTATTTACTGTCTTGAAAGTTTTAATTACATTAGCAAAGGCTAAGCAAGCTCTTTCAAACAATACTTTTATATGTGCACAGTCGCCAATGCCGCCCTTCGTGGATCAGACGTGGCCTCCCAGGCTGCTATCTACCAGTGGGCTTCATGGGCCGACAGTGAACTGCTGCCTGCCTCCTGTGCCTGGGTATTCCCTTATTTGGGCATCATGCAGTTTAACAAACTAGTAAGTCTGGTCTGATCTGAAGAAATTGATGGAATAAATAAGCAATTTCGTTATATTGATATAACATTGTTAATATTTAATTTTGTACAAAAACAAGTTCTTAATAAAAATAAATATAAATGAAGTACCTTAAATTGAAAGAATTTTTCTATTTATAGTACATAATTTATGAATGAACTTATGCTTAATATATTTCATCAACAGAATGTAGAGCGTGCAAAATCAGACCTGCTGGCCGCTCTCAAGGTGCTAGATGGACACTTGCTCACACGCACCTTCCTGGTCACAGAGCGCATCACACTTGCCGATATCATTGTCTTCTGCACTCTCATCCATGCTTTCCAGGTTTGTTAATATTTATAAATATATATGGTGGTCTAGTTTTGCATAGAATATACAAGAAATAATGAATTCTCAATCTGTTTTCTCACAATGTAGATATATTGTATAAAATGGTTGTTACACAATATTGTATATTATCAGGCAGTTGAGACAACTAATAATGCTTGTATACACAGTAGTGTATTTCCTCCTTTTAATTCAGAAAGTGTTTGTCTAGTTCACTCCTAAACTGTTTTTTATATAATACTTTCTTAGATTTATGCGAATGTTTGACATTATTAAATAAAACTATCTTTTCGGATTATTGTTTTTTATAATTTTTTTATATCAGAACGTGCTGGATGGTCAGCTGCGCGCGTCGTTCGTGAACGTGCAGCGCTGGTTCCTGACGCTGGCGCACCAGCCGCAAGTGGCGCGCGTGGTGGGCGCGCTGACGCTGTGCGACGCGCCGCCGGTCTACGACCCCAAGAAGTACCAGGAGCTGTCTCAAAACAAGAAGGTGAACATGTCATACTCTGAGTACTTAGTGTATAGGATACTAGCGATTTACCATCACTTCACTCGAGTGTGTCCTTACATTTCATTGCTTTATTTCAACCTGCCTCAAATCTGTAAAGAATGTTTGTTGTATGCAGCAGTAAAAGTCTGATCAAGACAAAAATGGTTAAGTTTTACTATCAATAATGCTGATTATTGTAAGATGTATTAATTAGATTTATTTATTTCTATAAGGGTTTCTGATCACAGCCTTTTAGAAATAAAAATTTTATAAAAACTTTTTAACAAAAAAATAAAAACCGACTTCAAACAAAAGCACTAAAAAGTAATAAATAACTGATTGGTAGTTTTCATTTACTATACATACCTAATCAAATATTTTCGAAGTCGGTGTGCTTTGCTTTGTATGGGCTGGCACCGATTTCGAAAATATTGGATTAGGTATGTATTTAATAGGTAGGCTTTAATTACTTAGCCAAAGCACACCGACTTCGAAAATATTTGATTAGGTATGTATAGTAAATGAAAACTACCAATCAGTTATTTATTACTTTTTAGTGCTTTTGTTTGAAGTCGGTTTTTATTTTTTTGTTAAAAAGTTTTTATTTTTCCCTTTTTAGTGTAGACAGTAGTAGAAAAGTAAGGATTCTAACGTGTTAGGCTTGTCAAATCAAACAAAATAAGCCCAAACTCAAAGTATCTACTATTAGCCGTTGAAGAGTTCCACCATCCACCTTCTGGCCTTGCCATCAGATCAGGTCAATAACACCGAACTACTGTACTATCAACGGAAATAGAAATACTTGCAAAGTTTCAAGTCAATATGACAATTAGAAGTAGGTTAAATTCATCATTCGTTGTTTTTCCACCCTTAGGGGTGGTATTTTTTTTTGAAATTTAAATGGGACCAATCTGGAAGTATACCCTTTCAAACGACACAAAAATTGTCCAAATCGGTGAATAAATGACGGAGTTCTGAGGTAACAAACATAAAAAAAAAAAAAAAAAAAAAAAAAACATACAGTCGAATTGAGAACCTCCTCCTTTTTGAAGTCGGTTGAAAAGACCAAACTGATAATGCACCAAGAAAGGACTCTGATTAGCACTATAGTATGGATCGGCCCTAAACAAGTAACAATCACACTCGCAATGGATATAGATATGACATAATAAAATAATATGTATTATGGTAAATTAAATAATGTTGATCAAAATAACTAAAGTAGATATGATATACATTTTCAGGATGGTGGCAAGAAAGAGAAAAAAGATAAGGCAGAGAAAAAAGAACAGCCCAAGAAGAAGGAGCCGGAACCCGAGCCCGCTGATGAGCTGGACGAGAAGCCTAAAGAGTCCAAGGACCCGTTCGACTCCTTGCCAAAGGGGTAAGTTGAATCTACCGACCGAGCTAAAATCTCAAATTAGAAATGTCTAAAAAGTAATTTCAAAAACCAAGCTTTCTATGTCTTCAGATTTTCAAGTGTGAATCTCATTTCTAACGTGATAAATATGCTAGTACTAGCAGAACCCGCGGCTACGCTTGCATTCAATCTACAATAAAAACAAAATTGTTTATACAAAAATTCTTATATCGCGATAAAAAATGGGGGGTGGAGGTAGGAGGGTGAAAAAGACTTTACAACCTATTCTCATACCTACCAAATGTACAAAAAAAACATTAAAGATCGGTCGAGCCATTTCGGAGGAGTGCGACCACAAACACCGTGACGCGAGATATTTATATATTAGACTGTGAGGGAACATGCACTTGTGAAAAACCTAACCAGCTTTCAAAGACATTGAAGTCATTTTATAAAGGGCTGAAACTATATGTTGATGTATTTGAATTATGCTAATTTTCAAGTAATGTGTGCTATATTATATTTATGCACTATGCAAATGAGAGATAAGCATAAAAAGTCACCTTCAAGTTATAAAAAAATGTATATTTTGCCTTTAATAGAATAACATGAAATAATTACTAAGATTATTTTCTTGTCTGTGATATACATTGTACAAATATTCTAGCTAAAACTAGCAGAACCCGTGGCTTCACCTGCTTTCAATCTACAAATATATATATATATATATACATATATATATATATATATATATATATATATACATATATATGCTCGATTTGTTGACATTTTCTATTACTGCTCCACATCCTTGGCAAGTAACAGGATGATATATGGCCTATAGCCTTCCTCAATAAACAGGCTATGTAAAGCAAAAAGCATTTTTTAAATCAGATTAGTAGTTCCTGAGATTAGCGCGTTCAAACAAACTCTGCCTCTTTATAATATTAGTATAGATGAAAGAGTGTAATATGCTATGTATGTATATATGTTATAATTGATGTGAGCGGTGGCTGGCAGCTTGCCCACTGTCCCTGTTGGTTCGCCACTCCCTTGTGATATACCATTAATATGTACTATATATTCTCTGTAATGTTCTTTACTGTTGTTTTCGTCTAGACGTCATTTATTTTATTAGGGCATAAATAATTTATTAAAAATCCGGTCAAGTGCGAGTCGAGGTCGCACACGAAGGGTTCTGTACCATCGTACATATACTTTTTATTAATATTTACTCTATGTATGTAGTATATTAACTTTGATGATTGATTACAAACGTTAAAAAAATGTTTCTTGTATTTTTACTATATAACTGCAATAGAAATACATACACTGAAAATTACAACTCTCTATCTGTTACAAATTTTACTTTTTACAGTTTACCAAAGCGCACTTTATTCAATTAACAATAATGAGTTTTATTAATACAAAAAAAAATTGTAATGTATATGAATGGAGTTCAGATCACAGGTAGTGTAATAAGTAGAGGTAAAGTAATATTTTGATTGACTTGAAGCCGCAACAGACTTTATTAATGTCATTGACACTAAATGGGAGTTAGTAATTATATTACAAGTACTGAGAGCTCTATTTTTAATTCTACACTAACATAAAGATGTAAACTTTGTATGCAGCGGGTGATCTCTGAAAGTATTGATTAGGTTCATTCTTTCACTAATATTTGTATTACCATCGAGTGTTTTTAATTTTTTTTTTAATGATTGAAGTTGGATAGAAATGTCCATTGTGTTGCTTTGTGGGCAATTGCCAATGACATTAGGCACTTAGGGACACTCCCGAGTGAAGCAAGAGTATGCTGCTAGTCTTACAATAAAATGATTAATTTTTAAATAAAACTATCTTTTCGGATTATTTCGCGGATTTATTTTAATTTTTGGTTCCCGACGTTTCGAATGCTTTACAGCATCCATGGTCACGGGAGAGACTGAGGTGTTACATGTCTTGAAGGTATAGTTGTTACAGACAGCCTACCCACAATTAACAAAATGAAAATTGCACCAATTACATTACCATATTTTTTAACTTGAAACATTTTTATAATTTTAATTATAATTGAATATGGAATATTATTTATTTAATTTTTGCTATTATTCTTATAATTATTACAATTTTAAAAATATCAATTAGTAATCTATGTTTAGTGTTGCCATTATTATATTTATAACCATAAAAAAAATTTAAAATATAGTATTAATTATTTAAGCCATATAATTGTTCTATGTGTAATTTAAAAAAGTTAAAATTAATTAAGGATAATAATTTTAATTTAGTTTGCTATTATTTAAAAACAACTTACTAAGCAACACTATTACTATATACTTTTACAAAAAAATCCAAAAATCAAAATAAATACGCGAAATAATCCGAAAAGATAGTTTTATTTTAAAATGTTAAACATTCGCGTAAATCTAAGAAAGTATTAAAATGATTAATTGTCAATATATGATCTCTTAACATTTCCAGTACATTCAACATGGATGACTTCAAGCGCTGCTACTCCAATGAAGATGAGGCAGTGTCCATCCCATACTTCTGGCAGAAGTTTGACCCGGAGAACTACTCCATCTGGTATGCGGAGTACAAGTACCCCGAGGAGTTGTCCAAGGTGTTCATGAGCTGCAATCTCATCACGGGTAAATGTCTCATATTATTAACGTTTTTTATCGTATTCTTTATTTTTATTGTGAGAGAAAAATTACAGTTAGAGCATAGTAGTGGCTTGTTAGTGGTAGACTAGCAGTTTGATGACTGTATTACAAAAGTACATCGAGACTCATAGCTTACTATGCAACTAGATGGTGATGTGTGCTAATGTCACAATATTTATCAATTATTTATATTTAGCTAAATTAGTTTAAATTTTTTTGCTGAAAACTACTTTATACTAAAATTGTTATTTATTTGAATTATATTCAGATGGATTTGATAATCTTGATTGAATTATTCATGGTATTGTGTTATTTTTTATGTGTAAAGCAACTTATTTTGATCGATTCATTCCTCTTGCAACAAGTGGCTGAAATTGTGACACTTCTTATCTCAATGGATTTTTAAATCTTTAAAACATTACTTGAATCTTAAAAAGTAAGCTATGATTAACAAGGAAAATGAATGACTCGACAGCATACTTGAGTCTGCTTATCACATCAGTAATCCGCAACATATTTAGAGCTACTATTTAGACAATGTATAACGTTTCATATTAATGTTGTGTCGTTCTGTACTTATCTTGTATGAAACGGATTGGTAAGATTAGTCATACTAAAATTGGCTTGACTTTGCCTGGGTATGTCCCTAGTGGTTTAACAGTAGTTTATGTTTTATTACAGGTTTATTGTCTATCTCTGTACTAAATTCCATTCAAATCCGTCTATTAGTATGAAGGAGTAAAAAACAAGGACATAACACACATCAAACAGAAACACTGCACACACACACACACAGATCTGTTTGCATGCATAATACGAGTACTGGGTGTGTTGCAGGCATGTTCCAGCGGCTGGACAAGATGCGCAAGGCGGCCTTCGCGTCCGTGTGCCTGTTCGGCGCCGACGACGACTCCTCCATCTCTGGTGTGTGGGTGTGGCGCGGCGCCGGCCTCGCCTTCACGCTCTCGCCCGACTGGCAGGTAACACCGCACCACGGGCAGCTCACTATATGCTACAGATAATCAAAATTAAAGTGTCTGTAATGTCAAAATAACAGCTTCTAAGTAAATGCATATGAAATTATACACGGTACTCACGAGACTTTTAGAAAATAATTAGGGTTCTGCTCAAAAAAATTAAAAATACCTAGGGACGCACCTGAGCGAAGATGTACCGATTTTGATGATTTTTTTGTGTTTGAGTGGGTCCCTGAATGGCTTAAATTCACAATCGGATCCGGTAAGTGACGCTCCGATAGGGTTCCAGGAATATTTCTTTTTATATTTAGATTAGATTTTTTTAATGTAAAGCTAACATTCAGACAAAACAACGTCTGTCGGGTCCGATAATGTGTAATAAAAATATTACATTGTTTAATGTAAACTAATTGATTACTATCAAATTTGAAATAGTAACATCATTAAAAGATTTTAAATATAAAAAAAAAGTTTATCTAAAGAGAATATGAATGAAAAAGAATGCCTACAAATACTCAACCAATTTCAATATAATTCAGCTCATAAGTACGATATATTTTATAATATAACTAAATATGTCGACTACAATTTTAACTAGTTTGTAATATATTACAATGGTGTCCCCAGATCGACTACGAGTCATATGAATGGAAGAAGCTGGACCCATCCAGCGAGGAGACCAAGAAGATGGTGCAGGATTACTTCTCCTGGTCCGGAACCGACTCTAAGGGTCGCAAGTTCAACCAGGGCAAGATCTTCAAGTAAAGCGTCCACCGAATTCGACACCGTCTCACACTTTTGATACTAAAACAATATTTATAAGTGCCAGTGGCAGTGAGTCGGCTCGCTCCTTGTATTGTAAAGTGTAAATGCATTTATGTATCCGCCGCGGGCGGGCGAGACCTCACCTTTGTATCAACTGTAATAAATAAAATTGTTTTTTATTTATAATCTCTCTTTTACTTTTGGCTGCTATCCACTGTTACAAACCAAATGTCAAGCTGTAGCCAGTAAGACGTAGGTACATAACGAAATGAGAAAATATTTGAAAGAGTAATCCATATTTAAAATTATAAATGTGAGTGTGTTTGTTTGTCCTTCTTTCACGTCGAAACAGTCTTGGATTGGCGTGATTTTTTTGTGTGAAGATAATTGGAACGCTGAAGAGTGACTTATGCTACTTTGTACCGCGAGAGATATATCATTCTCACACGTTATAATACAACCCACAACGACTCATCATAGCTTTGTATAATATATAATCTATTATATTCCATACCACAGATCACATAATACTATACTAGTACAAAATACAAATGCTTTATCCCATACAAAGAAATTGGACAGCGCTAATTCGGGCTATTTTTGTTTGCTTGAATAGATATATAATACATGTTGATTCGCAAAAAGTTGAACTGTTTTATTTTTTAAATATGTGCAATCTAAAGAATGGTAAGTATCGTAAAATTCATTCTGAATTTGAATAAAAAATATCAGCGTTTTTAACCATTATAAACAATTCACAAAAAGTAAAAGCGCCATCTATGAATATACACTTAAGAACTTTTGATTGCTTATCCATACTAACATAACAAATGTGAAAGTGTGTTTGTTTGTTTGTCCTTCTTTCACGTCGAAACAGGAGTGACGGATTTGCGTGATTTTTTGTTTAAAGATAGTTGGAGGGCTGGAGAGACAAGCTACTTTTTACCGCGGGAGATTATCTCATTCACACAGGAAAACACGTTATAATACAACCCAAAAAAATATTTATGATCAGAATTACTTGAAACTTGGATAAATGCTCTTCTATACAATTAAATGAATACGTGTTTTAGCATTTTTAATAATTCATCGCATAAGGGGGTAAAATAGAGGATAAAAGTTTGTATGAAACCTATAACCTAACTTACCTTTAAACTAATAAATAAAATAATACGTATATCAGATTTTTATTGCAAGCGAAGTCGCGGGTTCTGCTAGTATTTCAATAATTAGTAAAATTATGCAAATTTGATTTACGGTCGCATTCTCTTCACTCTGAATACTCACTACCCATACTTCTATACTGTTCACTTAAAATATATTTTAAAACGATAATAGGTATACCTTTTTTGGATCTATTTTTTTATATTTTATTAATTTAACACCACTTGAATAACATACATGTAACGTCATCTATTGAAATTTTTTTTTACTATTTTTTGTTTGTGATGAGACCCCGCGTCCATACTAACTGTTAAAACGTAGGTACCTCGCGACGAATCTGAACGAAGCGAGGTGAGTCGGCTAGTATATTATAATGGCTTAATCGATTTTAATGATTCACGTTCCTACTTAGAGACGTTGTTGGATTTATTTTAGTAGATATTATTAAAAATCAAACTGGTGGATTTCAGGCGAAAATTTGTCTTGAAATTTTTTTTGTTCTAAACCTATAGACGGGTACAAAATGAAGGTTTTGAAGAGGCGATCACAAAAATATATTATGCAACTTATATCTTTAAAAGTCATTTTGGGTAGAAATCGTAAAATTAAGCACGAAATGTTTAACAGATAACTAAAATACTGTAAATAAAAAAATAAATTATAAAAATAAAAATCCTGATTGCGTAAAAAGTGAACTAAAAAGATGAGAATGCTTATGCTGAGAATATGTATGTCTCCGACTATACGAGTATAAAACTGTTCCTTCATCAACTTGATCCCATCTTTTCCGGCGTATGTAAAACTAGAAAGGTAAAGTGAGCAGAATCGCTTAAAACTATGTGCATAAATTAGTGCTCATTTAGTGCCAAAAGCTAAAATTTGATGCTCTTAGGTATATTTTGGCAGAAAATTAGAAAACTACTAGCTTTTAGTTCAGCTAGCAATGTCACCTCATAACACGCTAACCGCATAACACAGCGTGAAATCATTTTAGCATTAATTTAGTGCTCAATTAGTGCTGGCCATCTATTAAGACAAATATGAACATTTATAGTTTTTTTATATATATAAAAACTTGCTAATTTAACGGTATGAGCAGGGACACTAGTAAAAAAGTGACACCTGAGGGAGTTATCAACTGATGATATTAATAAATAATTTAGTGCTCAATTAGTGCTGGCTGGTGGTATATGTACATTGAGACAAAATCATGAAATAATAATTATTATATTTTTCAACTAAGAAAACTTTCTGATTTAACAGTATGAGCAGAGAATCTAGTAAAAAGTGAAACCTAAGAGAGTTACTACCTGATGATATTCATTAATAACTATTTAATGCTCAATTAGTGCTGGCTATACATTGAGGTTAAATCATACAATATTTTTTTGTTTTGAAATAACAAGACTTGCTGAGTTAATAGTATAAACCAGAAAACCTAGTAAAAAGTGGAACCTAAGAGAGTTATCGCCTGATGATATTAATTAATAATTTTGTGCTCAATGAGTGCTGGCTAGACATTAAGAGAAATATATAAAACTAGCGACGACTCACCTCACTCCACTCGGGTTCGTCCCAACATACGTTTTAACGTTTAGTTTAGATTTCTGGGAGATGAGATATTTTCCCGGAGTAAAAAGTATCCTATATGTTGACCCGAATAACCAGCTATCATTATATCAAAGTTCATCAAAATCCCTCCAGTGGTTTTCCGTGATGCGGTAACAGACAGACAGACTGAAAAAAATCTAAAAACTGTAGATACGGCCTCTGTAACGATAATTATGACTATTTCAATAAGATTTTCCAAAAAATATTTAATGTACAGATTTTATTAATATAATATTTATAATAATCCGTGATTGATGTTATAGTCCTAATTTGCTAACATTGGACAGATTAAATTACCTAATTGTGGCACAGATCGTGGCACTAAATTAGCACTTATTGTTATTTATGCACATAGTTTTAAGCTATTCCGCTCACTCAGATGTTCCTTTTTTACTAGTGTCCCTGCTCATACCGTTAAATTAGCAAGTATTGTTATATAAAGAAAAAAACTTTAAATTTTTTATATTTATCTTCATGGATGACCAGCACTAATTGAGCACTAAATTAATGCTAAAGTTTGCTTTTGCTTTAAGCGATTCTGTTCACTTTACCTTTCTAGCTTTACATATTTACATACGTCCTTTTCCGTACGTTTTAACGGTGTGGAGTTTTTTAAAATTATCCTCAAAACGATTGCGAGCGTACATACGTGAATCATTGCTGCGTTATTTCTAGCAGCAATGACACTAGTAATAATAGTTTTTTATTTTAATTTACTAACATAGAAAAAGAAGGTCTGTACCTAACACCTACAAATAGAGTCATTTTTACTCTGAATAAAATGTATTATTAATATTAAAATAATGTAAATGCAATTACTGAGCTAAAAAATTCTATTAGACTAGAGATGGAACCATATGTTACAAACATTGTTGTGGAAAAGCGAAATAAAAATACATGAATGGAAAGCAAAAATTTATATTCTTTAATATTTCAGACTTTTGCCTAAACTGTAGAAGTACTTTAACATTGGTACATACACCCTTACTTATTATTGCATAAAGTAACTAACGATACGACGCGACGATGCGCTGCGACGTGTCGTGCCAGCGTCGCCTCGTCGGCCGTGTCGCCGCCGTCCGGGTGAAGGCGCCTTCATAAATTAATCTTTCCACGTCATTTCCAAAATAATTAGCCAAAATATATTATTGCATTCGAATGTCCAAAGCACAGTGATACAATTTAATGTACCTACATATTTAGTCATCGTGAGAGGCGCTGACACCTGATACGTTGAGATGTGTGGTTGTAGAGCAATGTGTACCTACTTATTTAACGAGTAACGATCATCCCGTTCTGTTCAATTATAATCATATACTTACTTGAAAATTTTGCAATGGTTTTACTGCATTAGTATAAAATATAAATACTTAAGTTTGCTCCACAAACAAAATAAGTAGGCAATTATATCATCAAATGTCAGAATATCGCACGACAACTAAACAATAGGTAAAAATAATTAATTCGATGCTAATTATGTAGCTGCCGTGCACAAGCGGACACTTCTATGTATAGGAAAGCTAACTAAGTACATGTAGCGAAGAAAATACAATAACAACTTTAACAAGAAACATCAAGATATTTTAAGATATAGTTGAACATCTCTCTCTGGTCTTGTATTAATATCTTATAGTTCTGTTCAATCGAATTTTATTTACTTATATCATTAGCTTCTACCCGCGCGGCGGTGCGTCGCCGCGGGTAGCTTTCATCGCGCTTCGGCTCATTAAAGCTGCTAGACAAATTATGTACTTTACAATTTAAGATCAAAATTTGTTTCAAACCTGGACCATGTTTATTAGATTTTAATGCATTATTTTTACACTTAAAAATGTAAGACATGAAGCCATCCGTAACCGGCCGGCTTTTTAAATTAAAGGGACTTGAGCATTAAATAACATTATGTTAATAATAATCATTTTTTAGTTTTCTATAAACAAATTCATTGCAATGAAATAATAGTATATGTAGTTTTCTAATATGATATGTGGAAAACAGGTGAAAATTAGACGAGCACCGCGCCATGTCGCGAGAGCTGGCCTCGTTCGGTGATCGTTAGCATCACGCAATATAATAAAACTATACAATGTAAAATACAACAGACGTCACTTCTGCGATCCCAAACACACCCTGCGCCTACTTGTCGTGTGCCCTCTATCCCCTCCCTCCCTCCCCCGTCCCGCGCTGCACACGGTAGGCATCCCTACAGAGACAAAGCGTTATACAACCGCGTAACGATTCCTATACTATTATAATAAGGCAGCAGTGTGTGTTTTCTTTTTAGCCTGACGCGCTAGACTGTCATTGTCAACAGTCCGAGCCACAATTATCCGGTTTTGTCAACGGGTAGTACGAACGTGAACTTGTCGCTGAGCTATCCCGCACACACCGTTGCGACATGTATGATGTAGTGTACCTACCCCGCGCGGTGTATGACGTTATGCCTCCACAGGGACACTCACTCCTGTGCTCGCCGCTCGCGCGCTGGCTGCACTCGGTGGTCGGCAATTGAGCAAGTTATATAAATTTAACTACGTAATTAAAATTTCACGAACACGAGATAACAACAATAATTATAATAAGTAATTTAATAACAATCATTAATAGATTTGTCGATAAGATTATAATGTATCTAGAATTAGAGGGACTAAATTTTCGAGTGTACATACCCGTCAAAATAAAGTTTTTTTTTCTATTTTCGAGATAACTTACGATAAATACTCTCGCTTCTTAAATTGAGAAATATGTATATCATTTGGTAGACAAAGGGTGCGGTTGGCCGCCGGGCATAGGCCTGTCACAGTCCACAGCTAGGGATAAGGCAGCTTCTCTCGCACGGACTTGGTTTCAGTCCGAGTCCTCTTAAGGTTCTATAATACAGTCGGCAGATACGTACTGGTACGATACTATCGCATAAACAAATATTATACACGAACGATTCAATAAACATCAAAAAATGCACATGAGGGGTCAACGATGGATAGTAGTAATTACAAACGACGCTATAAATTTATATATCTACGGGTAAATTTACATCTCAAAAATGATAATATCTCGCTCCAAGTCAGTAGAGAATAATACACGTTATAAAAGTTTAAACTCGCAGAGAGACGAGCAGGGTCCGGAGAGCGCGCGTCGCAGCCGGCGGTCATTGCGGCCGCGTCTGCAACAAACAAGCACGTAGTCACAGCACGTAGTCATTTCAACAAACTCATTTGTTTTTACCTGCCTGTGGCCACGCCCAAGGACGGGTTACACGAAAGATTTTTAGGAATGTACGTCCGATCCTATGTTCCCTCCTAACCCCTAAATGACTAAACGGATTTTGATGAATTACAGGACATTACAATCGAATAGGCGTCAATTTGTGCTGTGTCAAGGGATATAAAAATGAAAGTTTTTAAGAGGTAATCACAAAAATATATACAACATATGTTTAAAAATAATTTGGAATAGTAAACTGTTTAATAAAACTCAAATTAACTCTAAAAGGTTGTAATAACCCGACTGCGTAAAATGGAAACTAAAAAATAGAAACAGGATCTCTGTCTGTACAACTAGGTAGGTCCAACTTTAAGAGTGAGGTTCCGGTTGGGTTCATCATGGTTAGGCAGCGTTCGGCACATTCAAAAAGTTTTTGCAAGCTCAAGGTCACCGTGGAAGAATTAGTGAGAGCTATATTTGGAATTTCTCTGAGATATCGAACCAGAAATTTAGAGATACGTATAAGAACTAAGTTCACAGATATAGCCCAATGAATATCCAAGCTTAAGTTACAGTTTTGCTCGCAGAACTGATGATGGTCGTTAGGGAAAGGTAGCCTGAAGACAAAGCGTGGGCAAGCTTCCAACAAGATAGATCTGCGACTGGTTTAATCCACTGGATACAGATGGCACAAGACTGGCGTCTGGCAGTTGTGAAATCTTTGAGGGAGGTCTTAGTCCAGCAGTAAAATCTTTCAGCTGAGATAATGATGATACTAATATATATTTAACTTATATTATAAAATAGATAGGCATAAATACCGAATCAGTGTGATTATGACGCAGATCGAAGTCCGCGGTGAAAGGTGCGATGTGAACGTTGACCTGGACGTGTCCGCCGTCCTCCTCGAACTCCAGCGAGGAGGAGCTGACCGCGAGCTGGCGGTCGCGTAGCAGCGGCAGCTCGTCGTCACGCGGCGCGTCGGGTGCATCGGGCCCGTCAGGCGCGGGGTGCGCGTGCGCGTGCGCGTGCGCGTGCGCGTGCGCGTGGCATTCGCAGCGGCAGTGCTCGGGTGGCACGTAGCTGAACACGACTGAATCCCGCGCGGTCGCCGGGAGGGTTTGGATTCTCTTTGGCAGCTTACGACGCTCTGGCACTTCTGAGAAATCGATCCATTCCGCTTTAGTGCGAGCCTCCATGCCTGACGCTGAGGTGTCAAAAATATAAATATCTAAATCAATATCTATACGTACAGTAAAATTTTAACTGAGTCGAATCTATACATATAAACAAATATTTTGTGGAAAATCTTGTCTGTATTATCGATACAGAAACCGAATCTGTAGTTTTTAGAATGTTATTCTGTCTGGCTGTCTGTCTGTCTGTTTGGGAACACATCACGAGAAAACCACTTAATAGATTTTGATGAAATTTGGTATGATGATAGCTGGTTATCCGGGTCAATATATAGGATACTTTTTATTGCAGGAAAATATCTCATCTCTGAGAAATCTATACTAAATGATAAAATGTAACTAGGGATGAACCCGAGCACAGTGGGGTGAATCGCTAGTATTTCATAAATCTAACTTATTATGTATAGTAAAAGAGTTATTATATCTTACTATATATAAAATTCTTCTGTACGTGTGTTTGTTATCTTATTCTTCCTAAAGGGCTGCACCCATTTGGATGAAATGTTGTGTATACATATGTTTCAATTGGCTCCTAAGTGCTTTGAAAACACAATTGAACCCGGTAGGTGGCGCTACTGTTGGTATGTTACTGATCATCTCCTAAACAGCAGGGACCATTTTAATGATATTTTTGTGTATGTTCGAGTGGGTCCCTGCAAGGTTTAAATTTACAGATGGACCCGGTACGTGACGTTGCAGTAGGTGTGTCAAAGAGTTTGTTTTTTAGTAGTTGAACGCGGGCGAAGCCGCGCGTACTGCTAGTATACTATAATATAATAAAGAGGCAGAGTTTCTTTATTTATTTGTTTGTTCGTTCGTTTGTTTGTTGGATTTAACGAGCTAATCTTAGAAGCTATTCATCCGATTTGAAAATTTCTTTTTGCATTATATAGGCCATTTATCGAGGAAAGCTGTAGGCTTATATATCACATGATATAATATAGTTTATCTATTTCATACTAACCGTTACAACGTACCTAGGGGCGAAGCGAGGGTAACTTGCTAGTAATTAAAAACAATTAAACATACTTACAAATTAGGAAAATAAATACCAATTCTTTGTTATGTATTATATCTGTTATGTATGCGGATTACTTACCGTCACCGCCGCTCCGGGACCGGGCGCGCTCACTTCGAGGCGGTGGCGCAGGCGCTGAGGCAGATGCAGTCGAGGCTGCGCGAGCGCGTCGTGGCAAGCGGATGTGCAGACGCTCGCCGCCTGCCTCCGCCAGGGTGCCACTGGGTGTGGGCACCGACGGAGGCGTCAGAGCGCCCAGAGTGCCCCCTGCACTACGGGTCACGCGCGGCCGCTGTACAGCAGCGACATGCACTCCACCGCGATCGCGGACTGGGACCATCGGTAATGCTAAAGAGCGTTCCAGTGGTAGGGTTGTGGGTACGTAGGGTAACTCTTCGAATGACTCCTGCACCACAAGGCCACGGCGTTCCGCCTCGCTTCCTCCGTGGGTAGCGGCTGCTTCAGAACTCGCTTCTGATTCAGAAGAATCGCGTCGATCTAGCGGTGGACTTGCACTTATTTCGCGCATATCTCGATCGTTTCCTATTTCACCAATCATTTCTTCACTAGCCTCTGGTTCTACATATTGTTCAACTTCCCGATTTAAAAAGTTTGAATCTGGTAGTGGATGTTCGACAGGTCTAATTTCTTCACTTTCTGGGAAACTTGGTATTGACTCGGATATCTCACTTGTTACACTTGGAGTTTTCGTTATGCTAAATTGAGTACTAAACACTTGTTCTTTGCTTCCTACGTGTGTTGTGAATATAAGACGCTCTTTTTTTCTCGGACGATCATTAGCATTAGTAACAGGAACAATATCAGCAGAAAATGATGAGTCCACAGGTCCTGAATCAATAGGTGTATTTTCCAAAGCATTATTAATAACTTTTTCAGGGGAAGGTTCTTTCTCTGGCTTCTTTATAGGAACTACAGTTTCACTTGTCAATTCGGCTGTTGAAGTCAACTCGTCACTGCGCACACCAACACCAGCGCTCTTTTCTGTCGGAGAGTGTAAAGGAATTATAATGCTTCCGTCTGGAAGGACGGTACGTTTTGTTGGCTTTGAAACGGATGCAGGTGTAACAGATGGCACAATATTTGTACGATCAACAATAGCCCTTGACTGTGGGGCGGAGGCAGGCCTAATCGTTTCACGTGGAGGTGGTCTTCTCTCATTACCAGTTTCATTAGAGTCTAACTCATCAGGTGGCGTGTGTAGAGGAATATGAATAATGCCATCCTTTGCCTCTTCGTAATATTTAAGTTTTTCTCCACGTGAACGATCAATGGGTGGCTGTGGAAATTGTTGTTGTGGCTGCACAACCGGCGAAACGTCTCGGGATAAAGGAGAAGGAGAAGCAGCGCTTTTTCTTGGAGTCTTAAAAAGTGAAAGCACCGAACCCTTTATTTTTCCCGTTGAAGTGGGTGTTGTCGAACGATCGCGACTTTTACTTCGCGATCGTCCTTCATTAAGGCTTTTTTTTCTCCTCAATACATCAGATGGAGAATCGGGGGAAGCAATTGTTTCACGAGACTTAAAAAGTGAACAGAAGGATGATTTTCTTGAAACAGGTACCCCAGTCGGGGATGGAGTTCGGCTGTCTCTTAGTTGCCTAGGTGTTAATCGTGGGCTCACTGGCTGAATAGATCGTGCAGGTTGATCATTTAACTCTAATGTAACAGGTTTTCTAGCTGGTTCTCCACTTATTAAAGTCCGTTCACTTTCACCCTCGTCGTCATCTTCATATTCGTTATCTGGTTTAAGTTTTATTCTAATAATATCCTTCGATCGATTTCCATGACGATAAACTTCTGGTTGAGCTGGTTCCCGTCGATCTCTGGACCTAGCTCGATGTTCCTCAACTTTTGCCCGATTTCTCGTTTCTTTTAAACGCTTTTCATCGTCCAGTGAGGTAGCTGAGGGTGTGGGTGTTGTACAAGGGGCATTTGGAGACGTTAGGCGAGGTGCACTTGCCGGACGTGTATTTTCAACAGTTACTTCTGTACGAACTTCTCGATGGTCACGAGCATCCACTGATACCGGCGGTGCGCAAGGAAGGGGTGCAATCTGAGGGATTGGGATGATTTGAGCATCAGAAATAATACTGCCAGTTTTGCCGGTCAGCTTAGCTATTTCAAGTAGTCTCTCCTCGACTGCAGCAGTACATATCTCAGGATCTGTTTCTATTGGCTTTGGTCCACAAAATGAAGTCTCAAGTAGCATTTTGTGCGGCGAAGGAGAACGTGATGTACCTGACACTACAGAAAGTCTTGAAATACGGCTGGCGTGACTAAAGCCAGATAATGCCGAATGCGCAGAACATTGAGATCCAACGCTGGACAAACGACTAGTGCGCCCCGATACAGCCAGAAGAGCCGCTTCAGAACTTTGGCTGTCCTTGCGTGAATGACGTCGAGAAGGTGGTGCTGAAGGAGCAGCTCGAACATCTCCACCTCCAGGTGCGCCTTCCAAGAAGGCAAGTTCTTCAGTAGAGGAACGCAGGTCGGCCGCACCGTCCTCTCGAAACCCAAGTTCAAGACGCGTACGCGCGTCTTCTCCTCCTCCACCGCCCGTAAAAAGCGCCAACTCGGGAGAACTATCACGTGAGTCCTGTTGACTAGAACTTGACGCCCGAGAAATGTCAATGCGAGGAGCGGCCGGTGTTTGGAGACCCGAAGTTGTCGGAATAGCCACAGTGGAGTGGACGGCAGGCGACGAGTGCGAGCGAGCCCTTTGCTCAGGTGGTGCAAGACTATAACCACAGGCAGACGTTGACGGCGCTATACTTGTAGACGAACTTGCAGGATCTTCGCGAATTTCGGGCAAACGGATTGCTTGTTTATTTTCAGGACTGGACTGTAAAAAAGATGAAAACTTTGAGAAGAGAAGATTGTTACGAACTCCTCTACAATTATTTGTACATTTTAACTTACTTCGTCGGAAACGTCGTGATCGAAAGAAGCGATAGGTGCGGGCCCGCGGCGCGGCCGGCGCTCGGCGCCGCTGGCCGCCATGCGCCCGCCGCCGCCGCGACGCGCTGCTCACTCACACCACACGCGTGTTTTCAACAGATGACATCATTCTTGGCAAACCTAACATATTTTTTTTGTTATTGTATAAGATAACATATTTTTATTGTTATTGTATAAGAATACTGAATAACTTAATAGTCTTTTTATATATAGGACTAGTCATTGGGTTAAATTTGCCATACTAGTGGGATTGTCTGACAACGAAATAATAATTTTAATTATTTACTATATTATAATTCAAATCTTATTTTTAAAATTCTTTTTGATATTGATATGAATCAAACTTAAAACAAAATTATAAAACCTATTTTATTTATTATACTTAATTTAATTAAATTGATAAATTATTATTTCGTCTATAATAACTCTATAGGAGTTGTGAAATGCTAAAAATCGGCTTCAGTCAATAATTTCAAACGTAAGTACACAGCACACGGAACACGGGAAATATGTCAGAAAGTGACATTAATGCAACAACGACTGCACTCTCCTAAATGATCACTGTCACAGCATACAGTAGGTTAATAGGTCATTTAACTCACTATTGTGTCTGATCTTACAATTAGGCACTTTTGATTCGATGTTTTCTAAACTGCTACAATACGCAACCAGCGTTACCCGCATGTCACGTTATACGTACTAGAGTATGTAAATTGACAGCACTATCCACTGGTCATTAATCCCAATCGATCTGTATGGTCACTACGGCGCTGGTGCCGTCGCCCACCGTGCGCGCTTGGCGTGGCACCTTTGGTGGTGCAGAGTACAGGGCTGGCTCACAGGTGGGCGTGGGGCTGGGCCTGGCAGTGGCGGCGTGTGCCCGCGGCGAGACGAAGCGTTCGGCGCCGGGCGGGGGAGCAGCGCTGCGCGTGTCGCACCGCTCGCGGAGGGAGTCCCGCGAGCAGGCCCCGCCGCGGGCTGCGTCGCGCCTGCGCTCCGCCCGCGCATGCGCTGCGCCGCCCTCGCCTCCCCTCTCCCGCATCGAAGGCGCTCGGTGCTGCCATGTCCAGGTTAATTAACTAAATATAGGGTAACCTCTATACAGGAATCAATATTGACATTCACAACAGGTCACTGATTCAATTTTGACATTTACTGCGAACTCTTAGGCTAATGTCGAAGGTGAAGTTCCGATACTGAGGCAATATGATATTCAGTAAACTATAACCAACTGATGTCTTGTACAAATCGTGTTTTTTTTTTTTTGAAGATTTAAAAATCAATTACGAACTCTATTCTTTTAATCCTCTAATCGTGTATTGCAAAAAATAACGCAAGGTTAAACGTATCTAAGTAGGTAGGTGCCAAGAAACGCACAGGGAGGTGGCCCGCTTCGGTGGGCGGTGGGAGGCGGCCCTCTTCGGAGGGCGGTGTACCATGCGGGTTGCTCCGGGTACTTCTACAGCAGAGTGGACCTTGGAGCAACCCTGTGGTTGTTGTGGTCTGCTTCGGCACACCTGCCGTCGGGGCGTCGTAGTTGAATGCGTAAGCGATCCTGCGACGCCCCATTAAGACGGGGGAAGGTTTTGTTGGGTTTTAGTGGGTAGTACTAGCTTCGCCAGTGAGTCCCACACTTCGTGCGTAAATGCATTTCCCAACGTTAAAAAAAAAAGGTAGGTAGGTACATCGCTGGCAACATTATTATTACAATTGAATTTGTAACTACCTAATTTAAAATTCATACATCCAAAATGCTGTGGAATACTTGTTAGGTTTTGGATAAAATTATTTACATCATATAAGAGGTGGATCTATTTAAGCGTAAGGATGGCATGACAACATTTGAGTTGTAATGATATAATATGATCTCCATCGCTACATACACGCGTGCAGCGCGCACCGACCCAGGACGCGGCGACACCGGAGCAGTGACACCGATAACCAATACCCGCTTTAATGCCGACCCAGTTAGCGCTACGCCGAGGGGTGGAAATGATCGGAAGTACTCGTAAATACGTACGATTTATAATAAACATATAGCATATTTATTTTAAATCCCAATAAAACTTACGCCATATAATATCCAAAAATATTATTCATATCTATCGACAACCAATTTTAGTAGTACGTAGGTATAACATAAATAATCCATTTTCAGTACATTCTAAAGATATTTTCTTTCGCCTGCGTCGAGTTTGGTCTCCACTTATTACCATTTACTGGCGCGTTTGTCAATGTTACGACCTGGTTATTACATTCCTCCACGAAATAATCAGCTACGCGGGTCCGCCCGACAGCCGACTCGTACTTTGATAAACTGTATCTAATGTCATTCTCCAGCCCTCAAACTAATCCTCCCAAATCAAAAAATCGCACTAACCCATATAAAACAGGAGTCAAACCAACAAATTTTAACTTTTATAGTATTATTGCCTACGGATTCACTTACTTATGAGATGTTGATATAACTTACTCATACCATATAAAATTATAGCTTCACAAAGGCTATGAGTATTCGGGAAAATATCTGACCCACTTCTAATAATAATTGGATTAATTCAATTAAAATAGAAAACCGGAAATAGTTCCGCAAGCGTCTTGAATAAGTAACACTTGTTTATGTAACGGACGATGCTGTGATATGTGAATCTGAAACAGTTGTAATAAAAGAAGAGTTTATAAAGAGAGGTTGTCGTAATAATTGTATCTTTGATTCTACATATACTTGTAGGTATTAGGTACATATTGAGAAATGCTATATTTATTGATTTTGGTCACTCTTTTATTTCTTTTTTTATTTATTAGAAACTATTATTTTATAGGTCCTCAAAATACTACGTATTACATATTTACTCGTACAAATATGCACACCCATTATGCTCTGCCGCCTTGTTTAAATTTCAAAACACACAGAAATGCGTGTTTATTAAGTAATGACAAAACTTGAGTATCTACGTAAAAAATACAAATATTTTTTTTTTAATATTTGTATTTTAATTTAATAATATTATAAATGTCAAAGTTTGTGAGCTAATGTTTGTTACTCTTTCACGCCAGAACGGCTGAAAGGATCTGAATGAAACTTGGCACAGAGATAGATTTTAGTCAGAAATAACACATAGCCTACTTTTTATCCTGGAAATATGTACGGTTCCCGTGGGATAGATTTGTTTTAGATGTCTTAGAGGCGAACCCGAGCGAAACGAGGATGAGCCGCTAGTTATAAATATTTTCAATATTTATCTTTATAACTGAGGCAGTGGTAGCCTAGTGGTAACGCGCTCGCTTGGGAAACCGAGTGAAGTGGGTTCAAATCCCGGGTCTCGCACCTCTGATATTTTCATGTGTGAATCATTTCTAACATGATTACCACTTACCTTACGAACCTAGCAAGTTTTCGAAAGACATGTGAAGTCCGCCAACCCGCACTTGGCCAGCGTGGTGGACTATGGCCTAATCCCCCTCGTATTGAACTGGGGCCCGTGCTCAGTTGTGGGACGTTAAAAAGGGCTGAATACACATCTTTATAACAGGAAAAAGCTATAAAAAATTCGAATGGCTATATGTTACATAATGGATAGTTCTGGTTATGATTAAATATGAAGACCACTTTTATAAATATGTGGGTAGACTAAGGAAAACCGTGTCTTTTTGTAGATTTATTTTGAAAAGACTTTACTAGGCATTAGCTTATAGCCGCGATTCTGCTCGCTCATAGAAAACATAGTAGTACGTATGAGTATGTTACGTAGATCATATAACTTAACCTTATCTGGTTTATTGATCTGGTATAAATATATATGTATAGGAAAAGTACTAATTATGGAATACGTCCCTAATATGGAACACCGTAATATTTCTAAAACTAAGCGCCACGAATATTCTTGATATATGTCGTGTTATCCCTCGGGCTACCCGCGTTCGACGGCCAGTGCACGTGTGGTGTTTGGCGTCACTAGATGCGAGTAAGAGTGCGCGACACTGTTGACGAAACATCTATTGGATATTTACGTAAGTTTTACGTATATGTTATCTTATTATTCTTACATGAATATTTCGATATAAGTGGGTAAGTATCTAATCGATATATGTAGTTTTTAAATGGTAATGTTATTTTATGAATATTTAAAAATAAAAAAAAGTTATATTTATTTTTCTCCTTCCATCATATTGTTCGTAATATGGAATATCATTGAGTTCCTAATATGGAATACTATTTCATTTTAGGATCTCAACGTAACCTCAACGTAAGTCAGTTTTTAATTTGGTGACTTATTACTATTTCTCTATTTTACAGATATATTTATGATCGACATGGATCTCACAGTAAGAAAACGAAAAGCCTGGAACAAAACCAATATGAAAAAGGCTATTAAAGCCGTGAAAACCCAAAATTGGGTTATAAGAGAGCTGCACAAGTCTTTAATGTACCTCTGAGTACTCTCAGTCGGTTTTGCTATACCCACGAACCAAATATACACTGCAGCCTTGGTCGTAAAATTAGAAAGCTTGTCGTCAAAACAACACAAGCAACAAAAACAAAATGTTCCCGAGCCACAGCCATCAACGAGAGGCTGTCAGAAGAACAAGCGAAAGAAGAAACCAGTGTTGAATCACCTGATAGAGATACCATATCTTTATATAATGATTATAGAGATGATAAACCCTCAGTTATTCAACTGAACGATCCAAATACCGACGCTGAGTGCATGTATTGCTCTGTTTTTTCAGTGAAGACAAAAAGGGAGAAGAGTGGACCCAGTGCATTGCCTGTAGACATTGGTGTCACGTTGCGTGTTGCAGAGCAGAATATGCAAATTTTATTTGTGGTTTTTGCTTGCAGGGTTGAATTTATTATTTTGTTATGACTAACGAGACGTGATCCTATTATGGAATACCCTATTCCATAATAGGATCACATTTTTGAGAAGCATTTTTTTGGTTGATTTATTTTAGTTAATAATATTACGGAAAGTGTTTATTATTTGTTGATTTTATTATTACTTTTCAAGAGTGATTTACTTCTACGACTGCATTTAATTTTAACCCATTAGACTGATTAAAATAAAACTTTAGTACAGATTTTTTTTAGAATTTGTTTATGTATTCCATATTCGGTCCTTTTCCTATATATAAGTATGTGTGTTCCTGCATAAAGAAAGCAAAGCGAAATGGGACTGAATGAATAAAATAGCGTAATGCACAAATCGTATTTATTTTATTGACAACACAACATATGGTCCACACACGCGTGTGCGGAAGGAGACGCGCGGAGACAACAATCAATATATAATATGTGTCAGCTTTCTCAACTATAATATTTTACGCTAAAGGTAACGATATATGTCATTGCTCTTACGTTAAACTTTCATAGGTTGGATAAGAGTATGACGTCAACAACAAACGATAAATTGTTATACAATATTAGATATCTATGACTACGGGTGTCGGTCGGCGTCGGCTTCGGCCGCCGAGCGGCCGTGTCGCGGCGGGTAAGCTGGCAGCTTACTTATTGTATTACGACTGGTTGTGATCTGGAACTCGGAGCTACTGTCATCATCCAGTAATTCATTAATACGCTTTAATTTATTTAACTCGAACAATGCCGTATATTTGTGCTGTAACCATTATTTATTAAAAATAATTCTAAATATTGCTAGAACTTTAATGTTAAAGTACGTATTTGTATAGATAGTATTATCAACTTGTAATAACCTGCATTGTAATATCGTAATTGCAACTGTAAAAGTGTCTCAACTGGAATGTAGAAAACTAGATAGTTGGAGAGCCGAGTACCGCGCGGCTACTGAGGCAGAGTAAACACCTAGAATGTACGAAAGCTATAACTGATATAGTGTAGAGTAGTACTTAAAGCTAAGCTATCAGGAAAGCTCACAGTGAGCTCTAGCCTCGTAGAGTCGTAGCCTAGTAGCGCCGTAGCCTCGTCGTAGAGGCGCACGCTAGCGCGCGACAACTCCGCTCGGCACTTCCATAGACACTAGAATCTACTCAAAGTTAATAGTATCTGAAATATTAATTTGGTTTTACACATTTTATATTTTATTATTTTTGTATTTTCCATTAGTATAATAAATACATTAATTTATCTAAAGTTATATATTTGATCTTTAATAATATACACACATTTGTCTACTTCATCGTTTCCAAATCAACGAGACTTGCCTCTAGTGGAGGCTCAGAATGAGACTGGCGTTAGCTTTGCTTCACAACTGTTGCAAGGGAGTTCACTATCTACATAAGTACATAAATTGGACCATTTGAATAAAGAGTTAGTATATGAGAATTATGCCAATTTCGCTTAACGTTGCGGTACGCAGTAGGTGGGTAGAAGGTAGGCAGCTCAGGATTGACAAGCCTTTTGATACATTCATAAATACGCTTAAGATATGCCCTTACTTAATAGCCATATTATGATAACTATAAGCATTACTATATTATTATTTAGTAAAATATTGAATCTCTCATCGAGTAGTACATCGAGTAGGTGGCGCTCGCTTGCTGCGGTGGGCTCGTCCGTTGCGCACAGCACTATCATTAAATACTTGTTACATTATTTAATTATTATTTATGTACATTCTTTTCTACACTACGTTGCAGGAATGCGGAGAAATGTCACTTATGTAAATAAGTTTATTTGCTTCGATTATATAATATACTATGTATGTAGTTATGCCAAACTTACGTAATTAGGTACAGGTAAATTGTACAAAAAATATACAGGTATTTGAACAGGTAACTTGCGAGCATCTACCGGCAGTGCGTCCTATGTATCCCCCCTCCCCCAGCTCCTTCCTGCCCCTACCTCCCTCGTGCTTACGATGCACCACTCCTCGCTAATAAGATATTCGACATCTTCAATTTCTTTAAATAATAATAAATATAACAGTAATATATTATAATTTAATCTACTCATTCCACTAATATGAAATCACACACAATGTCGATTGATATATAATCTATATTGTTGTCTACATACATACATACGCGGGTGTCTTATTTACATTACGCTTACATTGAGTTCCTTTAATATTTTTTTTTTATATTTTCAAAGTAACATTATATGCGATCATTTTTTTTCTCTACAGTATTCGAATTATAATGTCTTAGGAGAATTTAAATGTCGTATTCCGTAAGTAAGTACTCCTCTCATTCACCATGACTCTTTTTCATTCTTACCCTCGAGCTGGCAAATATGCTACATAGTTACGAACACCACTATTCGTATATAGACTACTTATTACTCATTGAACGCATCTATCATCATCATAGAACTAACACGATTTTTTCATGTCCATATTGTTACTTTTTTGGCAATTAATCATAAAACACTCGTAGGTTGAAAATTATCTTAACAGCTCAGACGGTGACATGAATTATGAGACCTTGCCGCTTAGTATATTTTTGTAAGAAATTGCTCGATGCTTGCATTGGATGGCATTTTCGTCTCGTCGTAATTTTAGCGGCCAGTGGGAACGGTCCGCGGGCGTCTAGTCAGAGTCGGAGTCGGAGGAGGGCTCGCGCGGCGCGGGCGGCGGCGCCGGCGCGGCGCGCGGCTCCGGCGCCGCACTGACGGCCGCCGCGTACGCGGGCGCCGCCTGCCCCGACGTGCGCTCGATGCCCACTCTACGCAAAAAATAGCAATAATAATAACATAATATCAGCTGTATTATAATAGTTACTACTCACTAGTGATCAACCCTAAAAAAATGAAAATGCTTAATGTCTTCACATACCTACCCATAATCTATATACATAGGTATACATAACTGTAAATATGTCCATAACTACCATAGACTCATACCGTTACACATAACACACATATACACATATACCACACACACACACACACACACACAACACACACACACACACACACACACACACACACACACACACACACACACACACACACACACACACACACACACACACACACACACATACGCACACATACACACACGCACACATACACACACGCACACATACACACACGCACATACATGTAAACACATTATGTTTGATGTGCATATCATTAGCATGATCAATTTAATTCATTCAGACTTCTTTTCTTTTTTCAATGTATGAGTAGTCTGTTGTCCATTACATAAGATATCATAATAGAGTAATCTAATTTTGGCCTTATTTGTTAATAACGTTGTGCTCAAACTGTATTTTATTATTTTTGTAACGCTGTAAGATTACAAATAAATAAATAAATAAACCATCATTTTGTCGATGTGCGTTCTTCGTATTTATATTGAGAACACGTTTGGCTCACTTTGTAGTGACCCTGCTGGCTGTGCCGGCGGTCGCGGGTTCGAGTCACGTTGGGGGCATTCATTTGTGTGATACGCACGAATGTTTGTACTCCAGTCATGGGTCTTTATATTTATATTATGTGTGTATTTAAAGTTATATACCATTTGTAATGTATCAACTATTTGATATCCATAACACAAGTTCGTAACTTCCTACGGAACTAGACGGTGCTGCGTTTTAATGTCCCAACACATTTATTTATTTAATTTCACGGAAGTTCTTAGAAAGGATGAGTTTTTCCTTTACTTTATTCACAGTTTTCATACCGGTACCATAAAATAAATAATCCATCCTCTCATTGGTGAAAAGTACACAAAAACCCATACAATAGTTTCTAAGATTAATCTGAACCAAGACAAACCGAGCGCGACGGGTGACTTGTATTAATTTTGAATGACCGCTCACTATGCCCGTATTACCCAACGACAAGGCGTACTCACGTGTACTCGTGGCGCGCGAGGTAGCGCACGTACTTCTCGGGCGGGTCGCCGTCGTGCTCCTGCAGCGACACGGAGCGCACCGTCATGTGCGACACCTGCGTGGCCGGCATCGTGAACTCCACGTACGCTAGGCGCGCGAGCTCCTCCGGCACCTGGTCGTACGACGTCAGCGCCATGCGGCACACCAGGTTGTGCGTGGTGTACGCGCCTTGCCCCTCCTTGGGCAGGCGCGGCATGCGCCACACGATGGCGCGGTGCTGGTGCTCGTACTTGGCCTGCCCCGACGTCACCTCTATGAGCGACTCCTGCAGCGTGTCCACGGCGCCCAGGAACCGCTCGATGCCCTTGATCTTGCCGGTGCGTCTGTTTGTAGCGACAATTTACCCAGTAAACCTGTTTCTGTTTTCATACTAATATTCTAGCTATAATATCCATCGAGTTTAAAGTAATAATAGAGTAAAACCATATTAAGAGAGACAGTAAGCTACGTTACTCATGCAGCCTAGTATATACCTATAATAAAAGTAGTAGATACGCCTACTAATTCATTTGATTTCAGTGCTATTTGTTCTCTCCTTTTATCAGCGCCAACATCGACCTCAAAAAATATAAGCTTCCTCAAAAGTACCTGTGCGCAGACTTGACGGATCCGTATCTGAAGTGTTTCTCGACGCGGAAGAGATAGATCCAGCACTCGGGGATGGGGAAACGGATAGCGACGTCCTCGCACGGCACCTGCCCCAGTTTACGTGACGCGAAGCCCGGCACCAGCACGTCCGCGCGCAGCTCCACCTGGCGACAGCGCGACGTTAGCGAGGGCTAAGGAGGCACGAGAGGCAGAGGGGAGAAAGGGGGCTGGGGGGGAGTGTGGGAACCATGTGTACCTTGTTGCCGGTGACGCACCAGACCGCTTTGAGTTGCAGCGGCAGCTCGCGATTCTTGGGCGGACGCACGCGGAAACGCATTAACTCGATGTAGCATGCGTCCGGAGGCTTAAACCTGCACACAAAAGCTTTACATCAGTTGAAATAGTCTAGGTGCCAAAACTATGTGTTACTTTAGGTGATAGTCTATTTCGACGCCCCATTCAGGCTTAGTTTGGGGGGAAGGTTCTATTGGGCTTTACTGGATACTATTGGCATTTCTAGCCGGTCCTCATAATTATATGGTTATCACATTTTCACGTAAATCTAACATTACATACAAAAAATATCACTTCATTAACCGAGTCACTGTGGTGTGTGATCTAGGCATTTTTATCGACAGCAAGTTGATATACAAATCTCACATCACATATATTACACAGAAGGCCTTTTGTATGCTTGGCTTTATACTGAGAACAAGTGAAGACTTCAAAGATATTAAGACTTCGGTTTACTTCACAAGTCTTAGAATATGGTTCATTTATTGCTTGAATGCTAAATGCATATAATTATGCATGTGTAAATGCATTTCCTAACATTAAAACTACTATGCACTAAATTTCAACCAATTCCGTCCAGCCTTTTCAGCATGAAGAAATAACAAATATCTACACATGAAGAAGTAATAACATACACCTACATAGGTACATGCACACGAACAAATACAAACTTTGAATTTGACTTAGCCCTCCGTACAAGTGGGCAGTAAAGCGTGGGCTAGCCTCCTAATAAGGTGGACCGATGACCTAGTCAAAGTCGCTCGAACGCACTGGATGTGGACGGCACAAGGCCGGCAGTCATGCAAATCTTTGTGGAGGCCTATATCCAACAGTGGGCGTGTTTCGAATGAGACAAATATTGGTAATATTCATATGTATATAATTATATTCTAAGTCACACGCACTTGATAATCTGCGATTCTTCGAAGGCCTGAGGCTGTACGCAAGCGTGGAACTCGGCGTCCTCGACACGGATCCACTCCTCGGTGACGACGGGGATGATGTCGTGACGCCCGACGACCTCCTTGCCCTGACGGCGCAAGTCGTTCACGCCGAGCTCCACGTCGGGCATACCTGAGAGCAATCATTAAATCAAGGGTAAGGATTAAATTCGCCATCAAACATGTTTTTGAACCTTTTACTAGTAGAAAACGATTTTTACCACTAAGGAACCCTAGGAAAAAAAGCCGTACGCGTGCAATCTGTTTCAAGACTGATCCTTCTGCGTCCTGCTCCACGTAAAGCTCGTCCACCGCTGTTATTTGCACCTGGAATTTAATATACTAAATTAAAATAATTTAGTACCCATGATATAACCATATACGATTTGGTTAAAAGATTCTATTAATAAGATAAACGTAATTAAAGTTAAAAAAACCAATGGGAATTGTAGTTTGAAGCACGAATCGAGATAAAATATATTAGGTAGGTACTAGTTTTTAACAATACAGTACATAATAAAAAAAATTATATTAAAAATTAAAAAAAAACCCTGACACAAAAACATAAGTTCCCTTTAAAAAGTAAAAAATAATTTAAAAAACTCAATCTTAAACTACCTAAGTATGTATTAATAATTCTAAAAAAAAATAGGTCGCGTTGGGGGACCGCTCCAAATTATTATTTATCTACGTTTTTTTTCGGTTCGGAACGGTCCACTAACGCGACGTATTTTTTTTAGAATTATTAATACATACTTAAGTACTTTAAAATTGAGTTTTTTTTATGTCGGGGGTTATTTAAATGTTTAATTTAATTGTTTATTTTATATTATTTATAGGTACATACTTATTATAATGTAGATTTTGTTAGTAAAAACCTTGGATGGTGTAGCAAATTGTAAGCTCGACCAAAGAAAACTATTTAATAACGCACATGACAAAATTATCATCTTTAGCAGAATTGCAAAGACTGAGATGTAGTAATTGATACTCTCACTTGACAATCGGATTTCCATGTCCCAATTTTCCCACAACCAATTTTCTCATCAAACGAAGCTGAGAACACTCTTGATTAAGCCATCAATATTCTCTTTCAGTGCGCTTTCATTTGAGGTCCCCATTCGAGTATATTTCGAGACATTCGGTTATTCTTCCCCAATTTCACCCCCCACAACTTTTAAACGGCTCAACCGATTTTTATCAAACATATCTAAGAACACTTGCACATAAGTCACCTTTAATACAAAAAAAACTAAATTGAAATCGCTTCATCCGTTCGGGATCTATGATGCCACAGACAGACAGACACACAGACAGACACGTCAAACTTATAATACCCCTATTTTGCGTCGGGGGTAAAAAATAAATTACATTTAATAAAAAAATTCTTCAAAAAAAAGTTGCAAATGTATATACATTTACGAAGTTTTTTTTCCATTTTTAAGATGTCTTACTCAAACAATCAAATGAATTTCAAACATCACGAGCAGATAAGTAATGAGTCCGACCTCCTCCATCTTGTAGGTGAGCGCGCGGTCGCGGTGCGCGGAGAGGCGGAACAGCGCTTCCTCCACGCAGCATGAGAATTGCTTCACGTCTTCGTAGCTCAAAGAGCCTATCTTGAACAGCTGCGACACCTATATAGCATGTTACACATTTTACACTTGTCAATGATTTAATTCTTAACGTAAGCACTCTTCAGTACACGAAGGTTATCTATTTATTTGAATTGGTCCAATGAGCAAAAGAAAGTAGAACAATGTAATTTATAATACATATAGACTAAGCGTTGATGAGGCAGTGCCAAGTGGGAAGGCGCTCACTTGAAAACCCAAGTAAAGCAGGTTCTCACCTCTGATAATTTCATGTGATAATAATTTTCATCGTGAGGAAACCTGCATGTCTGAGAGAACCTAGCAAGTTTTCAAAAGACATGTGAAGTCCGCCAACCCGCACTTGGCCAGCGTGGTGGACTATGGCCTGATCCCCCTCGTATTGAAGGAGGTCGTGCCCAGCAGTGGGGGGAGAGTGGGAGTGTAATAAGGACTGAAAAGAACTTTTAATAGCAGATAACAGCTTGGTCCGGCGGATCCATACCTGCGGCGCGTGCTCCACGGGCAGACCCAGCTTGCGCAGGTCGCTACCGAACTCCTTGACGCCCTGGTAGTCGCCCTGGATGGCGTACGCAGCAAACTGCGATAGCTTGTTGGTGATACGTTCCGCCTTCGTTACCTGCCCCGGCCTGCACATAATAAGGTATTCCATTCGTTTGTTTGTTGTTTGTTTTGTCATTTGTTTTATTGCTGAACAAAAGTTTTTTATGTTCTTTATTATAACATTAACATTGTAATATATGTAATACAGATACCAATGTGACTAAGGTGGATTAATCTCTAAAGAAAACTCTTTCAGCCAATTTATGGAAGTGAGAAAAAAAATTGATAGTTTAAACTTTTTCTAATAGCAACCTATGTATGCACTTGTCTTGAAATTATTTGACTTTTCCTTATGTAATACAAAATAGCAATTAAAAATTCTGCAAGCAGTAGCAAGTGGTTTTACATAAACAAAAATACACCAAATAAATAAACAATAACTTGCTATACAGAAAAATGTACCGTTTATTGGTCAGAAATAAATTAACTTTTTATTTGCGAAAGAATTAGTTCCACAGTAGGATTACTATTGCCGATGTTTACTTCATTTTATCTTACTTGAGATTCACAATAACATAATGATATATCTACTCACAAGATTTAGTATCTTTAAAGATCGTTTTGTGATGATAAAGTGGATAGATAGCGTACAAAGGCGTAGCCTTAGGTAAAACCTAGTTAAGCATGTGTATTGTGTATAATCATCAAAAAGAGAACTCACCGTACGCCAGGCCGTTCCTTATAGAACACGTACTGCAGTTTCACGGTGAAGATCTTGCCGAACTGATCAAATTGCTGCGCGCCGACGTCGGACACGGAGTAGCACGCCTGCAGCGGCAGCTCCTGCAGCGGCTCTTTGTCGCCCGCGCTGTTCAGCAGTTGCACCACAGGGTTGTCGCCCTGGCACATCAGCCGCACAAAGATCTTCTTCCAAAATCTGCGAATTATAAATTTCATTATTTTGAATTTAATCGCATTCTTTATTTTTTACTTTTTATCAGCTTGCTGGAATTTGATTCACATTATTGTTAATTTAATGTAACGTAACGTATACTATATAATCTTATTAAATAAAATATACCGTTGTCCAGTGATTTTCTTCTTGTTGGGTTGACGTAGATGCATCTCCCACCCAGGGCCCGTGTACTTGGTGCGCGGGAAGTCCTCAAGCGGCATCGAAACGTCATCGTCGAAGAGAGGCGTCGGTGGCGTCTCTCCCCCACTCCCAGAGCGACCTCTTGTTTCTTCTGGTTAGTTTTGGTTACCGTAGGAAATGGACAAAAATATTTTTACTCTTAGGTAATTTACAACGCAATATTGATATTATCCAACAAATATTTATCAGTTCATACTATAAATTATTATTTTAACTAATAACTTAAATTTGAAAAAAATGTAATTTATTAAAATATAACTGTGATGTGAAATTTTTAATATTATAATTACAAATAATTATTATATATTGAATTATATATATTAAAGAATACAAAAAAATACACACTGTATTATTACAGTGTCGCTTATGATTTTATTGAACAGTTAAAAGGAACAAAAAAAAGAGTGGAACAAATAGGTACGATTTTATTAAGTCGGCGGGAGGCGCTACCGGGTAAAATTTACATAAATATACTTCCAAACTGGTCTGTCTATTCTAAATATTAGAATAGGTAGAAAGATAGAAGAATTTTTAAAATTGAATCATAAGTTTCAGAGATGACTTCCTCATTCAAACTAAGAATTTTACATCCTTTCATTAAGCGAGCATGTAATAATTATAATGAAAAAGTTATTAACATAGACTTATTTAATTATACAGATGTATCCTACAGTATTAAGAAAGTGTTTTTAAAATCTTTATCATAACCATAATTCATTTTTAAAATTGCCTATTCATATTATGTCTTTATATTACAGTTTTTATTATGTTCTGTTAGAGTTTAACTTTTGCTTTTTTGTGTTTTTTTTATAATTCGTTTTTTTTTATAATTTTCACTTAAGTAATTTTTTTTGATCCTTTCATAGTGTTTTTGTTTTGCAGTAATTTTTGTTAAAATTTTTATTTTGTTGTTTTAATATTTAAACTAATTATCATGTTTACCTCTACTACTCTACCTGTAATATATTTATAGATGGAAACTTTGCTGGTGTGTGGATGTTTTAGTTTGTAATTATTTTTAAAAATTACTTATCTCACTGTTTGTTTCCCAAAAATTAATAAATCAATAAATAAATATCCGCCTGGGGCGAAAACGAAAGGAGAGTTATGTGTTTGAACTTTATGTGTGTACGTATGTATGAATGTATGTATGTATGTATGTATGTCTCTATGTATGTATAAATGTACGTATATATGTCCGACCCTATAATCTAAAAAAAACTAAAAACTTGAATAAATACAAAAAAAAATTATACCTTTGTATCCGACCGGGATTCGAACCCGGCCACCTATGATTGTCAATCTTGTGTCTTTTTTTAAAAAAAACTAAATACTTGAATACATATTAAAAAAATAAATAAAAGTAAAAATTTTGTATGCGACCAGGATTCGAACCCGGACACTTATTCAATCTTGCGCCTTGGCCGCTTGACCATGATGCTTAAATCCGAGCGTGCAAAATTATCGAAAATAATATTTAGCGTGGAATAATGCAAAAGAATTAAGGGATCTCTACCAATTAAACTCAAAACTAAAGCTATGAACCTATGCCTAAATCCATGCCTGCCAAACATGGGCTCTCAATAAAAATACAAGGAACAAAATAGCAACATGTCAAAGAGGTATTGAAAGGAGCTTCTTACATTTAAGGCTGAGAGACAGAGTGAAAAACGTCACTATCAGAAAACACACACAAGCTAAAGACGTCATCAAATCAGCACTAAAGTTAAAGTTGAAATGGGCAGGACATGTACAACGAATGGAACCAGACAGATGGGCGCATATACTAACGAACTGGACTATACGAGACTCAAAACGCAAAAGAGGCAGACCTACGAGAAGATGGTCTGACGACATAGAAAAAATAGCCGGCAGACTATGGCCAAGACTAGCGAGAGATAGGAAGAACTGGCAAACTTTGGAGGAGGCTTTCACCGCATAAGCGGTCCTTACACAATTATGCAATATACATAAAGTACATATATGTAAAAAAAAATAATAATAATATAATAATAAAAATAACTAATTAACCTACTAACTACCGAAAACATTACTAATATAACTACCACATTACCTACGTACTAACACTACTAAACTATACCTAATAAGGCACAAAATACAAACATACACATACATAATACTACCACACAAAACTATAACTTAGACACTCACGCATACACACACTCTGAACAACGACTTTAAAATGTCTATATGAGATATAAAAAACACATTTCACTTCAAAAAAGCTTAAAAAACAAATATGTAAATAAATAAATAATATACACAATATCTACCTTTTAAAAGTGTGCTTTTCGTCTAAGTTTTATAAGCTGCCTACCTTATCTATAAGATTTTCAATGTTTTTATAATTTAAAAGTGTAAGGAAAAATAAAGCTATTTTTATTTTTTTAATTATTTTTTTATTTAATGCAAAAGAAAACCGCATGAAAATTCGAAAATACGCGTTTTCCCAGACATAAGATTAATCTAGATCGATTTATCGCTCCCGAAACCCCCTGTATACTAAATTTCATGAAAATCGTTGAAGCCGTTTCCGAGATTCAGGATGTACAAGAATTGCTCGTTTAAATATATTAGATAGGAATAAAAATCAAAATGGCGGATTCTAGACCCCAATTTATGTCTTGAAAAAATGTTCTCTTCCGAACCAATCGAGTATATCAAGATATAGGTTTTTAAAAGATGATTACAAAAATATACACAACTTATATGTTTAAAAATATTTTAGGATTATAAAAAAATTAGGTACAAAAATAAAAAACCCGACTGGGTAAAAAGCGAACTAAAAAGACGAGAACAAGTTAACGACAAAACACAGTACATATTATACAGTCGAAGACATACTCATACATGTTTTATACTAGAAGCGAGTCTTTGCTACGTGCACTTTTTTTTTAATAGTAGTAACTTGTAAAACTTAAAGAAACAAATCATGATAAGTACCTTGGTCGAAATCAATTCGTGTTTGTATTGGCTCGATACTGCTTTTATCGAAGGGGTTGACGCGTGGTGACTCGGGCAAAGCTTGCGGGCGCGGAGGCGGCGCAAGTGCCGGCACTGCTGAGTCGACCCCGTTAACATCATTCTCTTTCGGTCTTAAATTATTCAAAAAAATATTAATTAGTCAAGGAACAACATTCTCCATTTGGTCTGTTTTCGTCTGCTTGAGACGAAATTTTTCTGCCAAAAAATATATAAAGATGAAAAAACAGCTATTCTTATTTAAAATTATTATAAAGCTACTATTAACACGTTCGGCCCAGCGCCGCCGTAAGAAGATTCTCGCATTGTGACACACCGTTTCCCCATACAAATTGGATTTACGTTGATAAACGTTGTGCTCTTCATGTGTGCAAGATTAATTTTTGATGCGACACAAACGTTGAGAGACGTCGACGTTTTATAACGCTGTGTCACATATAGTTCGAGTATTTACCATAAGCTAGAACACAACGTCAAATCACGTTGACATTAATAAACGCTGCGTCGCATACAGTCAATATAAGGTATAGAAACCTAAGAGCAACGTTTAGTTACGTTGACGTTCATAGACGTTGCGTTACTGAAAGTGAATTATGCTTATGTAAAACGACTATCAAAGTCCTATCACGTTGACATTTACTTTTTGATTTCTTCGGAATCTGTATCTTTGTAACGGTAATTGCGTGAGTTTATTAGACCTCGCAGTGAGGACTGGTGCGAAGCTGCCAAGATCATAAGACCCAACCATGTTCGGTGGGCCGTAGACTCCTTTAAGCCCTACAAGGCGAGAGGGGAAGACGGGATACCACCAATCTTACTGCAGCAAGGGGTGAACATCCTCCTTCCCCACCTGAATATATAAATCTTCAGAACGAGCTTCGCCTGGGGATATGTACCAGATATATGGACCCATGTCAGGGTCATATTTATACCTAAAACTGGTAAAAAAGACTATAGCCAGCCAAAGTCTTTTAGACCAATAAGCCTCTCTTCATTCTTACTCAAAGCAATGGAGAAGGTACTGGATAGGTATATAAGAGATGAAGTCTTGACTAAAAGTCCAATCCACTTTAACCAACATGCATATCGTAAAGGCAAATCAACCGAGACTGCCCTTACAAGTCTTATAGACCAAGTGGAAAAGGCGTTAGAAGACAAGGAAATAGCACTATGTGCATTTCTAGATATCGAAGGTGCTTTTGATAACTCTTCTACTTCGCTGTTGGTAAATGGGTTGATAACTAAAAATGTCGACCAAACAACGGTAAAGTGGGTGAAATCTATGCTCACTAGCAGAAAAGCAAAACTAGCCCTCCACGATACAGCTATCTATATATCCACAGCAAGAGGATGTCCGCAAGGGGGAGTTCTATCCCCATTACTGTGTACCCTTGCTGTGGATGAATTACGTCGCTATCGGTATTTATGGATTCTGGATCGTAATCCTTGTCAGTATCGTACTCTCCATCATCACTGAAAGGATCAGGAGTAACTTCCCAAGACGAAGAATCTTCAAATACCTTCAGAAACCCCTTACTTGTAGACACGCTTTTTATCCATCTAAAACAATATCAAAATTAAAATATATCAACTAATTATTATAATTATACAAAAATAAATGTAATATACATTTAAATATACACACTTATTTATAATTATTATTAAAAATAGACATATTATAAAAATCTTACGGTTTATCGTTCACTTCAATACGGTTGAGCGACGTTCGCGCAGCACGCGCTCCTCTTGATGCGGCGCAGAACGACAGAAGCTAGCTGCGTCGCTACTCCCCGCGACGTGTACGGACGTTGTGGGTATGCGTATGTGAGCATGTGTGCGCGTGACGGATGTTAGCAAAATGCTACTAAAAGTTGATTCGTTGCGGCAGTAGACTTTTGAAACTTCCAAACGATGCGGCGCAAATACCTCTTTAGTAGAATATCGTATTGACTCCTGACGTTATGAAACGTAGGGCGAATAAATGCACGTTTAAAGTAGACGTGACTAAACGTTGTGTCAATTATTTAATTTCTAATTTAGCCGTCATGAGACGTTGCTGGCCCGAAAGTGTTAATGCGATGATGAAGCTCAACATTATCAAATTTACTATGTGTATGCCACCTTATTTTACTTTAATCAGGAACTTTTCACCTTATAAATACGGAGAAAGTATCATCTGTGGAGTCTCGTGAACCCTGAGTTTCAAGGCGTGGTGTAGCGGCGGGGGGCGGCGGAGCGCCCATACTAAGGAATGGATCAAAAGCTTCGGCTTCGAAACCACCCAGCCCACCGTCTGCTGTGCCATCATCACCCCATGCATCTAATAAAAGACGTTTTTTTTAATATCATAGGAGACTTATCATTTATTTAATAATAAATATTTAATACACAGACAGAGATCTCTCATAAGAACATGGTCAAAAAACCAAGCGCTGTTATTTTTACCAAAATAAAATAAAAATAAAAATGACACGCTTTAAAGTCAATAAAGTATAAACATGTACAAGAGAATTATAAACATAAGACATTTGACTTTTTTGTGAAATTAGGGCAATCGATATGTCGGTTTAACTTAACAGAAATACATAAGTATAGGCATTTTATTTTACAATAATTCTGTTTTATATCGGTTGTTAAAAGATGATAATCATTAAAACGTACCTGTATTCATGTGATTAGCACTTGTGGAATCAAATTTAGCGGAGAACGCGTCAAATGCGTCCTGAGATTCGGGGAAGGCATCGTGCGCGATATTATCGCCAGCACCCCATCCCAAATCTGTTACAGACGCGGTTGAAATATCTGGAGTTTTGTCTTGACCAACATTAAAAATATTATTTTGACTTTCATCAAATACATCTTTAGTGACTGTACCAAAGACATCCATTTGCGTTTCAATAGCGTTAGACTGAGCTACAGCAGTAAAGGTTTCGTCAGTAGTAAATGGAGTATCTACGCTTGAAGTTATTATTATATCTTCAGATTTAATATTAGCTTTATCTGTTTCTTCATTAGATTCAATATTATCGCTGATCTCAAACGGATTTTTCTCACCTTCTTTAACTTGCTGTAGATGATAACTTTCGTCAGTTATGTCGGCAAATGGTGAAGCATTTAATGAAGTTGTATTCACTTCAGCTGATGGCTCGGAACAATCCATTGGAGCCACTGTATCATTATGTGAGCTATCAGTTACCGGCGGATGAATAGCGTTCTGTGCCTCTGTTTCCGCGGAATCAGACATAATGGTATCCGTTTCATTGAAAAATAAATTTGTAGATTCATTTATTTTCGATGTTGCAACAGTAGAAAGAGTATCTGTAGGTTTAATTTCAGTAGCAGTAGATAATTCCGGAAGGTCATCGCTAAGAAAATCTATTTGCTTTTCTTCTTGCTTAGGTGCCGAATATAAACTTAAGATATCTTCTTTAGTAGACTTAACAACGGTTGGAACTGGAGCATCAAATAAATTAATGTCATCAGCTGCTACTTGAGGAGGTGGTTGGGGCCTTGGAGGGGGCGCAGGTCTAGGGGGGCGTGCAGGTGGCGGCCGTGTTGGTTTATTACGGTTAATATCTACTATTGTAGAGGTTTCTTCAAGTAATTCCGGTTCAGGTGTAGGACTAGGTGAATGCATATCTAAAGCTGAGACCGGACTCGGTGTTCGTGTTGGCGGTATGCGATCAAGTAAATGTGTGCTTGTAAATTCCATTTGTCCTGTTACTGTCAAAATCAAATTCTGAGTTTCCGGGGGTAGAGGTCGGTTCGATGATTGCACTTCTTTATTTTCTTTTTCATCAGGGTAACTGCAATCAACTATATTGGAAACAAGTTCAAGTTCGGTTGGCTTAACAAGCCGCTCATTGTCCATAGATAGATTTCCAAATATATCCATTGAAACTGTTTCATCAAAACACTGCTTAGCACTAACACTAGTAGGTTCTGCCCCACCAAAAATATCCACTGGCACTGTATCGCCAGGAGGTGGTTCATAACTATCTCCGAAGTCAGAAAATGGATTACTAGTAGCAAATGGATTATCACCAGGCGCAAAATTCGAAGTTTCTGAATCTGACATAATAAATGGATTTAGCACTTCAGTAGTCACAGGTGCGACGGGTTCATTCATACTTAAGAAAGGATTGAAAGCCATTTTGATAATTTAACTTAGCTCAAAAATTCCGATTCCAGTAACTTTAGCTCTGTTCTTCCTGGATTGAGATCACTAGCAAAAGAAGTATCGAAGGGATCAAAATCGTCTTGTGATATTTTAGCTGTATCAGATGGTTCAGGAGTTAAAGCTTTAACCTGAAAAATATCGTCAGTAGGTTCAAGTAAATCAGTTTCACCTTCAGCTTCGAAGGACGTTGAATTTTCACAAGAGAATTCCTTCGCTAAAAGTTTTAATTCTGTTTTACTTGGTTTAATATCAGTAGCAAAAGATGTATCAAAAGGATCCGATTCTACTTCAGAGGTAAAATTTTCACTAGCTTTGGGACCTATAGGAGTTAAAACTTTGGCTTCAATTTCATTTGCATGACTTTGAAGGAGATCACTTTCTTTAAATGTATTCTTATTTTGACTTGATCGTGTATATTCTGAATGTCTACGCTTAGTTTGGTAAGTTACGTTTACTGTCAAATCTTCTTCAGAGCGCGTTCGAGACAATATGTCGGGGACCTTATCAGATGCCTCTGCTTCTTCACTTAAATCTTCAGTTATGGAGACTTCACGCGTATAATATGGAGTCAAAGGCTTAGAAGGCTTTGATTTAATATCTAATTCAGAACTTTCCACTCCATCAACATTAAAAACCACATTTTTGCTCACAATTAAATTTTCTGGACGAGATGCTCTCCTTTCTACTATTTTAGGTTCATCTGCTCTAGGATCGAAGTCAGGATCACTAGGTACACGATAAATAGGTGCCGGTACTGTATTACCGATTAACTCTTGCTCTAAAAGCTTCAATTCAACTTTTCCCGGTGCAACAATCTTATCTACAATAGTGGTATCAAAGGGGTCTATATCAGTATTATTTATATCCACTGGATCTAAAGGTGAATCCCCTAGCTGTGTCAGATCAGTTGTACTTCCTCCTAAGAGATCCCGAGTGCTTACTTCATTATCTACAATATCATCAGATGTTATAGATTCTCTTAAACCCGAGGGATTAGTTAAATGAATTCGAACCGAGGACTTGCGTCTGTTGTTAAGTTTTACCTGAACTTCCTCTGCTCTTGGATCGAAATCGTCGTCTTCTTCTAATATGACTGCTTCTTGTTTAACTTGATCAAAATTGGTACCTGGAACTACAGCATCTGCGAAACTTGTATCGAAAGGGTCGTCTTGGTCTATATAGGGATCAATGACATCTAATTGGTCTTCAACAATTCCTTCTGCAAAAACGGTCTCGTTCTTATCAGCCTCAAAAGCAGACCAAGATTCCTGTAACACTGGTTCAACTTTAATTTCTTTCTCTTCTAATTTGGTAATTGCAGATTTTACTTCCAATGACTCAGCTGCTAATAACGTGAATTCATCAATTTCTGCGTCCTCTGATTCATTAAACTTTTCCTCGTTGGTAACAGCTTGTATTTCTTCTTCGTTTGTAGCTTTCTGTTGTTGTTGTTGTAATAATGAAGTATGTAAAGAGACACTTAGATCTATTGGAGTAGTTATAGGTACATCAGTATCAAAGTCCAATATGCTTTTCTCAACAGGTTCATTAACCTTAGTTGATGGAATTGATGTAGCGTCTTTATCTACGCTTTCTAATAGTAAGTCACCAGGAATAGTTCTTTTCGGCCTTTTTGTAGTGATTGTAAGATTATCTATTCGGCCAGTAAGAACTTCTACAGCAACTCCAATATCTAGACCTTTTTTCCCCTTCGAACTTTTCGAATCTTGCCCCTTAATTAGAGCATCAACGTGAGATGTGTCAAAGATATCATCGTCTTGAAATTCTTCAGGTGAATCTGGGACATAAGCGAGTTTAACTTCTCCACGTTCAACGGCATCGACGTAGGAAGTATCAAATATATCGTCTTGATCGTCTTCTTCCTCAGACTCGTCGTCGGTAGCTCCGTAGTCACTCTTGTCCCCGCTGTCTGCTTCTGCAGCTGCAGCTGCTACTAAATGAGGAAAGTCAGCTTCTGTAACTTCAACAACAGGTCTCTTCGGTTCCTCCTTCTCTATTGATTCGACTTTCTTGGGCCCTGCCGGAACACGTTGAAAAAACGATGTAGACTTAATACGATCTAAATCGCCTTGTGTCTTCTTTAGTATAGAATCAACACCAGTCGTCAAGTCCTTAAACTTTGACCATTCTTCATTTTCTTTTGTTGACCCTTCACCTTCACCTTGTTGCTGATGGTCTCTTCTATATTTTTTTAATTCTTCTTCTGTGAAAAGTTCCTCTTCACCTTTGCGTTTAGATTTTTTACCCTTTTTCTTCTTTTTAAGGCCTTTGGGTAACTTTAGCATTATATGATCTTATAGGCTTTTCTTTGTGTTGCTGAAATAAAAGAATAATAATTTATTTTCACCATTTCAAAATATATTTACACTATGAAATACTATACGTACATATGAATTAAATTTAATATGAGCTTCCATACTAAGTTAAATACATATTAGTTAACCTTAAGCATTCCTATCATTTCAAAACTATAGGTATTTATTATTATCATAGTATATTGCGTAAGAAAGACATTTATACTATGACCATCCATGTAAGTATTCTTAGATCACTCTGTTTACAGGATTTTATAAAATGATCGTATTTTACAAAGAAAGCAAGGACGATACGTAATATTCGACAAGATGAGATGTCACAAATTTAAAAAGGAAAACTTCCTAAAAAATTCTATCATATTGATCGGGCCTATACGTAGTCTATGCTTAAACTATATAAAGTTATATACATGTACATGCAACACCTTGATGTATGAATTGAGATACTATGTTGAAAGGATAATACTTCCAAAATGAGCGAAAAGTGGTGTAACATTTAGTAAGACTACATAATATGGGCACAAAAATTGAAAATCTTTAGATAGTCATGCCAAGAGCTTAATGAGATCTCGCGAAGTTGAGATTTGAAAAGATGAGGGGAGGCGACATGATAGGGGTTGGACTGCGGCGGGTCACAGTGCAGCAGTTAGATGAGAGAGTTACGGACAGCGGACACTCGGACACGTACCACCGCCGCCTACAGCTAGGGCGCTACGGATTTGGGCTGTACCTTCATTGCAACACACGGCACTCGGCACGCTCGCACTCTCGGGGTGCCCTCGGGGCGCCTGGCTCGGGACTGGCGCGGCGGCCGGCGCATCGACCCGCCACGGCCTGCGCGCGCACCTCGTTATGTAATACACCTCTCATCTCATTCATTCCCATCGATTGCATATTATAAAAAAATTCGATCAAGCCTCACTTGCCAAGTACCATAAACTAAACCAGAGCGCATATACGGATGCTACTTTTTTTGACTACTTAATCTACACTTTAGCAAAATAATATATGACACATGATAAAAAAATACCAAACAATCAATATTCAAATGACATATTTTTTGTAAACTTCTAATGGTTGTCATGTTACTTTTAAATTTCATTATTATTTTACGAACATTTACAATCCCTAATATACGTTTTTGGAATAAGAAGTTCTAGCTCGTTGCATTCAACTTTCTATAAATAACGAAGTTTACCCTAGAATTATACTATGTCATACTTTTCTGATGTTGACTCTTTTAATTCATACATATAATAAAATTGTAACTAAGCTGCATCTGTACACTATTGTTTGGGAAATCTTATTGAAATAAACATTATTATCGATACAGAGGCCAAATCTATAGTTTTTAGAATTTTTGTGTGTCTGTCTGTTACCGTGAAAAACCACTGGAGGGATTTTGATGAAATTTGGTATGGTGATAGCTGGTTATCCGGGGTAAATATAGAATACTTTTTACCGTAGGAAAATGTCTCATTTCTGAGAAAAAATACAAAAACTGCAATGTAAGAGTATACTAATATGTAAAACCTAAGAATTTGGTTTTTGGTTATCTGAACGCGGGCGGAGCCGCGGGCAATGCTAGTTAATAAATAAATAACTTAATTAAATAAGGATATCATACCGAATTACTATTTAACATAGCCTACAACCTAGCATATAGAAACAAAATTTTGAATAACAGTTCTTTTATTGTAAGCGTGAAGAAAGATTTTGAGTTTATTCCTTATGTAGGTTAAATAGGGGCGCCACCTTCGCTATCAGAAAATTGTTATTACTGAATCAATGGTTTTAGTGAATTATTAGTCTGTACTTGTAGCAAAATGTAATTATTTACGAGTTACAATAAAGTAATCAGACTTATTAATTAAGGAACATAATATATTTTGTCATCGTCATGGTATTTCCATAGTGGGATAAATATCTACCTATAGGTATTCTACTTACTATATATACCTATATATATAAATTTTTGTCTGTCTGTCTGTTTGTTCCGAATAATCTCAGAAACGGCTGGACTGATTTTGACGCGACTTTCACTGGAAGATAGCTGATGTTATAGGGAAGTAACATAGGCTACTTTTATTTTAGAAAAAGAATTAGGGTTCCGCTCAAAAAAATTAAAACGTTCCCAGGAAAGAACCCGAGCGAAGCGAGGGTGAGTCGCTAGTAAAGACAATAAAAGTTAAAGTGCGTAAATACGCATAGTCGCATAATACTATGTTCAAACGTCATCCTGTTTCTATCATTTTAGTTCGCTCGTTAGAATGTCGGTTTTTTAGAGTAATATAATTTACTTTTTACAGTTTTTTTTAGTTTTAGCCAGTTCGACAATGGAATAGGGACGAATTTTGCTTTTTTCTCCCGCCAGATGTCGCGATCACTACGATCCTCAGTATATTGTAAAGCTCCATAGCCTGGATGGATTTTTTTTTTCATTTTATGTGCAGTGGCAGGATGCAAAGAAAATGGATATCATTTGTTCCCCAAAGACAAAAACTGAAGAAATCGTTTACTAAAGCAAAAAGACAACCAAAATCAGCGAAATAACAATCTTTATATTATTTAAGGCTATGTATTTATTTTAACATGTATTTATGTCTTTGTATTGAAGAGCATTAATACCAAGTTTTAAGTAATTCTGACCATAAATAATACTTTGCTTAACCCCATATACTAATGCATACATAAACTTTATTAACACCCCCCCCCCCTTCCCCTTAAAGAGATGAACTTCGAAAAAAAAATGTATTTCTTATTTTTTATCTTAAAGCTAAATACACTTTCTGTGTATTTCACATGAAGTATGACAGAGTTTCATACAATCTTTAATCCCCTATTTTACCCACTAAGGGGATGAATTTCAAAAAATCCTTTTTTATCAAATGTCTACATCATATAAGGAATACGTCCTAAAAATTTCACGTTTGTACGACCAGCGGCTTGGTTGTATGATGATTCGTCAGTCAGTCAGGACCACCGCAGGATGCACTACACTACTTCAGCAGATCTAACTTCCTAGATATGTACAATACATTGCACAGGTAAGATGTGACACAATAGAAGCAAAAACCAGGTACAAAAGAGATATCATAATAAATTGCTTAACCTCAGACTGAACGTAAATAGATCATACGTGTAGCGGCCTCCTTTCAAGAAATCTTCCTCATTTGAGTTGAGTGTGTGCATTTTACGCAAAAAGTATTATTATACTGGACAAATTTTATATAGTAACAATAGTGATACTTATTACTTAGGAGTCGGTTTAACATTTAGGATACCTTTTACCACTAAAATCTCGCATCCTCCTGATAACTCACGATAATAACACATCTATATCTATGTATACAATATCTTAATATTATAAAGAGGTGAAGTTTGTGAGTTTGTGACGTTGTAGAGAGTAATCTCTGGATCTCTAATGAACCGATTTAGATGAAATTTGGTAAGAAGATAGTTTGAGACCTTGGGAAGGACATAGGATTTTTATCCCGGAAAGCATCCGTCAAGGGGGTGAAAATGGGGATGAAAGTTTGTATAGGGAATCAAGCTAGTATAAAACAAAGTCGCTGTCTGTCTCTGCCTGTTTCTCCGATGACTTCTCTTAAACGCAACGCTTGTGTATATAATTTGTAAATATTTCATAGGAACAAGATTAATTATGAATGGGTTTTGTCAAAAGAAACTGTTTTCGTACGCTTACATAGTTAACGCTGATTAAACAAAAGTCTTAAATAGGCCTACAGAAGTTTCCATTAGTATATTGTATTTCTTAAGGTACACTCACAAATACTACATATTTTGTGTCTATTTAAGTTTTTTACTTATTTTGATTATTTTGGATTAAAATGAGCGTAATTTTATATAAAAACATCCACTTATTTTTATCCAAATTATTTTATTTTATTTTTTAAATCATAATTACCTCGATATAATAAATTTTAAAATTGTGTGGGTATGTATTATATAGATGACGTAATTTGTAAGGTGCAAACAGACGTTAAGGTTTCATTCAATGTTCAATCGGACTTTTCAAGGACAACTCCGTGATCCGGAGCAAACTCAAATCTCAATCGAGCATAGCGTAAGTGACACGCGGCGATTTGATCCACAGACCAAAGTGGATGAAATCCGATGGATTACTGGACTCGTGGGTACTGGGTATTACTGAACTGTGTATTTTTACTCTTACTATAATTCATCCTATAATAATTATAATACCAATTCAATTAAACAATTACACAGATTTTATGTATGTTCTCTTATTTCGTAACAATACAACAATATTGCTAATGATGAATATTAAATATATTATCAAGTGCAATTTGAATATTAGGCCTTATGGATAACTCGATTTTTATACTGGCTAGTGTGTTATATTCAATATCTTACATTCGACTTGGAATGAGGAATTTAAATAACTTTAAAATATACTGTATACCTATACCATATAATAAGTAGATCTATGATATCATTTTAAAAGTATGCTTTTTCATGTTTTCTTGGTGTTCAAATTTTCTTCGAAACCGCTTTTTTTTGTGATCACGGAAAACGGTGCATTATTTTCGTAGTGGCACCAAAAAAAATTGACGTATAATATGCAATATCAACCATCAAAGTACTATATATATATATAATATGGACTAGATAGCGCAAGTGAACATAGGGAGCTTTTTTAGTTTGCTCGTTTTTGTTCTAGTACCTATTTCAAACTCTCCTTTTAAAATTATTATTCAAACTTTACACACTGCACCATCGACCCTCTCTAAATGACAATAACTTGGAATGGAAATTTATCGGTACCGGCCACATCCAGTTCCATGTGGCTTGCATATTTATCGGCACTTACACAAATTTTTAGAAAGCAAAAACTTAAACTCCGAATTTTGACTCCAGACCTAATATTATATTGTTAATAGGCTTAAGTTCCGGGTCGGGATAATAGATATTTTAAATAAATTCTTAGGAGCAGTTCTGAGCTGGCGTGCTTGCAATGTGAACGCACTTTGTCCTGTTCTCTGCGTCGCTTTATACTGTCGACACGCCGCGCCGCACCGTCACCAATCTGCTATCTGTAATAGGGTCTTGAACTAAGTTATGATAGCTCAGCGGGTTCGGCTCCAGTTTAAATGTTACGTACTAGGGTCTTGGACTGTAGTAATAAAATGATATAATGTTTTGTATAGCGGTAGTTTATGGGGCTAGAATTCATTATTAAAAATCATGATTTTTCTTTATTTTTAACATAATTAATTATTTTTTTAAATCAAAATCACGTGACTACATACGCCAATTACGGTGCATGACGTCACTTACCATTGTCATTAGTGTCAAGTATAGTATTATATGATCTGTGCTAGTTTGTTGTTTATACAGTGTAGTTTCGAAAATTCAATTCTCTGTAATCTCAAAGTTTTAATCGTTTAAGTAAAGTAATATTTAAATTTACTTACGTTCCTGGTCAATACCATGGCGAAAAAATTTATTCGTAGCAACTCAAATCATGTATCGATGTCATGATGGTGGCGGAATTTTTCGCTAAAAACCCTGATTTTATTTTATTTTTTATTTTATTATCTAAGTACTAGGTATTACACAAATTAAAAGGTGTAAAAATCTGATTAGTCTTAAAATAATCCAAGGAACCTAAATAATCTCTAAGCATAACATCATAAGTCATGACAAAACACAGGTCACAAACTAATAACATACCTACAGCATAGCATAGTTCAATGAATAGGTATTTTATACTATAATGTATACTCTTACATTAAAATTATCTTTATAGACGTAAATCATTGATTTTATGGATTGGTTTTTCCAGTCTCGCCTTGTGTCTTATTGGTATTATTTTCACATAAGGGCAATGAACTATACTGATAATACTTAATTGCACTCATTTTCAATATTCTTGTTCCCTTTTCAATTAATAATTAATCGATCGAGCCCACAGATTACGGAATATAATCGAGCTCTTTATAGTCTACACACGCTCTGTATGATAAGTGACGTCACGCTGTTAAAAGAGTGGCGTTCTAGCGCCTAATTCTAAAGTGAAAAATAATTTTCGATTTTTTAACATAAGAATACAGTAATTTCTGCGGGAACATAGTTTTAGCAGCATTTTATTTATGTAAACAATAAGCCGAGATACTTTTCATAAAATAGTCCAAGACCCTGGTCTTTGAGAAAATTGAGATTATTCTAATTTACTCGCGATCGAAGTCCATCAGGTGGATATAATTATTTATTTTTTATGTCAAATGATTAATGATTAATAAAAATACTAAAATGTTAGTTAAGTAATAGTTATAACTTTGAAATTTATACATTAAAATTTAGTTAATCCTAAAATGAAATAACCGTATAGTTTTCATATATATCTAATAACATTTATAAAGTTAAATTATTTATTATTACTGGTATGGCGAAGGGGTCATGGGAAAAATGGAACGTTGTAAAAAAATAGAAACAACGCCATTTATGCACCTAGCGGCAGACATATGGCACTAATTTGTCAAAATAGGTTATTAAGCAACTAAATAAAATGACGTATTTGTAACATTTACCTGATCGGACCTCTCTTTCCTTCTCGCGGCAACGCTCATATAAAGTAGCGCTCGGTGTTTTGCACAAAGTGCGACTTCGATATTTTAATTTTTATTACATTTCCGCTATTCGCTACCGCGAGGCTACGTCGCTAATTCGTGTCGTTTTCTACTGTGAAAAACATTTTAATCAGTGTATAAATTTATCCGCAAAGCGAAAAATGTTCGGTATTTGTGCTCGAAGTACAATACGGCATAGGTGAAATACACGCGTGGTTCCCCAGACGACGAACGTGGTACTAGTGTGGTGGTCGGGGACGATTTGTTATCAAACAGCTCGCCGCAGCTCGGGCTCTTGGAGCGCCCGGCCATGGCGGAGGCGGCACCCGGAAGCATCGTGAAGGAGGGCTGGCTGCTGAAGCGCGGCGAGCACATCCGCAACTGGCGCGACCGTTACTTCATCCTGTTCGACAATGGCGACCTGGTCGGCTTCAAGGCGCAGCCCGAGCGCAACAATTACCGCGACCCCCTCAACAAATTCACCGTGCGTGACTGCCAGATCATGGCCGTGGACAAGCCGCGCCCCTACGTGTTTACCATCCGCGGCTTGCAGTGGACCACCGTCATCGAGAGGAACTTCGCCGTAGACACTGAGGAGGAACGGTCAGTATAAGCGAACCTTATACCAACCAAATAAAGTTTACTTGTGTGTGTTGTCATCGTTTCTTATTTTATGTTTATGTTATTTACAGTTGTTTACATACTAAATTGTGTAACAAATAAAGTGACTCAGTGTAACTTATTAGGTAATAAATTTACTTCTTTGTTACTCATACTTGTAAAAGGTACTAATTCTTAAACATTATATGAGTTACATTGAGTTATGGTGTATATTTGATGACTGTTTACACTGTTTGTTGAGGTAACTTGTTGAGAGTCCAAAGTCCACTGATTTGTTTATTTACATTATGTATGCACACACATAATATGACTGAGTCAGCAATCCTGTGCTAAGAAATTGCTATTTTCTCATAAGAATGTTGAACAATACACCTTTTTGTGCCTGGTAATATTTATAAATCTTCCATTTCTTATAGAATAATACTTTATATGTATAAAACATTTTCTTTCATCATTATGTTTGTATATATCAACATTTTTTGTATTGAATAAGGATCACTGAACTATGCTGTATGTTATACTAATATGTAATGTTATAAAAAAATTACTTCATTTAAATGGGCCAAAAAATACATAAAACACATATTTACCTATTAGATATTCATAATTATCTTAAAATATTGTCGGCTGGCACCGACTTCGAAAATATCTGATTAGGTAGCTATTCTAAATGAAAAGCCCCGTTTTGTTATTTTGTACATTTTTAGTGTATACGTAATAAGCAGGTAATTTGTTGGACGAAAGTTTTTAATAACATATTCAATTAAGCAATTTATTTAAAAAAATAATTTATTTGTTAATTTAAAAAAAAACTGTTTGACTGATTTCAATAAAATTCATATGGGACCACCTGGGAAGTATACGCTTTGAAACAAAAAAGAAATTCCAAATTGGTTCAGGCGTCTTCGAGTAATCGGTGAACATACATAAAATTAAAAAAAAGATTCCAACGAATTGAGAACCTCTTCCTTTTTGGAAGATTTTTGGGAAGTTGGTTTATTAAATAAAATTTTATCAAGATACTAACTTCTAAATTATGATTTTTTTTAAATACCAAAGTAAATTCATATATTTATTCTTTTTATTATTAATACATAATGTCGATATTAAATCTAGTTGTATATGCTAGTGAGTAGTATCTGTGACTTACCTGGTATGGTTTGCGTGACAGTTAAGTGCAAAAGTTCCGTCTTAACCCAGTAACTCTTAAGGAATGAGCAACCAAAGAAGTGAAAAAGTTCAGAAGTTTTTGGATTTTAAATTTGCATTATTTAACCAATTCAATTCTTTTTGATATCACACTGCTGGGCATGGGTCTCTCTTTAATATGTGGGACATCATGCTATATACCACCATGCTGGCCAAATGCTGTTTGGTGGGCTTCATACATCTTTCAAGAACTAATAAGTTTCTTTCAGGTTGCATCACAATGTTTTCTAGTTTCCTTGACCATATTAGCATTATATTTAATCAAGGTACAATTTTTCTATTAAATATTCAGTGTGTTATTTTGGATTAATCAAAACTTCTAAACTAGGTTCAATACTTTCTTCCAAGACTAAAGTCTGTTTTAAAAAGTTTGTACAGTTTACAACTTCAACAGAGAGGAATGGTTCTATTGACAATAAACAACAGTAAGACCTTTTCAATTATGTTTACTTGTTGTGTCAAGAATCTGTAATGGACTATCCATATTTTATTTCAATAAAGTATGTTTTTAAATAATAATGTTATAAATTGACCACAATATTGATTATTTATTTTATAAAAATAAAGCAGTTATAAATAACTCTTGGTTCGACAATTTAATTAAATTTAGCACAGAGATAGTTTGGGTCCTCTGAGTTCTATAGACATGGCTACTTTTACTTTGCAATAAAAAAAAACTACAAAATAAGCAAACATCACTAAAATGTTTATTATTAAGAGATAATGTAATGGATTTTAAACTAAATAATAAATAAATATGTTGGGACAATAACACACAGCGCTATCTAGTTCCATGGTAAGCTACGAGGCTTGTGTTATAGTTACCAGATAGTTAATACACTACACATATTAATCTTTAAATACATACATATTATAAATATAAACACCCATGACTGGAGTACAAATATTCATGCTCATCACACAAATGAATGCCCTCAGCGGGACTCGAACCCGCGACCGCTGGCGCAGCAAGTAGGGCACTACAAACAGCCAAAAGTGTCATCCAATTTACACAGTCCTGTTGACATTATTTGTCTTGAATGCTTATTACATTTTGAATAACTCTGATCAGAGCTCCCATACATTGCAAAAGAGACTGAAGTATGTAACAAGCTTGCTGGCGTCTTTAGTTGCATTTTAATATGAAAAAAAAATCTCACACAACTGATTTTTAGATGGCATATTGTTAAAAATAACAATCTTTATTTAATCTTCAATTCAAAGTTTCAAGTAATAATATCTTGAATTTATTATTACTAATAACAATGAAAAACCCATTACGTTGTAACTTTAGTATTTGTTTACCAAGTACAATAATTATGAGCATCATTATTATTATATTACATTAACACAAAGTATGTATCATTAAATGCTCATGTCTAGTTTTTTAAGTTATCAAGTTTTTTTTGGGCTGGAGCATATTTTAATTTTTTGAAAATAAGCTGTGTTGATTGATTTGCTTTTTATCTATACATATAATAAAATCGTAACTAATTCGAATCTACATTAAATATTTATTGGAAAATTTTATTGAAATAAACAACATTATTATCGATACAGAGGCCGAATATAATATAGTTTTTAGAATTTTTGTCTGTCTGTCTGTTACCGCATCACAGAAAAACCACTGGAGGAATTTTGATGAAATTTGGTATGGTGATAGCTGATTATCCGGGTCAACATACTTTTTACCGCGGGAACATACCTATCTCATTTCTGAGAAAAAAATACCAAAAGTGCAATGTAAGAGTATAATATGTAAAATCTAAGAATTTGGTTTTGGGTCATTTGAATGCTGGCGGAGCGCGGGCAATGCTAGTTTGCTATAAAATACTAAATGGTAGTGTTTGGTTTGTTTTTTGTGATGGATTTTGTTGGGCGCAAAAAGTTATATTCTGAGACTGAAAATATAACACACTTGTGATCTCAAGTAATTTGTTGAATTCCTTTGTATGCTGATTGTTAGTGTAACATATGTGATGTACATATGTTGCTTTTGTTATAATCCTTTTTATTAGGGTTCCGTATCCAAAGGGTAAAACGGGACCCTATTACTGAGACTCCGCTCTCTGTCCGTCTGTCATCAGGCTATATCTCATGACCCGTGATAGACAGTTAAAATTTTCACAGATGATGTATTCTGTTGCCGCTATAACAACAAATACTAAAAAACAGAATAAAATAAATATTTAAGGGGGCTCCTATACAACAAACGTGATTGTTTTTGCTCGTTATTGATATCGGCAACTGGCAGACGCTTGATATATTCACAGAATATTTAGTTATATACTTATTCACTTTAAAAAAAATAATTAAATAAAACAAATATTTAAGGGGGGCAACAAACGTGTTTTTTTTTTCTTTTGCTCGTTTTTGCTCGATATTATACAAATGGTATGGAACCCTTCGTGCGCGAGTCTGACTCGCACTTGGTTTTATTTCACTATTTTTTTGAATTTTTTGTTTACTTTCTAGAAAATATTCTTGTTGCAATTTATTATATTTGCCTTAGTAGGGTAGCATAGCATTTGATCTAGTCTTATTTTACACACATTGAAATTTGAAATTCATATCAGTTGTCATAATTGTTGCCCTACTGTTTAGTAGTCTGGAGCTAAAGACAACGACTCATGAAGTTTTTAAAAGAAATTTTAGTTTTCCATATGACTGAACAAAAATTGATAAAGTAGTTTATCAAATTATTCTTAAAAATATATTTTAATATATTCTATGATTGACAATAATCAGTTTTATTGAGGAGAGGTGATAGATAATAAATATGTCGGTCTCATATATGCTACAACTGATTTTTTAATAATTTTTAACTAATAAATAAAATCGTGAGTCATATTATTATATTATATTCATATTGGTTCAGTCATTCGCTTTTTTCGGTGTTATTGGTTTTTTTTTAAATTCTTGGCAACTTGTTGGAGTTAGGAAGATGGCGAGTAGATATTGTATCTGCGCGCACATTTTGTGCGCTATAATATGGCTAGTCTCAGTGAGACCGGCCGCCGTGGCCGGAATCGGTCGGAAGGATATTATTACCATAACAAGTGTATGTGCATGTTTCAGCGAGGAATGGGTGGCGGCTATCCGCTACGTGTCGTCGCAGCTGAGCGGCGGCGCGGGCGCTGTCGGCGCGCCCTCGCTCGCGCCCGCGCTCGCCGAGTCAGAGGACAAGGATATCGCCCAGCTCGGCACCAGCTTCCGCGACCCCAGGCGCATCGTGAGTACACAACACGTCACAATACGTTTGTCGTATGCCGTGAGAAGATGGATGAATGTCGAAATAGAGGTAGAACGAGGAACGTGTGGACGGACTGTGTGAGAGGTGTGCGAGCAGAGCTGAAAGCTGACTGAGGGAAATAGAAGAATCCTTTCTTCTATTTCCTTCAGTCAGCTTGAAAATGCTGCGTTACCTAATAAAGACAAGGACGCATAGCGCGGGTTGGATCACAATAGACGAGAGATGGTCGAGGTGTTATTATAGCAGCAACAAAGAAACTAAAAAAAAGAGCGGGATACAAGAAGAATACCATATTAGGTATGATTGTTAGTGTGTGCGTCAGCTAAAATGTCAGAAAAATACCAGTCGTTATATTTGTAATAGCTTGCTTCGTACACGTTATTATGTTATTAAAAGTATATTTTCGCATTTCAGAAAAACAATATCGTCGAAAACAAACAAAGCGATTTTATTAATCGTCGAAACGCGATTTTATGTGCTAGAATGTGTTGTCAGTGTATTTACCTTTGTTTATTATAATTTTTGTACATAATTATCTATCTATACGTATAATATAATATCTCGATAGCATTTGTATTGGCTTACTTTTTAGGGATGGGTACAAACATCATAGAGAGGCATAGCATAGTTCTCGTGCAAGATAGAGTATAGTTATTAGATCTATAGACATAATTATGAGGCTCAGGATATCTTATGTGTCGAAAACTTTAAATGTAATACAAATTATGAATTCAGTCTCTTCATATGAACTAAAGATAAAAACGCTACAATCCGTATTATTATTTATAAATGTGAAAGTTTGTGAGTGTTTGTTACCTTTCATGCCAGAACAGAACTGGCTGAACGGATTTGGATGAAATTTTCCACAGCGATAGATATATCTGATAATGATAATACATAGTCTGGAATAACACATAGGCTACTATTTATATCAGAAAAATGTACAGTTCCCATGGGATATGACTGTTTTTGTTTCCCTAGAGGCTAACCCGAGCGAAGCGAGGGTGAGCAGCTAGTACTACATACTTTATCATTAACAAAAATAAATAAAAACAAAGAGTTGAAGTTTATAACCATATTTTGTTTCTGTCCATACGCAGACGATGCCGCGTGTTTCGCTTGTTAGGTAACAAATAAATAATAATTGATAATTTGACACAAGATTGTGCAAGTTTCTGAACATTCATCGCAACTACGCTCCGTAGCGGATTCATATAAAAACATGTGATGTATGTCACAGGCGAGTAACTTTCGTCATCTCTAAGTTTTGGATCGCGTGTCGCCGCTCACGGCGTCACGCCTCCACGCCGCCACGCCGCGCGCTCACCTCAAGGGCCGTCACACAGAGAGAACTAGACTGATTAAACATTTTGCAAGATTAGCAAGCATCATCTAAATCGAGAGACCTATTTAAATTATTATTTACCAATCTATTTGTGCTTACTTGATCTCAATGCTTCCAATGTTATGTGAAAATATGACGTCATGTGTCCATCGCATTGTTGTTCGGGCTCTGGCTGTTTGTTTGCGAAAGTGTTATTATTCACGTTGGGTTGTTTACATTTTGAGCGCGACCATTTGAAAGTTAAGAGCGGATATTGTTGTATGAGTGCGAGTAAGTAGATAGGTGTGTGTCGACTGTCGCAACGGCGGCGGCTGTTTGTTTGCGTTGAGTAATTATTATTAATTAGCGAAGCGGGTCACAGGCAAATTCGTACGTGCGCCAAACGTGACCGCATGCCCTGATATGCGCTAGACCTATACACTATTACTATTACCCTTTTGTTTAGATACACAAAAAAAAAACAACGAAAAATACCTAACTATTGCTTTGTATTTGCGAAAATAAATATTCTATGAATACTGCTACGAGTATATTTTGTTTGCGCCGAACCCCTCAGAGACGCGATACTTGTCTACGTACGTACGTAGTAGTACTTACTTCGAATTTAGAATATCTAAATACCTATATTTAAAAAAATCTATATGCTATAAATGTATTATTCGTTATTTATATTATTTTTTTATGAGAATAGTCTGTAGATAACAGTCGTTGAACACAGAAAGGACGTGACGTGAGTGTGCAGGTACTGGGTGGCTATTGACAACGCGGTATTATTCTGGAACAGGAAAACTGCAGCTGTGAGTCAGTGTTCCGCGAAACTTGCGACAAACAAGCGTCATGCGCCATGTGGCGGTGTGGCGCGCCGCCGCCGCCGCCACAATACTATCTGTACACTGCATCGATAGCGATCGCATTCACTTTCTACCAAATAGGACATGGGGGATTAACGTATAATATAGCTATGAATAACCGCACTGTTACACTACTTACATACTATATTATACATACTTACATAGATTGTGTCATTTTTTTTCTTGCTTGTAATAAACATTCTATTATAAAACCAACGATTGTTGGCGGCTTGTCGGGCGGTTTTAGTTTGCGTCATCTATGGTAACTCCATTTTATAAGGAGATGATCAAGTTGCAGTTTATCATCAACTCGACGGATTCGACTGTAAATAAATATCAATTAATATTATATAGATCTGTAAGATTTCTACAAAAAAGTATCCAGTACCGTATTACAAGTTACATATTATTATTTCATTTTAAAATTTTTAGACACAGTTCATAAAATATGTTTTTTGACTCAGTAACATTTAGCTAATTATTTGAATAATATTATTTTTGATAAAAATAAATTATTTCCTCGTCACGGATGTTTAAATGAAATAAAATCCGCTCTTTACCGTGTGCCGTATAATTCGGTTACATAGGAGATAGTGGAAAATGAAAATAAATTACGATTTGCGTACAAAAATTTAAGTACACTGGTTACCAAAAAAAAAACTGGAAGTTCAGACGGAATATTAACCAAATTTTGCTAATATTTGAAAAATATGAATCCCTAATGTAACTGGGAGTATTTAGTATCGAAATGTACTTCTGCTCGAGATGAAAACTGTTAATTTGACGAAGTCCGGCCGCGCTTGCGGCCGCGTGTGTTGCTTACCTATACTAATACATATTACAAAGACGTAAAGTTTGTGAGGTTGTGTCAGCCGTTAACGTGGATCAAGCTCACTACGAAGAATAAATTATTTTATTTGAGTTTCACCGTTTACAATTTATCTGAGGACAACGTACTCGTATCATATAGAAATATCATTTTTACTGACATGAAAATCTTTAAGTAAGCTAAGCTTAATTACAATGTGATATTCGTAAATTCGAATCATGGGAAAGAAATGTTTCTATAATTTTTTTTCAGTATGTGATAACGGCATAATTATTATTTTATTAACGAAAACAAATAAGTAGTTGAATCGAGTAAAAAGTACTGACATTGAATATTTTTCAACCGACTTCAAAAAGGAGGAGGTTCTCAATTCGACTGTATTTTTTTTAATGTTTGTTACCTCAGAACTCCGTCATTTATTAACCGATTTGGACAATTTTTGTTTTATTTGAAAGGGTATACTTCCAGATTGGTCCCATTTAAATTTCAAAAAAAAATACCACCCCTAAGGGTGGAAAAACAGGTAATGATGAATTTAACCTACTTCTAATTGTCATATTGACTTGAAACTTTGCAAGTATTTCTATTTCCGTTGATAGTACAGTGGTTCGGTGTTGTTGACCTGATCTGATGGCAAGGCCAGAAGGTGGATAGGTGCAACTCTTCAACGGCTAATAGTAGATACTTTGAGTTTGGGCTTATTTTGTTTGATTTGACAAGCCTAACACGTTAGAATTCTTACTTTGCTACTACTGTCTACACTAAAAAGGGAAAAATAAAAACTTTTAAACAAAAAAATAAAAACGGACTTCAAACAAAAGCACTAAAAAGTAAAAAATAACTGATTGGTAGTTTTCATTTACTATACATACCTAATCAAATATTTTCGAAGTCGGTGTGCTTCGGCTAAGTAATTAAAGTCTACCTATTAAATACATACCTAATAAAATATTTTCGAAATCGGTGCCAGCCCATACAAAGCAAAGCATCAAAGAATTAAAATAAGAAAAAAGGCAATTACAGTTAGTGCAATTAAAATTAGATAAAAATATTAAGAACAAAAAAAATATATTTATATTTCTTTAAAAAAAAAAACAAATAAAAAGGAAAAGAAATAGAGAGAGAAAGCATATCCTTATTATGGAAATGTAAAAGACAAAAAAAAATTAGGAACTAATTTATATATTTTTTTCTTGAATGATAAAAAACTATTTTTTAAAATGTCATATTCATTATTGAAACAATTGTATGTTTTACACATTTTGTGTATTGTTTTGGAAAACATTATTATTTGCCGAAGGTATATTATGAGTTGTGACTGAGCAAAGAGGGGTGTTATAAGTTAGACGTATCTGTCTGTGTATCTGTGTTGTCTGTCTGTGGCATCGAAGCTCCGAAACGAATGGACCGATTTTGATGCGGTTTTTTTATTTGAAAGATGACGTGATCTAGATGGTTCTTAGCTATAAAGTATGAAGATCGTTCAGGCTTTTTATGATCATCAGTTTACTAACTTTCTAAATAAACTAAAAAAAGAAAAATAATTCCTCTCTTGGCCTTTTAATTTCATTAAAAGTAGCTATTAATATTTTGATGATAAATGGCCAAGAGAGAAATTTTATTTTTTTACTTTGTTTTTTTTGTGTCGGGTTACTTAAAATTTTTATTTTATTTTTATGTAGGATACACAAATCGGATATAACAGGCTTTTTAGTTTGTAATTATGAAATCTATCAGTATTAGTAGGTAACTCACGCTAGAGACCTTGCCACCTGCTTCATATTTTCAGAAATTTACGTTGACGGTGTTCTGTCTTGATTCTGTTAACACTCAGGTCCCGTACTACTTTAATGACTCTAAAGATAATAGTACCTGCTACGAGTATGTTATATTCGAACGACGATATTGGAACTTTATTTTTGTAAATGAAATGATATAACATTTATTTTTATTAAGCGCCATCAATTCTCATGCACGACATTTGGATAGAGTCAGTCATCATTGGATAGAGTCAATCTGATCTATTAGTGACTTGGCGATACATTTTTATATCATCAGCGAGCGATTTTTTGATATTTCGCAGGTAAATTAAAAAAATCGCGAAAATATAGTTTCACTAGTAAAATTTTAACTCCTTTTCTTACATTGTCGCGGGACAATTATAATACATATATCTAACATTGTCCGTGAACTTGTAAGAAAAGGAGACGATTGACAAAACTTCGTGAAATTATAATTTAACGGTTTTTACAATTTCCCTGCGACATATATAAATAAATAATTAGTTAGTAGTAGCTACTACACATTACGAAAACTTAGAGTTTTGTTAAGTAGTTGTATAAAGATTTAGGAAAGATAAATTTCGAGGAGCACGTCCTCATAGTGTGTTATATTTACTATTCACAGACATTAGAAAAGTTCGAGTTCGTGAAGGTGCTGGGCAAGGGCACGTTCGGCAAGGTGGTGCTGAGCCGCGAGAAGGGCACCGGCAAGCTGTATGCCATGAAGATCCTCAAGAAGCACCTCATCATACAGAAGGACGAGATCGCGCACACCATCACAGAGAACCACGTGCTCAAGAAGACCAAGCACCCCTTCCTTACGGTACGCGATCGACATAGCTTACCATTTAAACGTTTTTATTTCATCATTGGATGGATATTTTAGATTTTATAATTTTTTAGATAATACTTTCTGTTTTCGAATACTGCGCTAGAACCCGAAATTGTTTCAATGAAATCAGTCCATCCGTTAGATATATTGAAAATGAAATAAGTAGAATTAATTCCTTTTTTAAAGAGAATAAAAATGTAATATATATGCGTGTCCGTCGGTGCGGGGCAGGCGCTGCGCTACTCGTTCCAGACGGCGGACCGCGTGTGCTTCGTGATGGAGTACGCCAACGGCGGCGAGCTGTTCTTCCACCTCTCGCGCGTGCGCTCCTTCAGCGAGGAGCGCACGCGCTTCTACGGCGCGGAGATCGTGTCCGCACTCGGCTACCTGCACTCCGAGGGCATCATCTACCGCGACCTCAAGCTCGAGAACCTGCTGCTCGACAAGGACGGCCACATCAAGATCGCCGACTTCGGCCTCTGCAAGGTCAACATCACCTACGGCCGCACCACCAAGACCTTCTGCGGCACACCCGAGTACCTGGCGCCCGAGGTGCTCGAGGACACGGACTACGGGCCCGCCGTGGACTGGTGGGGCACGGGCGTGGTGCTGTACGAGATGGTGTGCGGCCGCCTGCCCTTCTACAACCGCGACCACGAGGTGCTGTTCGCGCTCATCGTGGAGGAGGAGGTGCGCTTCCCGCGCGCGCTGTCGGCGCCGTGCCGCGCGCTGCTGGCCGCGCTGCTGTGCAAGGAGCCCGCGCGCCGCCTTGGCGCCGGGCCCGACGACGCCGCCGAGATCATGCACCACCCCTTCTTCGCCTCCGTCAACTGGGCCGACCTGCTCGCCAAGAAGGTGCCGCCGCCCTTCAAGCCGCAGGTGGAGTCCGACACCGACACGCGCTACTTCGACTCGGAGTTCACCGGCGAGAGCGTGGAGCTGACGCCACCCGACGCCGACTCCGGCCTGCAGCGCATCCAGGAGGAGCACTTCCCGCAGTTCTCGTACCAGGACCTCTGCTCCTCCGCGCACTCCGCGCTCTCGCACCTCTCGCACCACTCGGCCGCCACCAGCCGCCACTAGCCGCCGCCGCCCGCCGCCGCCGACGACTCCTTTTGTATATATTAAACTTAGGATTTAACATTGTGCCTTTCATTTCACCTCTCTCTCGCCCTCGTCCGACTTCCGCTTAATAAATACAGATTAAGATAAAATATTAAAAATATTTGGTACATTGAAATTCAATTTTTTTATTTCATGATTCCTTATTTTGGACCACTTCGAATAAAAAGGAGGTATCCACTTAATTTAAACGTCTTTTTTTTTCATTGAAAATACGCTTCATATAAATTTAAAAGAAAAAACACTTCAAGGGTGGAATAATTAAATAGTATTGATTTTTCAAGTTGTATATATCTTTTTAATCAATAAAAGAATATATAATTATTACAATAAATCGTATTGAGAGGTTATGCTGTCATCCCTTGTGTAGGGACTGCCTTAAATAAATTATTGCCATTTTTTACTGGGCCTCGTACCACTAGTTAGAAAAGAAAAAGCAGCAGACCTGAGAAGATTTGGCGTAAGGAAATCTGTAAATAAATACATGTGTTTTTAACACAAGCAACAACTAGTTTCGTGGTAAGCTACGAGGTTTGTGCTATGGATACCAGATGATTGATACACTACACATATAACTTTAAATACATACATATTATACCTATAAAAAACTTGTTTGTGGCTTCTATAAAAAAATTTTTGAGTATGGCTGCTTTAAATGGTCTCATGCTGACAATTTCATAAGGGAACCCCCATTTTATAACTGTTTGTGGTACCTATTTACTTTGTCGCCAATGGATGACGACCTACTAGACGAGCGCCTGCACCGTCGCCCAGGTACAAAACATTGAAGTAGCCTGGAGGCAGATACATCATTACGTAAAAACAACGTCACAAATAATACTTTCTTAGATTTACGCGAAGATTTGACATTTTATATAAAACTATCTTTCCGGGAGAGTCTCTCCCGTGACAGTGGATGCTGTAAAGCATTCGTAACGTCGGGAAACAAAAATGCAAATAAATCCGCGACAAAATCCGAAAAGATAGTTTTATTTAAAACGTCACAAATATTTAGTTAACTAAATTACGAGGGAACATAGAATGGGAAATAGGTACACACATACAGCTGTCAAACGCTTACCCTTTTGGGCTTCGCCGCAGTTGGATAAAAACACATGTGACATCTGCCGATGATTTTGTAAATAACATAATAACTAAATATTTGTGACGTTTTAAATAAAACTATCTTTTCGTATTTTTTCTCGAATTTATTTTGATTTTTGGTTCCTAAAATAAATTTGCGAAATAATCCGACAAGATAGTTTTATTTAAAATGTCAAATATTCGCGTATATCTAAGAAAGTATTAAAAATACAATCTATCTATGGATATATACGATCTATGGTTTTTAGAATTTTTGTCCGTCTGTCTGTTACCGCATTACAGAAAAACTACTGGAGGGATTTTGATGAAATTTGGCATGTTGATAGCCGGTTATCCGGGTCAACATATAGGATACTTTTTACAGCGGAAAAATATCTCATTTCTGAGAAAAAATACAAAAACTGCAATGTAAGAGTATACTAATATGTAAAACCTAAGAATTTGGTTGTTGGTCATCTGAACGCGGGCGAAGCCGCGGCAATGCTAGTCGTGTAATAACTTCAGAGCAATGTTAAGTCATATTTAACCGCAATCCAAGTGAATTTTTTCGTCAATACATACCTAATTGTTAATGAAACGTGATTTCACCATTAAACGCCATAGAAGAAACAACAGTCAAAGTGAACCTGTACCGGAGAATATTGTGTGCCTCAAAGAAGATAAAAACTGTTTGTTCGTGTGTAAAGTGATGGCCACTTTGTTTTGGGATGGTCAAGGAGTCATTTACATTATAATTGGAAAACAATAGCCAGAGCTTACTGTAGTGTATACATATCTGTTGAAATATTAATTATTTATTGTTCATTAATATATGTAAGTGAGTACGAGTATATGTAATAGTATAATATCATCTGTCGTCTCGGGTGAGGCGCTCAGCTGGCCGCGGGGTGGTCGGTCATTGGACAGCCAACCGGCGCGGAGTGAAGACTGAGTGCGTACACGGCGAGCCGATATATATCTATTTAAATATCCCTATTTCTATAATTACTAATAATAAGTATTATTTAGTGAATCATTAAGTGCACATTACGCTTACTATGCTGCATTGTAAGATAGGTTTAATAATAAGTTAGTTAAAAAAAACGACCCGCGTTTAGTAAAGACAAAACATTTTTTACAATGCTCCAGCACACTCGTCTGCAATTACGACGTCAAAATTCGTTGATAACGATATCAATTGAAATTTTTGCAAAATTGTAACAACTTCCTTATTTGCCAAATTTGCCCCCTTGTGACTTCTTCCAACTCCTATACATTAAGATATGGCTTCGTGTTCAAAGATTTTCATCAAATAACTAAGGATGTGATAGTTGAAACACAGGCCTATTTTCCACGGTTTGAAAAAAAAATTTTTTTATGGGTTGAAGATGTTAGAAATTAGAATACCGCTAATTTAAGTGTATAGAGTTGAAAGGAGAATATGTAGGAATATAAAACAAATTTAGCCGAAAAAAAAATTTTTCTTTCCAAAATCACTAATTTATCAAACGACCCTCTTGCATAAAATGTCCGATCATATCTTCTCGCAGTCAAGTAAAAAGAATAACCGATTTTTTACTACTTTACTATTACTGATTACCAGTTTGTGTATACTCTTGGTATTATTGTTATGCATGTCGCACTTCTCGGGAAATTCGTGATTTTTTTTACGAACATACCTACTGTTATACATAGGCTATGCACCCCTTTGAGCTTACATAGCTTTTTTCTAACTACTCAGCACATTCTACCTTTAGTAATCCAGTCGCCCGTCAATCCACCCAGTCTCCATCCATCCTACATCCACGCCAGTCGGCTGTCTCTTTCCATTCAAATTATAATTTATTTTTTTATTTAAATTTCCTTTTTTTAAAAACATATTTATCCAGACACTCGTAACACTACGTAACATTCTCGTACATATATATGGAGAAGCATCAGACAATACTTTTAATTCTTTATCTTAATGATTCGCATTTCTTAAAGGTACTTAGGTAATGAAACAAATTATAGATTTTCATGTTGATATATTTCTGTTTAAAAGACAATAGGAGCAGCGGCTTAGCGTAGGACGGCGGCTCGCCTTAGCCTATAAACGATAGTTGCGATCGCTCGCTGGTGCGCTTGCGTCGGGCGGGCACGTGCCGCGACCGGCACGGGCCCGGACGGGCCGGGGCGGAGCCGGGCCGTGTACTTGATAATGATAAAATTTAAAAACATTAACAATAAATAAAAGGTAAGATAATTAACAAGAGGCGCGCCGGAGCCGCACGAGCGCGGCGCCCGTCCGGCTCCGGCCTTCCGTTACGTTAAGATAGTATTGCGCCAGTTCACTTAGATATGTCTTAGGATGAGTCTCTACATTACAATAAATACGAATCTAACGAAATAAACTTTCAATACCATAACAAGGCGACTTCGATACAAACTTGAACTTAGCAAATAACGCGTACTACCTTTACTCGGTCGCCGAGCGTGAGCTCGCGGCGCCCTCGGGCGGGCGCACACGGGTATAGGGTTAGGTCATATGGATACTTTAGACGTCTGTAATATATTGTTTATGTATAGAATATATATTCATCGCAATAAGAAAATATTTGGTCGTTTGTGTGATCATGTTAAAGAATCGTAGTGAAATAAATGTGAAAGAGTATTGCTTTACAAATTTGAAATATTACATTAAGTGTATATAATATAATAATTTATTTATATATTTTTACAAATCCCTAAATATTAACTATACATAGATTAACGTATTGCTATATAACAGTGCCGAAGGCGTCACGGGGGCGCGGGGCGCGGGCGGGGAGCGCGCGTGTCGGCAGTATTCAAACATTCTTATTTAGTAATAAATAGCAGAATAAAGCATTTCAAAAAAACTAACGCGACCTCGCCGCTCGTCTCAAAGTAGAATCAGTCGGAAAGCGAAATTACTTATGGTCTATCGGGTGATTTTAACATTAGTAGTACAAAAATAATACCCAGCGAGGATTCCGCCGCCCGGCGCTCGCGCCCCGCGACGCGGGTGACTTAACGCCTAAATAAGCCTACAAGGAATCGTGGCGAGACATCAGATGGAAGGCGAAATACAAACAATCTTTGACTCGTCGGATCGAAGCTGCAAGTAATGGACCCAAAGAAGCGTAAATTACTAGCGGAGTATCCGTCGACGACGCACGGCTCGTTCTATGTTTTCTCTTCGGTTGCCCTCCTTTTTTCATATAAACTTGGGCCCTGCACGAGCGCGTGGACATAAACGGCTCCATCGAGGAGCCGGCCGTCACGCCTTCACCGTAGCCCGTGCGCCGGGCGAGGGCGGGGGGCCCGCGCTAGTGTGGCGCGCCTCCCGCCGCCGCGCGCTACACGAACTCGCGCCGCCGCGCCGCCGCCCCCGCCACCGGCGCGACCCGCGCCCGCGGGCGCCGCCGGGCTGCCGGGGGACTCGCCCGGCGTGGTCGGAGTCGGCACCTGCGGAGCGGCGCCTTTACTCCGGGCCTGGAATTCACAATTAATGTAATAAAATATATTATTATCAATGCAAAATATTGTGTATGTTTATGTTTGTTACTCCTTCACGTTGAAAGGGCTAGACGGATTTGGATGAGAGATAGATTATAACCTGGAGTAACACCCGCACGAATCGTGAGTAAGTGCCTAATAAATTGAATTCCCCGTTGATATTGAAAGGCAGTGGTAGCCCAGTGGTAACGCGCTCGCTTGGGAAACCGAGTGAAGCGGGTTCAAATCCTGGTCTCGCATCTCTAATATTTTCATGTACGAATCATTTCTAATATGATCACTACTTGCCTTACGGTGAAGGAAAACATCGTGAGGAAACCTGCATGTCTTAGAAAACCTAGCAAGGTTTTGAAAGACATGTGAAATCTGCCGACCCGCACTTGGCCAGCGTGGTGGACTATGGCCGCCTGATCCCCCTCGTATTGAAGGGAGGCCCGTGACCAGCAGTGGGACATTAAAAAAGGGCTGGATACATACATACATACATTGATATTATGATCTAGTTTACGTGTTACGAACTTTAGTGCGTCGTTTTCTTGCAACGGCGGTGGAATCCGTTCTGTCGGCTCGGTCCGTCCGTTCAACGCGGTCGGGGCGCTCGATTCGTTCGGTCCGGTCTGTCCGCTCGGAACGGTCGGTTCGCTCAGTTCGATCAGAGCGGTCGGTACGCTCAGTCCGCTCGGTCCGCTCGACGGCATCGGGTGCGTCGCCAGGGTCGGCCCCAAGCCGCGCCGCTAACAACGTAAGCAACTCTTCGACTCGACCCAACTATCAAGATACAAATATAAACAATATAAGATACAGATATAAATATAGTAGTTACTACCTACTGATCTATTGTGTACTTATAAATAAAATTGAAGACTTTGTCTATAACTTCGAAATAGTACCGGATCTAATCTCGGCAACGATTTCTCTAATCCCCGTTTTTAATAGAACTTTCACTGAAACATTTAATGGTCCTAGAGTCATATTGTTTATGTGTTACATATATTATTATTTATCACACTTTCCGATAGTGCTTAATTTACTTGAGATTAACTTTTTATAATTATGATGATGTGTTTACTATTTGATAAAAGTTTGATAAAAGTAATGGCCTAAGAGCCTGTGAACGCCAGACGAGAGAGTAATGATAATGTCAAGAATAACCTGCATTCTATTTTTGTAATTATACAAGTGTAACATGAAAATGATGAAAATGTTTTTATAAATTAAAAATTTTAAAAACCCCCAACGCAAATTAATTGTCATTTAACGATTACACTGGCACGCGTGAAGCACTTAATTGAGAAATCATACGCCAAAATGCCCTACATCATTTTGGAAAAGAGCTGATACTCTTACATTGCTGGACCAATATTAACCAAACATAGCTTAGAACCACCGCAAGGAAACTGGCTTTCAAATGAAAAAAAACCACATCGAAATCGGTCCATCCATTTGAGAGCTACGATGCCACAAACAGACACACACACAAACATCGACGTCAAACTTGTGTCTTTTTGCGTCGGGGCTTAACTAACAGCGACAGTTAACTAGTACACATGTAGGTGTTATTTCTTGGTCACTGGTGACGTATGAATTATCGCTAAGCAAAAGGCAAGAAATTGAAATTCTTTGAACAAACCCCTATTTAAAAGTTGTTTTATGTTAAGTTTAAAAGAACTAAAGAGATTATTCATGCATTAAAAGGGCGTAGCTATAAGACGCGAAACACTACAGCGTTACTTATGTATCGTCTGTAAACTATTTAATAGTAAGTACTTAAGCATCAGCTATCTCATTAACGCAATTACCAGTTCAATTCGTGCTGCGGGTAAAGTTTTAAATAACACGTAGGAAATTTCTTAGCATACATTTTAAAAATATGCCCTAACACGCGTAGCGTCTTATTTAGCTAATTGAATGTCATTAAAACCCATGAATATAGAAGTTGACAAAAGTGCGATAATGAAGCCAGTGATTGTACATTTAAAATTAGGGTTTCAAAAATTATGATCATGAATACCTATTGAATATTATAGATGTTATTGAAGTTTTGTTGTAGAATTAAGTGACAAGGATGAGCAATGAACTAGTGCTTCTGACGGTCATCAGCGTGTTTATAGGAAGGAAGAAAGAGATTCTGAATTCGGTTGTATTTTTAAGCTATTGCATAGCTTCTATCGCGGGCCTTGAGCGTGGGGACCGAATCCAGAAATTCCGTAACGAAAAAACCTGACACCCCCCACTCCGACCGGCACAGCGGTGATACTTTTTAGTTTTTCCATCTATCGATAAATACCAGAACTTTTAATGACTTTTTGAAATATCACGCTTGTCTCTTTAGTTCAGCAACCCGCCTTTAGGTGGCATTGGTTGTATTGGAAAACTACCGTAATCAGCTGTTTGTGAGAAAGTATATAGGTGTATAGGTATTTATCATCTATGTACAACACTCGTATAATTTGTGTACAGTGTTTTACATATAAATAAACAAAGTGCATTTATTAAGAGGATTGTGAAGTGCCAATACTCGGCGAGAGTAGGTATTTTAAAAAATGCTATCTGTTTCATACCGCTTTGCATCCCCCCGGCAGTGAACAACACAAATACAACATACGCAAATTCTTACGCACACTATGATATGATTTTACAAAAATAAAAGTATTTTTATTGCTCCTTCTAAACGGTAATAGTCCAGCAATTAGTAAAAGAAAGCGCGTGACCGGTGGAGGGGATGTAGGAAGTGGCCCTTACTCATTTAAACTTGGCCAGATGTTAGAACTTTACCGTTTAGAAGGTGTAACAAAAATATTTTTATTTTTGTATGAAAATGAAAATATAAGAAATATATTTTTTTCTTGTTACAGAGGTTGTTGTTATTATTTAAATAGTATATTCCCAAAAGGTCTTCAGTAAACTAACGGGTAAGCTAATTGACAGTTATGCTAACCGACAGTTTAGGTAACCGATATTTAAGCTTAATGACAGTTATGCTAACCAATAGTTAAGCAAACCGACAGTTAAGCTAACTAACAAAAAAAAGTTAAGTTAAGCTAACTAAGCTAACTGACAGTTACGCTACCCGACAGTTTATTTAACTGACAGTTAATCTAACCGACAGATAATCTAACTGAAAGTTAAGCTAACTAACGGTTAAGATAACTGACAGTTACGCTAACCGACAGTTTATTTAACTGACAGTTATGCTAACAGATAGTTAAGCTAACCGAGAGTTACTCTAACTAACGGTTAAGGTAACTGACAGTTACGCTAACTGACAGATAAGCAACGGCCAGTTAAGCAAACCGACAGTTAAGATGACCAACAGTTAAGCTAACTGACGATTAAGTTAACTGACAGTTAACCTAACCGACAGTTACGCTAACTGACAGTTAAGCTAACTGAAAGTTAAGCTTTCTAACGGTTAAGCTATCTGACAGTTACGCTAACTGACAGTTAAGATAACCGACAGTGAAGATAACTAACGGTTTAGCTTGCTGACAGTTACGCTAACCGACAGTTAAGATAACAGACAGTAAAGCTAGCCGATTGGTAAGCTAAACTAACATGTGAAATAACTAACAGTTAAGTTAATTAACAGTTAAGCTAACTGACAGTTACTCTAACCGACAGTTTATTTAACTAACAGTTAATCTAACCGACAGATAAGCTAACTGACAGTTACGCTAACCGACAGTTAAGCAAACCGACAGTAAAGCTTACTGAAGGTTAAGCTAAGTGTTAAGCTAACTGACAGTTACACTACCCGACAGTTTATTTAACTGACAGTTAATCTAACCGACAGATAATCTAACTGAAAGTTAAGCTAACTAACGGTTAAGATAACTGACAGTTACGCTAACCGACAGTTTATTTAACTGACAGTTATGCTAACAGATAGTTAAGCTAACCGGCAGTCACGCTTACTGACAGTTAAGCTAACCGACAGCTAGTCTAACTGACAGATAAGCAACGGATAGTTAAGCTAACCGACAAGTTAAGATAACTAACAGTTAAACTAACCGACAGTTAAGCTAACTAACAGCTGTAATAACTAACAATTAAGCTAACTAGCGGTTAAGATAAATGACAGTTACGCTAACCGACAGTTAAGCAAACCGACAGTTAAGCTTACTGACAGTTAAGCTAACTGAAAATTAAGCTTTCTAACGGTTAAGCTATCTGACATTTACGCTAACTGACAGTTAAGATAACCGACAGTTAAGATAACCGACTGTTACTCTAACTAACGGTTAAGGTAACTGACAGTTACGCTAACTGACAGTTAAGCAACGGATAGTAGTAGCAACGGATGTTAGTTATAACATGTGAAATAACTAACAGTTAAGCTAATTAACGGTTAAGCTAACTGACAGTTACTCTAACCGACAGTTTATTTAACTAATAGTTAATCTCACCGACAGATAAGCTAACTGACAGTTTCGCTAACCGAAGGTTAAGCAAACTGACAGTAAAGCTTACTCATAGCTAAGCTAACTAACGGTTAAGCTAACTGACAGTTTAGGTAACTGACAGTTAACATAACCGACAGTTAAGATAACCGACAGATAAGCTAACCGACAGATAAGCTAGCTGATTGGTAAGCTAACCTAATATATAAATATAAATGTTCTTTCTAGTGTTCTTACACGACGTCCATACAATATTTTTATATTTTCAAAAAGACGAAAAGAATGAGCTCTATTTGAAAATTGAATAATTTTTTTTTAAAATGTTAACGCCCACTTAAAGTTGGGGGTGATTTTCAGCCTATCGAGACAAACTTTTCTCGGAAACGGAAAGTTTCTGTAAATATTTCAATTTCTTTTTTTTTTATTATATGTATTTCGAAGATTACATTCCCTTAGTTCCATGAAAATCAAAAGATTATTCTAGAAATTAAGAATAAAAAACTCAAGATTAATTTAAAAACCGAGTTTTCTGCAAATATCTCGAAAACTTTGAGGTTATCGTAAAAAGTGTTATTTATTGTAGATTTTTACTACACCTACATTTACCTAGACCCTTACATTTGTACAAAATATTTTTCGATAGAACGTCACAGTAAGCCGGAAATTGAAAAAAACTATTTTTCAACGCTTTGCGTCCTCCCATTTCTCGGGTGTAGCTGGACAGAGGGGGCATTTTACGAATTTCAAATCCTTATATATCTGCTAACATTTTAAAATTATAAAACTTCAGGTTTTCAATATTTTGTTCCCAGGTGCCGATTGGACTATAATACTAGCTTACATACCAAATTTTATAATAGGACTTCAGGAAGTACCCTAAGAGTTTTGATGATCATCAGTGAGTCAGTGACGAAATCGGAGTTTTTTAGATATCAATAAAATCTAATTGAAAAGAGCTATGCAATTGAAACTTTTTATGTTTAGCTAGCATTGTCCGCGGCCCGCCCGCGTTCATATGACCAAAAACCAAATTCGTAGGTTTTACATATTAGCATACTCTTACATTGCAGTTTTGTATTTTTTCTCAGAAATGAGATATTATCTTGCGGTAAAAAGTATCCTATATGTTGATCCGGATAACCAGCTACCACCATACCAAATTTCATCAAAAACCCTCCAGTGGTTTTTTTGTGACGTGGTAACAGACAAACAGACAGACAGACAAAAATTCTAAAAACTATAGATTCGACTTCTGTAACGATAACAATGTATATTACAATAATATTTTACAAAAATTATTTAATGTACAGATTCGGCTTAGTTACAATCTATACATACGAGTATAATCAAATTCTAAACTTTGGATTGAATCATTTCAGTGTCCATCGATATATCGATATTACCTTCTCCTCCTTAGGAGATAATAATATCGATAGCACCTTCAACATCACTACAATATGCCCCTGCCCCCGACCCGTATGGTGCGATAGAGAGAGTTGCAAGTCTTAAAGGCAATTACCTACATTTCCTTTTTGAAATATTGTTTCGGGCGATAACGTTTTCACCCCCCTAAACATTAACGAAATGAGACAATTTTGGTCTCATTAGATTCAGTACACCTAAATCTAGGTCTGTACGTTTTCTTTTTTTTGTAATTCAGTTTAGCTTAGTTAAAAAAAATAAAGACGCTGGAGGAAGTTTTTAGGTCAAAAATATAGATATTTAGATGCTAATAACTTCTATCGTACGCAACATTTCTAAAAAATAAAAACGTACGGACCTAGATTTTGATTATATCTACAACATTTCCAAAAATTATGAAAATTAGACTATTTTTAAGGGGGGAAAAACGTTATCGCTTTTTGTATGAAAATTTACAGCTTCACAATCCTCTTAATGAAGAAAGTCAAGGAAAAAAATACTGCATTAATAAAATAAATAAATAATTATAATTGCATAAGTTGATAAAAAATGCTATGCAATACCTTTACCGCGGCAGTCTCCGAGTGCCACATTTAATTTTTTATTTTTCTATGTTGTTACCTCAGATTTAGAATTCCGTCATGTATTAATCGATTTGGAAAATTCTGAGTTCTTTGAAAGGGTACTTGCAGTTTGATCTCATTTAAATTTGAAGAAAAAATCCACACCCAAGGGAGGAAAAATAAAGGATGAATTCAGAATTGTAATTGTCATATTGACTTGAATAGCGCAGTGATTCAGTATCGTCGTGCTGATCTGATAATGATGTCGGAAGGTGGATATTGGAACTCTTTTTAAAATAATAAATGGGTCTAGATTTTGAGATATTATATTTTTCGGAAGGGTACCTTTAGGGGACGCGACCTACCTAAATACCTACTAAATGCTTGATAAATTAAATACAGTTTGAGATTGTTGAACAGTTTATTGATTTAATTTTATGCTAAACTGATAATTGATGCTAATTAATTATGCAAATGATGATAATGAATTACACTGTGTGTACAATTACACTGCAAATTAGGCGTGTTTCGATGTATTTATAACAACCTACTAAGCATTACTGCTTAGGTGTTCGGTAGAAACCTTTGGACCGAACAGTACCCACGTAAGTACTAGAAAGTGAGATGTGACAGTCAAAAGTGAAATTTTCAAGAAATATGATTTGATATTTAATATACATATATAGAATATTTTATGAATGATACCAAAGTAAAAATAAAACATACTTTTTGCTGAAGTCGTTGTACTTCGTTCCGCACGTCGCGTCGCAGCTCCGCCAGCGCCGCGTCGTGCGCCGAGGGCGCGGGCGCGGCGGCGGCGGGCGCAGGGGGCGGCGCGGGCGCCGGCGCCGGCGGGGCGGGCGTCGTGGGCGCGGGGGGGACGGGGGTAGGGGAGGTAGCACTGGCTTTTTTTTCATCCCCCTCTTCATCGATGGGCTCGCGCCGCGCCGCAGCCCCCAGCACGCTACCGGCCCGACCTCGACCGAAGGCAGTCTGTCATAAAATGATTTGTTAATATACCTAATAATATACCTGCGATCTACATTAATATCTACATTAATGTATACATACATATAATATCTAAAACTGATAAAACGGCTGCAAAGAAACAAGCAATCGTCAGGACTCTAGCGCTCTGCTATTGTGCACTTTCAATTACTAAGTTTGAAATACATATTATAGATTAATTATTATTAAAATTTAAATTTAATATTTCGTCATAAGGCAGCATTAAGTAGGTATTTTGCATCGTTATTAAAAGCGCAAAAGGCAAGCAAATATATTTTAATATTAAATACTTACTACTTATCTTTATCTAGGACAATCGTATAACATCTACCTAGGGTCAAACTGGGATAGATAATGTGTATTAGTTGATCGTTGTATATAAATACAGAAACGCATTATATTATATGTACACTTTGCCATGACTCTACGACGACGACAGCAAGACTGTGTAATGTGTTACACAATATTAAGTCATTTAGTAGTACTTTTATATTAGCAGATATAAATAATAATTGAGTAAAATTGTGAAGTTATTATGAAATTCAAGTAGGTACGTATGTAAAGTAATTTTACCTTTAAGGAAAGTGCCGTAGAAGCGGTGGAGTCGGGCGGCGCGGGGCGGTCGCGGGCGCTGAGCGAGCGCGTGAAGGCTGTGCGCGGCGCGTCGCCCGCGTCCAGCGAGCCGCCCGCCAGCAGCCGCCCCCACTTGCCGCGCGCCGCCGCCGCGCCGCCCGCCCCCGCCCCGCCGCCCGCCGGGGCCTTGCTCTCCTCCGAGCCGCCGTTGGAGGCGCTCGTTGCGGTGGAACCTGAACAAGTGCTCCTTGTACCGAACGAGAACGAGTCACGAGCGTACACGGGGAAATTTATGTCTGCGGTACCGTCGCCGCGCTCGGGGTCCGTCGCGGGGGCGCGCGCGGGCGCAGGCGCGGGCGTCGCCGCCACGCTACGCTCGCGCCGGAAGCGAGAGAAGATCTTACGCACGAGGTGGTCCTGCGCCTGCTCCAGCTGCGGCTCGCGCTTGCGCCGCTCCATCAGCTCACGCTCGCGCCTCACGTCCGCCACCTGGTTACATTAATTTAGGTAGTAGTTATAGTATTTTATTGCGTATGTACACCATTACATGAAACCGTTTATTACCTTTCTGAATATTAATCGATGTCGCAAGTTGTAGGTCAAAGTAAGATTTCTGGCGAAACTATTCGCGAATGCCTGGTAGAAATCCAGAACCTCGAGCAGACGATCGCGCTTGATAGTATGGAGGTCACAGTAGGTGAGAGCGCGCACATTTGCCGCCGACTGTCCCACGGCACTGTCCTTCCAAAAAGAATCCCCAAAAACGTCCCCCTTGCCTACCTCGTAATGCAGCACGAAGAAAGATTACAATACAATGTTAATGTAAAGAATTACAAAAGCGGGTAGATATGCACTTATTATAAAATTGTTAGTAGATATGGCTGTAGACTGTGGCGTATCTAGTCTTTTTAGGCACCAATGCAAAAAAATGGAAATGCCCCCTTTGCCTATTTCGAAAACGAATGTGGTCCACAGACAGAGACAGTTTTCGAACTTCTCACTTTTTTCAAACCGCACTCACGGAAGAACATATAGAGTAAAATTTAGTAAAAAAGCTCAGGCGTTTTATAGAACATAGGTATGATCACGTTCTTTGTGGTCCTAGAAAAAACATAATATGTGGAGATTTAGGACATTTTTTTCTTGCGGTTTCTTTAGTTCTCTTCATAGAAGTTTCTATGAGGACCATCCTAGAAAAACGATTTGAAAAAAAAGAATCGTTTGTGCTGGGCTTGCTGGGGCTCCCATGAATCAGAACCCCATACGACCGCATTGGTTGCATTGGCATAGCTACGCCACTGGCTGTAGATCAGGAGGTCTTGGGTTCTTGTCCTGTGTTTTTTTTTTGTGTCTAGAAATCTTTATACCCCACAGAGTCCGTAAAACTGTCGGCCATGCCGCATGCATCTGATATATATCCGGTCTTTTTTGTGTATATAGGTATTTATTGTGCATTATAGTATGACTTGCGTGAAGAGATAGCTGATCTCTTGGAAATTAGACGTCGTTACCGATTTTGATAGAAAAGTGGCTTCAGATAGCATTTAACAACTATTCGAAAGTAAGTCATTGATATAGGCCATATATATATATATAAATAAGCTCAGGCGTTTTATAGATAAAATCTATATATATATATATATATATATATATATATAGATTTTAACAGTAATTAGGTAGGTAGTAGTAGAATACTTAATTATAATGACCTACCGAGTATTGCCACGACCTCGTCATCCTGGATAACCTCAAGACTGCCTGTGACGATGAAGCACAGTGAGTCGATAGACTCGCCGGTGTGATAGAGAAGATCGCCAGGCGCTGAGTGCGACATATGAAAATGCATGGCCAGTGCTCTCAGACAACCATCTGAAGCCAGCCGGAACGCCGGGTGCTCATTGAACACTTTGCGGTTGAGATGTACGCAGATGTCAGCCTTCATATCTTTCGGGCAATAGTTCAGCACCTAGTAAACAAATATATGTTATGTGCTGCACGCGTGCACACGCAGTAATTTGTCACTGCTTGTAGCGGCATACCTTGTCCGTGTCGAGGCCCTTAGTCATGGCCCACGTGGACACGACGTAGTCCATGACGCGCTCGCTAAGCGCTTTCGGCACCTCGTGGAGCTTCATGAACTCTCGCACATTGTTAAGCATGTCGTGATACTTTGCGGTAGCGGATGTCATCTGCTGGATGATGGTGGTCACGTGTCCAAATATCGTCGCGTATAGCAGAGCTGTCAACATTGCGAAGCTTGGTCGTTAGTAGGTACACAGAAAATTGAGTTTCTGAATTATTTTCAAATCTTTTCCAAATAGTTACCTACCTTGGTGAGAAAATAATATTCAAGCCATTTTATAATACAATAACTCTGCTTTCATTTTCATGTACATACATATTATATATTCCTAAGTATAGTTTGACGCCGTTTCCCTTTGCTAGACATGGCCCAACTCTACCCAGTGAATCTTACTTACTTAGGTTAGTATCCACTAAATTGTATCCGTTATTGGATATTAAGCGCGAGGTCCCTGAACATATACCAAAACCAATACCAATTATCGAATGACAAACATTGAAAATGACTTCTTCTTCTTCTTCTCCCTGCCCATTTCCCAAATCACTTGGGGTCGGCGCAGTACATCTTCAGTGTACTGCTGATAGGATTTGGCAAAAGTTTTACGACCGGCCGCCTGCCTGACGTCAACCCTCCTTGGGAATGACTGTGTGAATGATTTTTATATACGTAGATATCTACCTACGTATTTAAGTATGTATACACCTATCTACAGTAGGCGACTGAAACTGAATTTTATAAAATGCCTCTATGATGCTAACGTGTACCTAACTAATTGACTTAGGTGCAAAAACAATGTAAACTTTGCCTTATGCTTTCCTTTTATCTAAATGAGATTAGATATTTATAAGAAACCGTCGCGCACTCGACTGCATCTTTACCAATATTCTTAATTAATAGATACATAATATGAGAGCGCCGCGGCGTTCACCTGTGGGGAAAATGCCGCTGATAAATCTTTGGTTATTCCTTCAGAGTTCCTAAAAGCTTGAATGTCTCAAATTCTTAGAAGCTCAAAGGAACAGAGTTTTGGGTGACCGCGCGGCGCGCTCACCGCGACGCTTCGTGGGCCTGCACAGAGGGTCGGATCGGATCGGATGGGCAAGGATCGCTCATAGGATCATAGGAATTATTTAGAATTCCTTTGTCACAAAATTAACAAAACCAAAAATATAATATTTATATTAACTTAAAAAAAAATTACGAAAACATTACTTTATGTTTGTAAATATTATATAACTCTGTAAAAGTAGGTATTTGAATAAAATTATTATTATTATATTTTTATTATTACGTCATAGGTACGTGCGTATGTAATATGTATAAGTAATCAAATAAAATAATTAGTAAAGTATTTTCAATTTATCAATCAAGGAGCAAGAAACGTCGCAGTCATTATTGATATGTGTTCAATCCAAGCATAGCGTCTTTCGCAACATTGCATATGTTGTACTAATGAACTGAGCGGGCAGAGCGAAATAGAAACAAAATTACAAATAATGATAACGATTAAAGACTGGATACAGAGGCGGGGTGTGCGAATGGGTTAGTTGAGGATGGGGAGTCGCGCGGCCCCCGACGCAGCGGCCGGCGGGCGCGCTGCTCGGGGGTCGCGCTCGTGCTCCGGCTAATAACAGAAGAATTCCGGCACCTGCTACGATCATCATGCAGATGGTGAAGATCTTCTCGTTATCGGTCTCGGCGGCGACGTTGCCGAAGCCCACGGAGGTCATGCAGGTCATGGTGAAGTAGAGTGCGGTGACATACATCGTCTTGCGCGAGGGCCCGTTCACGAGCTCGGGCCCGTCGGACTCGTTAGACCAGACATACGAGTATGGACTCTGAGTGACGTTGGCGAGCTTCCATAGCCATGAGTACTGCAGGCCGGAGTCGGCGTCGGAGCGGCCGATGCTGTACCACACGCACGCCAGCCAGTGTGCTACCAACATGTAGAAGCACAGCAGCAAGATGAGCATCGCCGCGCCGTACTCGAGGTAGCGGTCCAGCTTGCGCACCACGCGCCCCAGCCGCAGCAGCCGCACTACCTTCAGCGCGCTGAATAAACTTCCTATACCCTGCGTACATACATACCCCGCACCAATAATACACTGTGTTTTCAATAAGCTTTCTAACTTAGAATAATATACATTCTTAATTTCTAATTCCTTTTTTATTTTATTATACAGTGACTTTTGCCTTTGGTTTGCACTTTCCGCCAGTGTCGGGACACTGTGCTGGTAAAGATTTCGCAATCCTAGACTTCTGAGAGCAGTGTGGATCAAACAAATCCGCAGTTACACAGCAATTTCTCAGTACAATTCATAAATTTAATTAAAACTAAGTAATACATAAATTATTACTCACATCTTCGTCGTGGTCGAACGCGTTGAAGACATCGTAGGGTAGACATGAAAGGAGGTCAATTAGAAACCATGATTTGAAATAGTTCTTTCGTATAACTTTTGGGTCACTGACGACCTCGCCTCCTGGTCCAACGAACGTAGTGTGAAAGTTGAGTACAATATCTATAAAAAACACTACGTCGACTATTGAGTCAATGACTAGGAGCGATACGTCTTCGCTAGTTTTGTTTTTAAAAGCGACGTTGTACGGGACCATGATTGCGGTGTAAAACGTCAGGCAGAGGATTATCCAGTCCCAGATTGCCTTGAATGCGCAGTAGTGGAGCAAGATGTGAGGCGGCGTCTTGGGAGCCTCCTGGCGGTACTGCGGCAGCACGTCGCCCGACAGGGACATCACCTGTGCGGGGACATGGCGCAAAGTCAATATCGCGTCACTAAAGCTCACTTAAACATAATTTAAAATATTTCATATGTGTTTAAGGTGCTGTATAGATGCAGAAAGTAGCTCAAGATGCAATAGGTACTGTGTATTTACTATAAATTCTGTTATAGCTGAAGTCTATATTTGGGTAATATACCTACGGGTACAAAAATAGCTTCAGATGTTATTAATAGAGCAGCAAATAAGGTGCGGAAAGTGGTAGAAGGTCAATGGTGCTTATAAAATCCCTTATGAATGTTTTGTACACTAATTATAAAAAAAATAAAGAACTTATGAGACATGTCAAAATTTAATCATAAATTTTTACGGCAAACCTTTACTAGATAATGTGGACAACCACAACAATAGAGTTTGTTGAGGGTAATAAATAGATATAGTGCCCAAATTTAATAAATTGACTTGAGTGAACTTACACAGAGTAGTGAGTGAGTGAACAAATTATATTGTTTTTAAAATACATACATTTATCATGAGATAAATCTTACATGCTATAATATAAAAGTATATATATGTATATATATATATACTTTTTAAATAAAACTTCGAAGATATCTGGACACACGTTTCAGCAGAGGCTAAGATAAAGAGCGCAAAGTGCGTTACATGTAAGTCGGTAAAACGTCCAGGCACCAGCGAAGGAGACTACTCTAGCATTAGGTGTAGAAGAGAAGAGCGTGCGTGTTTACATGGTGTGCGTTGGTACTGACATGCGCGAGCTGGCTCTGGCGCGCCGGCTCCTTGAGCGCGGGCAGCGCCGACACCAGCACCGAGCGCGAGCGCGTCACGCTGCGCGCCAGCTTGGCGAACTTCGATAGACCTGTCTCAGGCAAACCGCCCGCTTACTTTATACGCCTTACATACGCTTAGCAATACCTCGTAAAACCGTGTCACGTGGCTGATATTTGAAACGACGATGGAAAAAAATTTAATAGAAACTATGCTTTGATAAAAGTGACAAAAATTTCAAATCTTTTATACCTGCTCTTGCAAAGACAATTCTTAAATTATGATTTTTAATTACCTTTGTGGTTAAAAATGAAACAATGGATGTGGATATTTGTCGCTTATTGTGAGTGGTAAAGTGTTGCAAGACTTGCCTCCTTTGGGGTCGTCGGCGTCGATGGGCTGCTTGAGCGCGGTTATGTCGCGGAAGGTGAGCAGGAAGAGCACCACCAGCTCGCGCTCGTTGCGGATGGGCGCCACATGCACCAGCAGCCACAGCGGCGTGCCTGTACAGCACCGACACACGACACGTGACACACGTTATGTTATTACTTCAATATTAGTAAGTATCTACTTCTGAAGAAAATAGTAAATATTTAACATTTTTATAAATTCGTAATTTAATAATAACGCAGCCTACCACAAAATATTAACAACTACAAAAATTAAAACAAATCTATCCTACGGGAACCGTACATTTTTCCCGGATAAAAAGTAGCCTATGTGTTATTCCAGACAATAATCTATCTCTGTGCCAAATTTAATCCAGATCCGTTCAGCCGTTCTGGCGTGAAAGAGTAACAAACATCCATACTCACAAACTTTTACATTTATAATGTTAAATACGGATTAAGGTGCCTACAGATGCATATTTAAAATATTTTTAACCGACTTCCAAAAAGGAGGAGGTTCTCAATCCGTCGGAATCTTTTTTTTATGTAAGTTCATTGCTTACTCAAAGACATCTGAACCGATTTGGAATTTTTTGTTTCACAGGGTTTACTTCCCAGGTGGTCCCATATAAATTTTATCGAAATCGGTCAAGCGGTTTTGTTTAAAATCGACAAATAAATTATTTTTTTAAATAAATTGCTTAATCGAACATGTTATTAAAAACTTTCTCCTAACAAATTACCTGCTTATTACGTCTACACTAAAATGAACAAATAAAAACTTAAAAAAAGAACGTCTTCCAGGCACTAAAATGTAAAAAATAACTAAACAGGGGTTTTCATTTAGAATAGATACCTAATCAGATATTTTCAAAGTCGGTGCCAGCCGACAATATTTTAAGATATGAATATCTTATAGGTAAATATGTATGTTACGTATCAAAATATATTAGATTTGCTTTGCATCGGCTGGCACCGACTTCGAAAATATCTGTAAAGTATTATTATTATTAGATATTTTGATAGAACATAAGTTTAGTTTGTGTCTAATGTTAAAAATAAAAATCGCACGATTTTTCTTGTAGAGTAGTATCTCGAACTGGTCGGCTAGGTGATGGTCGAGCGCGCGGTCCACGCGCTCCACCGCCTCCTTCTCCGTCAGCTCCCCATACATCCACGTGCACCTGCGACGCGAGAACACAACCCATACAAACATATTATATATTAGTCGCCAGAGTACATGGAATAAACATATTATTTTTATTTATTAATATGAAGTACCTACAGCGTAAGAGACACATACCGGCATGATTTTTGCATGACTTCAGCGCGATTGTATCCACTCATCTTGCAGAACGTTTCGTTGCAGTACACGATGGGGTAGTCCACGATCTGTGCATTCGCGAGCAAAAAGCTGCTGTCTGCTGTTGGATGAAACTTACTTGTCACTTGTACGCAAAATTTGTTACATAGATTAATTAATCATTCTGTAGGTATATATTTCTGCAAGGGCTATTATAACTTAATAACTTAAATGTGTAAATAATAAGTAAGATCGAACATAATATAAAGCAAGATTACATTTGGAGTAGGTGAAATACTGACGCTGTGACGAGGAGCGCCGTATGATATTTTCGAGGAAGGTGTTCTGCGGGGCTACGAGCCCCCGGCGGCCGCCCGGCATGCCGCGCGCGTGTCCGCCCTCGCGTCACGTGCGCGCCCTCGCCCCTGCGCCTACTCGGGGCTGCGGCCCGCTGCAAAGTGACATCTTCCATCAGTTACCTACCAGTATTAATCTGCTATTCTTTTCCAGCACTTCAAAAGCAATCAGTTAGAGAACAACTCACAAACCTTCAAAGTGAGATTATCGTATTAATATATATTTTTTTAATCTGTAACGCATTTTTTGAAAATATTAAAACATGCTTGCTGTTATTAAAATTTAATACAATATTATGAATACAAAAGAAAATTAAAAGCAGCAAATTAATGCACTTCCATCGGAATTTTCGTAACAAAATAACATTACTGGGGCTTTCGTCCCGGGATTCTCAGTCTTGAACATTTCGAGTCTCGACGATCTTTTCGACACTTGAGACTGCTACCTCCAGCCTCGGGAAAAACAAGACTTTTGAGACTTCAGTTAAATAGTTTGAATTATTCAAAAATCTACTAAACCACCAGTATATTTTTATTCCGCTTACGTGCGGCACTATAAAGTAAAACTTAGGATAAGACTGAGAGAAATACTTAAACCGTTGTTATATACCTACCTAACTATTTAATATCAAAAATTAAGGGGAATTGGATAAAATCGAGTGTATGAATGCAAAAAGACCTGCAAAACAAGCTGTAGCCATTTATAAATATCTCGACTGCAGAACGCTGAAAACGAAAGGGACATTTTCAAAATAGCCAAACAACGCAATAAACAGTATGACTGTTTATTACGTTGAATTTAAACAAAACAAATACATCAATGATACTTCTGGAAAATTATTAACTACAGACAAAGAAATAAATAGCAGGTAAAGGTAAAAATAAAGAATTTCCACACTAACAAATGACACTACTCACTCCTATTCCTCGTCCTTTAGAAATCATTACACCTACTACAGTTAAAACACTACTACTTCAATTTAAAAGTGGCAAAGCTACAGGCCCTGATGAAATACCTGTAGAGCTATGAGAAAAAGCAGGTGCTTACGGTGTTAAATGGCTAACAAATCTATTCAACCTTATCTAAATGGACTATGCCAGGTATGTGGAGTCTGAGCAACATGATACCATTTTAAAAGAATAAGAGAAATATAGCGGAGTGTGGAAATTACAGAGCGAAGAAGTTGATTTCACATACCCTTAAATTCCGGGTAAGAGACTTTAGAAACTTACAACCATCTCATCAAACCAGTGTGGTTTTGTTGGAGGAGTGGGCACTACGGAAGCGATACATACTTTAGGGATACTGATTGACAAATACAAAGCCTTTAAAAAGGATTTTTGTTAATGTTGGGACTTTAACACACAGCACCATCTAGTTCCATGGTAAAACTACGAGGCTTGTGTTATGGATACTAGATAATTGATACATTACACATATTATATAACTTTAAATACATACATATTATAAATATAAGCACCCGTGACTGAAGTACAGCGGGACTCGAACCCGCAACCGCTGGCACAGCAAGTTAGGTCACTATAAACCGAGCCAAACGTGACGTCAAAGAAAAAGGATTAGTCTGTATAGATTTGGAAAAAGCTTTTGACCGAATACCGCGGCAACCCATATTGCAAGCAATCAAGGCCCAACAAATACCGGAAGAGTATGTAATTATCATTTTAAATAAAACTATCTTTCCCGATTATTTCGCGGATTTATTTAGATTTTTGGTTCCCGACGTTTCGAATTCTTTACATCAATCATGGTCACGGGAGAGCTTGAGGTGTTACATGTCTCGAAGGTAGGTATAGTTGTTACAGACAGCCTACCCACAAATAACAAAATGAAAATTGCACCAATTACCTACCTTACAATATTTTATAACATTAAACATTTTTATGATTTTAATTAGTTTTATAATTGAATAATATGGAATATTATTTATTTAATTTTTGCTGTTATCATTATAATTATTACAATTTTAAAAATATTAATTAGTAATCTATATAATATATTTAGTGTTCCCATTATTATATTTATAACCATATAGAAAAAAATATAAAATATAATATTAATTATTTAAGCCACATAATTGTTCTATGTGTAATTTAAAAAGTTAAAATTAATTAAGAATAATAATTTTAATTTAGTTTGCTATTATTTAAAAAACTATTTACTAAGCAACACTATTACTATATACTTTTACAAATGAAAATTGAAAATAATCCGAAAAGATAGTTTTATTGAAAATGTCAAATATTCGCGTAAATCTAAGAAAGTATTATGTAAGTATCATAAAAGACGTGTACAACAACGTGACCACCAGTTGTTTCACCTGCTGGCATGAGTAACAGCTTCGAAGAGAAAGTCGGCATTCATTAAGAATCTACCCTGAGTCCCCTGCTCTTTAATGTCGTCATAGATTACATTACCAAATATCTTCAAAATTTGGCCTTGATGATATACTCGTAGTCCTAGTAGAGGAATCACTGCTGGAACTTCGAAACTCGACAGGTAGCATTAGAGGGTAAAGGCCTAATAGTGAGCCCACAGAAAACTGAATATATGCTCTGCAATTTCTCTGAAAGCGACATTATGCATCAGGTCACCACCCACGATCGAGGAAAAACAGGATAGCTTAAGTGGAGATCTCTTACCAGTGTCCTCTTTAACGCAAAAATGCCGATTAAAATCAAGGGCCCCGTGTATTTAAAACGGGCAGTGAGACCAGCTTTGTTGTACAGATCCGAATGTTGAGGAATGAAAATCTATATCCAAGGCACTCTTAAAGTTGCAGATATAATATATCATAAGATGCAGGAAAGCCAGTCAATACAAAGCAAAGCCCACCGACTTCGAAAATATTTGATTAGGTATGTATAGTAAATGAAAACTACCAAACAGTTATTTTTTACTTTTTAGTGCTTTTTTTGAAGTCGGTTTTTTAATTTTTTTTGTTCAAATGCGTGCCTAATGCAAAAATGAAAAAAAAAACTCATAAATAATAGTAAATTTTATTTGTATTTGAGTTTGTAACAGTATGATTAATAAAATACTTTATTGAAATACCTTGTATCGACTGATTAACTGCCTAGCCTATAAGTAGGTATCTAACCTATTTTTTGATATAGTCTCGAAAGTCTCGTTTTTCCCGGGAATTTTGAAAACAACCGAGTTTCGATTTTTTTCCTGAGAATCGTTACTATAGTTATTTATTCTTTCGAAGGCGGTTGGATAATATTTAGATTTTAATGATTATATTTAGGGAACATCGTAGTAGCTAGCATTAATTACTTAACTCAAGATAATGTATTTCAAAGAACTCCGTAAAATGAAACAACTCATTATTTGCCTACAAAAGCGCCGAGACTTAAGCCAACTACCAAGATATGTACTAGTTATAAACATGAAGGTAATTAAGCATTTTTTAGTAAAATTATAACCATAAATAGTGTATGAATGAAAAAAAATAGAAGTAAATTTTAGTTTTCTTAGGATTCGTCTTAGATGCAACAAAATAGATTGTATAATATAACCTACAATAAAAGAGTGCATGACTTAATGTTAAAATGATATTCAAGCCAATAAATACACGTGCAAGTGTCCAAGAACTCCTACAAATGCTCGTCTCACCTGTCGAGATTTGTTCGTATAAGAAAACGCGAAGCTCCGTTTGCTTATGATCACCTTCATGTGAGTCTACGACGTTCCTTCTATACTCTTATAGAAAGTCAAAACTCACTTAACTCGGTTCATTAATATTTACTTCTACTGTATATTAAGTATTGTTTTATACTTGCACATATATTTCACTTTTGCTTACCGACACCCTACTTACTGTGTCTGTCCGCTACAAATTGACAAAAAACTTTAAAATATTTTTTAACAACACATTCTATAAACATTATCTGTTTCTAACCTACGTACCTATGTATGTATAATCTAAGTTCATTCCTCTATCGCCACGCTCTTACACATTCTATTACCTATGTAAATTTATTAAATTATTTACTAGGTATATTACAGTTCCTGTATTGATTCTTTTCTTCATAAATACTTAAGTAACAAAAAACTAAACAAACACATAGGTATTATTTTAACGAAAACTCTACGACAAAGGTCAACAGCTCAATTTGAGGTCACATCGATTGCGTGAATACCTTACATTCGGGTTTGAGCATTGAGCCAAAGCGCAACCGGAAACAAAATATGTTTTCATGGTGTAGCGTGCAGCGACGACGGACCCCGATCGATAATGTTTACGTGAGGTCCGGCACCCACCGCTCGCCACCCGCGGCCGCCGCACTGCACGCCACCGTGCACCGCGCGGGCGGGCGTGCGGGCTCGGGCTGCAGGGCGCTGCGTCTCGCACTTCTGCGTCGGATATTCGTCTTCGCCGAACTCGCTGTTATGTAAGGAAGACTACTACTCGTCCTACTGAATATTTAAACTCACATCATCGCACTCGTGGTCTAACGAGAGTCGACGCGCATAGAAATCACTCGCGAGCTGCCCTCGGTGACACTGTATTATCCACGTTAAATACCTAACACTAATTGGGACGTAATCTGATTTGAAATGACAGACGAACAGTTAGCCGCCGCGGTCGGTCGCCGCGTGCTCTGCGGCGAGCTGTGGGTCGAGCGGCGGGGGCAGGCGTGCGGGCCGGCGGGCTGCTGCCCTGGCATCGTCTCGGCGACGCCGCGCGGGCTGTCTCTGCTCTGGTCCTCGGCACCGGCGTGCAGCGCGCGCCTCACTGCCGCCGCCGCGTCTCACCCTCGCCCTCTGCACCCTCGCCTGCGCATGCGTGCACGCTAAGTCTGCTTGCACACTTCGACCCTACAATACATTCCGCTTGTGAGAAGCCTAAGGTACCAACTATTTAAAGTAAGTATAGGATTGTGGCGTTAGTATTGACCTATAGACTTTGTGAAAGTATTTTGATTGTGTGCCGTAGGATTGCGCTATCACCGTCAACCGATATACTTACGTCTTAGTCGAAAGTTGCAATTGGTACAAAAGATTCCCATTATGTTTTATTTTTCGGAATTAATAAGAATATTATCATCTATCATCTAAGTAGGTGACTACAGGTTAAAATATACGACATTCTAATTTGATTATGTTACCAAAGTATAACCCCTCAGTACTGCTCGACGCACACATAAATTATGTACATTGTACATATTATAATGGTCCAAAGTGGCACACATAATACTATATGTTACACATTTCCTTGAATAAAACTAACGTAAAACATCAATTGCGGACAAGGACGACCGATCGATTGTATTTAACGCGTAGCCAAGTAGCGCATTTTGCTCATGCAGGAGACAAATATATTTTTCAGTGTTATACTTACATATATGTCGCAGGGAAATTGTAAAAAAATTGAATACAACACAGCAACTTTGCCTTTACGTTTTTCCGGATATTTCATGCACTAAATGTATCAAGGTTAGGAAATAGTTTACTGCGACTGACCACTTACAATAATTTACAATATTTATCCAATTGAACCTGGAATTCATTAAATATTGATAGTAGTAGGTACTACGTTACCTTGTATAGTTAAATCTAAAACATGTTTACGACATAATATTCAAGAATCCTACTGTAGGTAATTCCTTACGTCAAGTAAATACATATAATCTATTGAAGCCTTTCTGTTATAAGCTAAATATTGTTTGTGACATACATAAGTCATAGTGTCCCCTGCTGCTACACGCGGGCCTACACTGCCTGAGATTATAACTATTCTTATTATTTTACGGAGTACAGAGAAAATTTGCGTTAACTAAGTATACTTTTGTTAATGATAACAATTAACAGTATTTCTAAAATATTTTCAAAGATACATATTAATTATTATGCTATGCAAGTTAAATAGTTTTTAAATTCCGTTACAACTTCTGATAGTTTATAGGTGGTAAAAGATTTTTAACGTTGGGAAATCCATTTGCGCATGCCTTCTGCATATAATATCAATTAGGTTGTTATAGGCTAGGCTAGAAAAACCTACCCACTTAAATGAAATGGAACCTCCCCTGACTCATTGGGGTGTCTCAGGATCGCAAATTCGCCCTGATGGCTGGTCTACTGAAACAGACCACCACAACCAAGGAGTTGTTCCTACGGTTACTCTGCTATCACAGAAGCTGTGCTTTGATTTGTGTCAGCTGGCACCGACTTCGAAAATATTTGATTAGGTATCTATAGTAAATGAAAACTACCAATTAGTTATTTTTTACTTTTTAGTGCTTTTTTTTTTAGTTTTTATTTTTCCCTTTTCAGTCTAAGACATAATAGTAGTAGCAAACTAAGAAGAAAGTATTATAGTAAAATATTCGCTTAAGCCGTTTAAGTTAGTTTGATGCCAATTTTTATATGAAGACTGACAAACTAAAATTCGCTTTTATTAGTAAAAACTAAAACACTCTAAAATCCGATTCTAACGTATTGGGCTTGTCAAATCAAACAAAATAAGCCCAAACTCAAAGTATTTACTATTAGCCGTTGAAGAGTTCCACCTATCCACCTTCTGGCCTTACCATCAGATCAGTTCGACGATACCGAACCACTGCATTATCAATGAATATTGAAACACTTGCAAAGTTTCAAGTCAATATGACAATTAGAAGTAGGTTAAATTCATCATTAACTATTTTTCCACCCTTAGGAGTGGTATTCTTTTGAAATATAATTGGGATCTACCTGGAAGTATCACTTTCAAACAAAACAAAAATTGGCTAAATAGGTTAATAAATGACGGAGATCTGAGGTACCAAACATAAAAAAAATACAGCCGAATTGAGAACCTCCTCCTTTTTGAAGAAATCGGTTGAAAAATCAAGAATAAAATATAGAAGAAATCTGGAAGAATTGTTTTCTTTGATTTGATGTTACATATTAAAATATACACTTTGGCCAAAGTTTTCGTTGCTTTGTTTAACGTTGTTTAAACGAAGCTTAATTAAGAATAGGCAACGACCACTCAGCCCAATAGACACCTCACGCAAGGCGAACACTTTCAGTCAACACGTTAGACAAATACGTCTGACTTAAGAAAACGATCGCGCGATTTACTTCAGTAGCGACCACATCCGTGACCCGCGAACACATTGCTTGAGACTCGTGAATTTCCGACACAAAAAATACAACAGGCTCGCAACATGGCTCCCTGTACAATAAAATGGTATGGAAATAGTAGCCAAACATATAATTTAAAAAAAAATGGCATCACTTTTCATAGGTAAGTGAATTTTAATTTCCAAATTCATTAAATGTAACTACTTGTAAATCAGAGCTCAAGTTATATTGGTCGCAACGTTGTTGTATTCGGACATTCTCGGACTATGCATCCCTTTCTTTTCAATGCAGTTCATTGTTGCTATACTTTTCTTTAATTACCGGCACGTGTAACTAGTGCTGTACCAGTTAAACTATAAAATTTGTAGAAATAAGTTATTTAATTATTATAAAATGCATGATTGTAAATCTTAATTATTGTTATTTTTTTTGTTTATAATGACGATTTTAATTTTACTTCTTATTATTAACAATTTCTTTTGTATTATGACATTTATCTATAATAATATTTTTTTGATTTTTTTTTAATTTTCGTACTTTTAATTCATGAATATTTATATACACTAAATGTAAAGAATTAATAATTGTAATAAGTACCTAATGTTTTTTTTAAATAATAAGTTCATGTAAATAAGTAGTACGTTAGTTATATAGGTGTAAGGGGCAGTTTTCCGAAAACTTCAACCATGGATATAACTGTAAATAACCCTTGAATAAACCTTAAAAATATCTTAAAAATATTCTTTAAAACAGAAAATTATTTTACTAAATACGATACCTACCTACGATACGATATAAAACTTCTGGTTCCCATCACTATTTGTATTGAATAAATCAATCAGCGTGCATTTCAACCCGCCTCCCCCGTGACGCTTACCTCAGACTTTTGACTGAAAGGTTTGGATGCAGAAGTACATAAATTAGGCGTCTATCGGGCTTAGTGGTCGTTGAAAATAGGTCATTAATATGACCTATTCTTAATTAAGCTAAAATTATTTAAGCAATTTAAGCATTTTGCTGCATTTTACAAACAATCGTAGTATATAAATGCTTACCTGTCACTGTTCTGTGGGACATTGTAGTTACTTTAATAATTTATGTTAATAACCAGAAATTCAGAAAATGATAAACACATTTTCTGAATTATTTACAATGGTGTTAAACTGCTTTCTTTAGTGTAAAATATAATGTTAAGTATTTTAATGTTTCTTGTTTTAAGATAAGTACCTGGGCGACCGAGCTTTGCTCGGAGTTTTTGGCCAAAAAAAACATTAAAAAAACAAACTAAGAATTTGAATAAATACAAAAAAAAACACAAAATTAAAAACTTTGTGTCCGACGGGATACGAACCCAGATACCTGTGGTTGTCAAACTTGCGCGTTGGCCGCTTGACCATGATGCTTGTATCTGAGCGTGCGAAATTATCGAACATAATATTTTGCGTGGAATTATTAATTATTAATTTATTGAAATAATGCAAAAGCAATAATAATAATAATAAAGCTCTATTTATTTATTCATTTATTTATTATAAAGGCTTACTAACTAAATTTACATAAAAACATTTATTTAACATTATAATTTTGCCTATCTGTATATAAATTTAATTTAAAAGTATGCACAACTTTTTATAAAAGTATTCCATTAAAATTTTATTTGGCTAAGAGTATATAAGTAGCCATTTTAGTTGTACAATAAAAAAAATGTCTATATCACATTGCTGAAATATAAAATTATATAATTTAGTGACTATTTATTAACTTATAATTTTTTAACTAATAATTTTGTAATCTGGAATTAAATTATTTTAAAAAACTTCATATTATTTGAAATGATATTGTATATATATAAATTATCATTAACAAATAAATAAATAAACAATCACAATAAATTAAATAATTCAATTAAGTAAATACTAAACATTTCACAATAATAAATATAAATAAAATTTCTTTCCATACATTAATTCTGACAATAGTTATAAATTAGGTATTTAATTTCATGATTAAATGTATTTATTTAGTAAATGTATTTTTCATGTATAGACCCCTCTCGGTTAAAAGCCTCCTCCAAAGTAGTCCTGCATAGAGCTCTCCGTTGGAGATTATGCTTGTATGATTGCAAAGGGTTTCTTTTCAAATTTTGTTTTCAATATATAATTTGTTTCTGATATGCCTATAAAGTTTACAATTTTATCTTTGTGTTCTTTTGATTTGTTGTAAGAAATGCTGCTTTTAATTCTAGAAGTTTTTCTGGTGAAGATATGTATACCTTTGTTCATTGTATGTCTGTTTTTCTTTGGAGGGTTACGGTCGAACTCCCCCACAGTGACGGCCGTACTGGTGGATAAAGATGAGGAGGTTCCTACAGTGTTTAATATACTGTATCTTGCTGTGTTGTTTTTAGTTGTTCCTGGTTATCATTTGTGTGGTTGAAAGTTAATTTTGGTTTTTGTAATATAAAGTCTTTAATATTACCAGGTATGGTTTTCTTTGTATGTTGTTTATTTGTTAGTTTTTGTTTATAATTGAGGTAAGGCGTTTCTGGAGATACAGGCAGACTTCTTTTTTATTTCCGTTTAGTTTAAGACTATTTTTTCCTCTAGTTCATGATAGGATTTTTCACCTTCTTCTACTCTGAACATAACTAAGTTCTTGCGCCTAATATGTCTTTCTAAATTATTTATTGAGGTACTTTGTTCCTGGATTTTTTTCTCAAGAACTTTAATTTTTATTTCTAACTGTTTAAATTTCTCATTTAAGTATATTATTGTTGATTGTATTTTTAATGTCTTCTTTCATTTCTAACATTTCTGTTTTCTGTTATCTTATTTCTTATTGCATGTTTATTAGCAACTTTTTTATGTCCTCTATCTTAAGTGTGAAGTTGGAAGTAGAAAAGCTGATTGAAAAAGAGCACCAATTATACCTAGTTGAATTGCAATTTTATACCGAGTACCTATTAGTTTTTGAGGTTATAAACTTATGTTTTAATATTTGACGCTTTCACTTCACAAATTATTTTGTTTTATTGTCATCACACACAGAAAAGATGGTTTTGCACTGATAGTAGGTATCTTTAAGTTATGTTTGTCACTTTTGTATTTGTTTGGTAGGTGAATTTTTAAAAGCTCATTTGTTCTTCAACACATCAAGACTTGGTGATGTTTACATATTGCCCATAGGTTTTATTTAAAAATTTACCATTTTTCTTTAGATTATTTTCACTTAAATATATTTAAACTTAATGTAAATACGTACACGATGTTGACAGTTGCACAGTGGCGCCGCCCACTCACCAGAAGTGACAATGCAAAATTGTAAAAATGCAAAAGAAAATCGCATGAAAATTCGAAAATTCGCGTTTTTCCAGATAGAAGACTAATCTAGATCGATTTATCGCCCCCGAAACCCCCTGCATGCTAAATTTCATGAAAATCGTTGGAGCCGTTTCCGAGATTCGGATTATATATTGATATATATATATATATAAGAATAGCTCGTTTAAATATATAAGATAGATGTCGCTAGTAGTAAATTTAATCACGCTATCGTTTTGTTCATCTAAATTGCACCTATACAAGGATTATTATTATTTTTTTGTTCTTCCAGAATAATTATTCTTACGGACTCTGGACTCGTTATATTCTGTCGAGAAGTTTTAGCTGGTTGCAGATATCTCGCAGCTCCCGCGATATAAACAGCAAAAGGACAAGTATTATGTTTCTAAGGCGGTGCACATAGAACCTTCAAATGAGACAGTTCGTAGGCATCTCATAGTCCGTCAGCATGTCCTCTTCTATCAATATGTGCTTCTTTATTAAATAAAACTATCTTTTCGGATTATTTCGCGGATTTATTTTGATTTTTGGTTCCCGACGTTTCGAATGCTTTACAGCATCCATGGTCACGGGAGAGACCATGAATGCTGTAAAGCATTCGAAACGGGAACCAAAAATCAAAATAAATCCGCGAAATAATCCGAAAAGATAGTTTTATTCAATAATGTCAAACATTCGCGTAAATTTAAGAAAGTATTATGTGCTTCTTTATTAATTTAATCACTCAATTAATACGATCCTACAAACAATTTGCACTCTACAATTTATTGACAAGACGTTGTTTTTGGAACTCACGTAACATAACATAGATGATAACACAAAGTATTAACAGACCATGATTACTTAATCAGTATTTTATTATTAGACTACTCTTTTTAGAAGGTAGTGACTATTTCTCTTCCTCTACTTGTCCTTATCCTATGCCAGGTCGGTCATTGCTACTACGTATCTGTGTTGGAGAGGAACGTAGTCTTGCCAGTTACAAGGTTATACGATTTATCTTAAGTGTTTCCATCTCACAAAGTACTTAATCTATTTAATGGGACTTCAATCACTTCTGCAGGTGGAGGGTGACCTGTGAATTAAAGCTTATAGGAAATAAAATAGTGAATTAATCATTTGTAAACTATTTATTTTCACATTCTTACTTGGACTTATATCTACATATTATATAAACATAAAAATTCTGCTGTTTCACGTGTCTCGCGGTGCGTGCGCGGCGCGGCGGCGTAGCAGCACCGGGCGCGCCACCCCCGCGGGCGGACGCTTGGCCACGATGACGCGCGTGTAGCGGAGCTGCGCGGAGCCGCGCGCGGGGGCGGGCGGCGCGGGCGCGGGCGGCGCCCCCGTGGGCGGCGCGGAGGCGGGCGGCTCGTCGTCCGCGAACACGATGGGCAGCTGCATGATGTCGGCGGCGGCGAGCGCGGGCGGCGCGCGCGGCGCCACGCGGCCCTCTGCGGCGACACCGGGTTATTCGGGTTACGACACGACCGTCACCACTCAGTCGATCAATTTGATTAATTTTAACTTACCTATTATTTCGATAGAACGGTTCGCTCTGTAAAATAAAAAATGGGTAGTTTTAATACCGTATTTTTAGTTTATTATTGTCTTTAAGGTCGGTCTTTATCCAGCGAAGGAATATGCCGAGTATTAGGCCGACCGCACACGTACGGTTTCCTGATTCGGAGTCCCGAATGCTTGCCGTACGTACAAAATATTCAACCAGGCGCACACGTTTGTACATTTTCCGTTCGGAAAATAACTGACGTTCGATTCGGAAACAGGCCGTGGGTTCGAGGCATTCAGATCGGAAAAAACCGAATGCAGCGCATACATTTTTACTAATCCGCCGCACACGACTGGAAATTTTCATTCAGAATAGGAATGTCGACAGTGAAAAAAATATCAATATATCGATGTATTAATTTTTATTAAAATGTCAATGTCGACCTCGATATCCAATAAAGGAAAAAATATCGATATATCGGTTAAATTTTCAGAGATTTTTGGTTTTAAAATAATAAGTTAGTTACGCATGATGGTCGCAGCATATACACACACACATACACGCTACAAATTCAAAAACAAAATATTTTATTCAGCATTAAATTATTACAATTTTTTACTGAACATCATGAGTCTACTAATAACCAGTTCAGAAAGAAGAAGCCTCCGACCTGAGAAGAACTGGCGAAAGAAACTCAGCGGGACTAACGTTATCTATACATATAATAAAATTCTAACTAAGCCGAATCTGTACATTAAATATTTTTTGGAAAATCTCATTGAAATAGACATTATTATCGATACAGAGGCCGAATCTATAGTTTTTAGAATTTTTGTCTGTCTGTATGTCTGTATGCCTGTTACCGCATCACGGAAAAACCACTGGAGGGATTTTAATAGAATTTGGTATGGTAATAAATGGTTATCCGGGTCGACATATAGGATACTTTTTACTGCAGGAAATTATCTCATTTCTGAGAAAAAATACATAAACTGTAATGTGACAATATACTAATATATAAAACCTAAGAATTCGGTTTTTGGTCATCTGAACGCGGGCGGAGCCGCGGGCAATGCTAGTCTTTTTTATAAAGTTAAATTATAATTTACAATATTTCTGTCAAGTTGAAGTAGCCTGGAGGCGATCACTTCATTCCCAAGGCATTTTTGCGCTCCGAATTGCTTACGCGTTTCTTCTTAGGAATGCGACGATGAGACGTTGTATTTTAGCTTGCCGTGTTCAATGTTCATACTAAATTGAGTTTCATTCATACTTTTAGATTGAACATTGTCACGTGACTTCATTCATTTTTAGCATTTTACGTATGCGCACTTTTCAAATATTTCGTTACTCGAAAAGCTGCTTCTTATCCTGCGTAATTGGTCAGATATTACAAAACGGCACACAAATTGACGAGCGAGACGAGAAATCTTATTATTTGAATGAAATAAAATAAATTAATATGGAGGATTATTATTGTTTACGTCCAGCGTGACGTCACTTATACAGAGCGGTGTAGACTATAAAAAGCTCGATTATATTCCGTAATCTATGAGCTCGATCATTAATTATTAATTGAAAAGGGAACAAGAATATTGAAAATGAGTGCAATTAAGTATTATTAGTATTGTTCAGTGCCCTTATGTGATAATAACACCAATAAGACACAAGGCGAGACTGGAAAAACCAATCCATAAAATCAATGATTTACGTCTATAAAGATAATTTTGATGTAAGTATACATTACAGTATAAAATATTCATTGAACTATACTTACATATTGCCAGACGCGACACTGGTCACTGCTGTAGGTATGTTATTAGTTTGTATTTTGTTATGATATTATGCTTAGAGATGATTTAGGTTCCTTGGATTATTTTAAGTCAGATTTTTACACCTTATAATTTGTGTAATACCTAGTACTTAGATAAATAAAATAAAATAAAATCAGGGTTTTTAGCGAAAATTCCGCCACCATCATGACATCGATACATGATTTGAGTTGCTAGCTCGAATAAATTTGTTCGCCATGGTGTTGACCAGGAACGTAAGTAAATTTAAATATTACTTTACTTAAACGATTAAAACTTTGAGATTACAGAGAATTGAATTTTCGAAACTACACTGTATAAACAACAAACTAGCACAGATCATATAATACTATACTTGGCACTAATGACAATGGTAAGTGACGTCATGCACCGTAATTGGCGTTTGTAGTCACGTGATTTTGATATTAAAAAAATAATTAATTATGTTAAAAATAAAGAAAAATCATGATTTTTAATAATGAATTCTAGCCCCATAAACTACCGCTATACAAAACATCATATCATTTTATTACTACAGTCCAAGACCCTATTTGATAAATAAAATACTATAAAAATATAATAAATCAATCTCATCAGTAAGACAACGTAGGTAGTTCAAAGAGATGTGAGTAGATGGCGGTATTTATATTAAATATATTGGATTTTATAAATATATTTATGTAAAACTAGTATTCCCTGCGGCTCCGCCCGCGTTCAGATGACCAAAAAGAAATTCTTAGGGTTTTCATATTAGTATACTCCTATGTTGCAGATTTTGTATTTTTTCTCAGAAACTAGATATTATCCCGCGGTAAAAAGTATGTTGGCCGACTCCAGTGGTTTTTCTGTGATGCAGTAACAGACAGACAAAAATTCTAAAAACTATAGAGAGGCCGACTCTGTATCGATTATGTTTATTTCAATAAGATTTTCCAAAAAATATTAATGTACAGATTCGGCTTAGTCATAATTTTATTATATGTATAATAGAAAAAAAAGAATATTTAATTCCCAAAAAATATAGGTTGTAATACTTTTAATAAAGATAAATACAATAAAATCAAACCGTACTTTCACTTACTAATTGATGCGTAATGATTTTTCATAGATGGCCTTATTTATTTTTTATGAGGTTCTATTATTTTATTAAGTGTTCAATGTATTTTGCTAGAGTACTTTACATGTATTTAAAAACACAATAGACTTATAAAGAAAAAAAATATTTTCACAATTACATTTCTTTTTTTTTGCATTGATATGTAAAAATTGTATATTAATGTTTTTTGTCTGTTTTTTTTTGGAACGGCCTACCTCTGCTAAAATTTCACCCTTCGCCACTGCTACCAACATCCCTACTCTACGTACTGGCAGTCTTAAAGTCCCAAATACAAAAAATCTAACGTCTGCGCTAGTCTTATGGAATTCCGAATCAGAAAACCTATTCAAGAAACCGCACATGTGCGGCCGGCCTTAGCGGGCGGTACTTACGTCGGCGGGGGACGAATATCGTCACTCTCCAGCCCGGTGCTCGTACCTGTCGCAAATAGTAAAACATTTAAGAATATACATATATACATCGGGTATATTTTATAGCACGCATATACTACCTTTCCGCCTGGCGCGCGGCGGCGGCTCCGGCGACTCCGCGACCTCCAGCGCCCAGCGCGCGCACTCCTCCTGCAACACGCACGCGGTCACTCACCTCGCGCCGAGCTCGCCCGAGCTCGCCCGAGCGCGCCCGACGCGCGCGCTTGCGTCGCCCACTCACCGCGACGGCCGCGTCGAGCGCGTGCTGCGGCAGGCGCAGGCGCAGGCGGTGCGCGCGCGGCAGCCGCAGCGCGTCGTCCGCGCCCGCCAGCACCAGCACGCGCCGCGCCTCCCCGCGGCCCGCCAGCTCGGCCGCCGCGCCGCGCCAGCACTGCGCCGCGCCGCCACCCACCACGGCCAGCAGAGGGATCTCCACCTGGTGAGCGTATAGGTTGTCAGTTTTACTCAATACCTCACTAATCAGTCGTCATAAATAACATAGTTGTTATAATTTTTTTAAAGAGTATTGCCATAAATAGTATTAAAGAATAACTGACTTATGCATATGTCAATATGTCAAAGCAATAAAACTTCCAAAATCTATTTATAGCAGAAAAGCAGAAAATATATATAAAATCAGCATAAAAGTTTCAACAACAAACATTCATAACTGTAAAAAAGTGCTAAATGGTCCTCCTCGCCTGCAAGAGATCAAAATGGCGGCGTTGTGTAAACATTATGGGAACATTAGCATAGGTTCTAATATAAGAGCTGGATCCATAAGCTCTATAAGGAGTAAACAATAAACAACACCTACACAGCAAGGAATTAAGCCGGTAAAAATGATAAAATGAAAAAAAGTAACACATAGAATATGGTGCAGTTGAATTGCACTCAATAAGTGTACGTTGCACACAAGCTCAAGCTCTCCAATACTTCGTAGGAAAATAAGTGAAGTTACAAAACGTCATACATATCTATACTTATTATAAAAATAAGTCCCCCGGCCGCGTCTTTCTGTCCTCCTGTCTGTCCTCCTGTCTGTCTGTACGCGATAAACTCGAAAACTACTGAACGGATTTTTATACGGTTTTCAACAATAGAAAGAGTAATTCTTGAGGAAGGTTTAGGTATATAATTTATTATGCTTTTATGTAAATTAGCTGAAATACGGCGACAAATGTTGAAGAGGTCGCAAAAAATCTCGCCAAATGGGAACTTTCCACGCGAACGCCGCGTAAACTAGCAAAGATACAGTTAAGTAATGTACTAGAGAATTCAAAATCTATAAAAATGCTACAAAAAAGTCCGCGATAGCATATCTCTATCTCTTACGGTTGACTTACAATAACCACTTTTATGTTAACATTTTTAATTAAAAACATTACGTTATTTTCAAAGTTATTTTCTTTAGTTCGGTATTAATCCTTATCCAAATGAATATTTTAGTTAGCTTAGTCATTTAATGCAGATTAAAATTGCTCTTTACACTAAATCAATCAGATGAATAGTTTTTGAGATATCGTTGTTAGAAGTAATTAGTAGCGAAACATTTTTAATGCTTGGCGAGCATTGAGATGCCTACGGCGAGTCCATCCCCTCTGCCCCGCATCGCTCGACCGCCTGCTCAAGCTATATAAACCGGGCGATGTAGCGCGCGATCAAACCGCGAAAAATACAAAAACTGCAATGTAAGAGTATACTAATATGTAACACCTAAGAATTTAGTTTTTGGTCATCTGAACGCGGGCGGAGCCGCGGGCAATGCTAGTAGACTATAATAATTAGTATTTAGTATACGTGTTATTCACTAACTAGAAATGTGCTGTTTATGCTTTATGATATTTACTTAATTTTATATTTTTAAATTCAATTTTTTTTAAACACTTAAAATTCCATTTTTATTTGAATCTTGTTGTGGGGGTTGTTGATAGATGTAAATTGATAGAGTATGTAAATTGATAAGAGTCTACTGAGAATGTTTTAAATGCTTGATTTATTAGAAATAAACAAATAAAAAACCCCTCTGCAAGCTGCTACTGCATACGACCTGGCAGTTGCAAATACGTGGTTCCAGAAAAAAGATGGACACCTTATTACTTATAAAAGTGGCCCACACACAACACACATAGATTACTTCCTGGTCAAGCGCAATCGCCTAAACCAAGTTAAAGATTGCTAGGATGAAAGAAGATTGCATGCTGCTGAGATGAGAATGTAAAGGTGGATGTGTGGAGTGACGAGGATGGATAAAATAAGGAATGAGTACATAAGAGGAAGCTTAAAAGTACCACCAGTGACAGAGAAGTTGAAAGGGAATCGTCTTAGTTGGTATGGGCATGTGAAGCGGAGGGATGAAACGCATGTGACGAGAAGAGTGATGGAAATGAATGTAGATGGATGGAAAGGTAGAGGAAGACCGAAGAAAAGATGGATAGATTGTGTGAGACAAGACATGAAAGAGAAAGGGGTGAATGATGAGATGACGAGTAATAGGGGAGAATGGAAGAGGAAGACTTACTGCGCCGACCCCAAGTGACTTGGGAAATGGGCAGGAAGAAGAAGATTGACATAAATAGTAGTAGTGGGTACCTCCTCCAGGATGTCCTCGGGCGCGTCGCGCGGGCCCTCGGCGGTGAGCAGCGGCGGCGCCAGCAGCAACAGGCCGCGCGCGCGCGTCGCGCCCGCCGCCAGCCACACGCCCAGCGCCGCGCCCGCGCCCGCGCCGCCCACCACCACCGCGCGCCGCCTGCGGACACAGCACACGCCGGCTCACTCGGTCACTCGCCCGCTCTCTCGCCGCGTCGTACAGGGACGGCACTCACCCGGCGTCGGCCAGCACGTCGGCCAGCGCGCCGCGCGCCTCGTGCGCCAGCGCCGCGCACCAGCGCTCGGGCGGCGCGGGCGCGGCCGAGGCGGCAGCGGGCGCGCGCAGCAGGCGCGTGTGCAGCAGCGCGCCCAGCCGCCGCACCCAGCGCTCGTCCTCGGCCGCGCTGCCGCTGGGCGCCCACGCTAGCCACGGGCCCGGCGCACTCGCACTGCGCGGCTCTACATCGCATAATTTATAATTTATATCAACGATATGGAAGCAGCTCGAGTCGAACGTGAGTCGAAACGAATGATTCGTCGTACTCACCGCCGACCACCGCGAGCGGCTCCGGGGGCGGCGCCAAGTCGCGCGGTGCCGGCAGCCGCGCGGCCAAGGCGCGGCAGCTGGCGACGCAGCTCGGCCAGCACCTCGGCGTAGAGCGGCGCCAGCGTGCGCGGCAACGCGGCCAGCAGCGCGGCGTGCAGCCAGGCCGCGCCGCCGGCCCAGTGCGGCGCCAGCGCGCGCCGCAGCCGCCGCGCCGCCGCCGCCGCGCCCTCGCGCCGCGCCCAGCGCCCGCCGCGCGCCTCGCGCCCCGCCAGGCGCGCCAGGCGCAGGTCGCGCAGCGCGCCCAGCGCCGCGGCGGCCAGGCGCCGCAGCGCGGCCGACGGCGTCAGCTCCATCAGCCGCTCCTCCCACTCATCGTCCTCGTCCTCGTCCTCGCCGCCGCCGTCCTCGTCCTCGGGTTCGCGGTCGAGGGGCAGCGCGGGAAGCGGGCGCGGCTCCGCCTCGACGTCCACGAACTCGTCCGCCTCCGGCGCGGGCTCGAGCGGGGACAGAAGGACGCGGATCTGTGAGTTGGGCGCGGCTCCCCGCGCTCGCGCGTACGAGTGCTCGCCCCACACGTCCAACCGCGAATTCTGGAAAGTGGGCCGATGTTGTAATATCGTTAACTTTCTTTCTATTGTTTATACACAGTTCATGAAAGCAGACTTGAGTGGTCACTGTAGTTAGTATTTAAAAAATGAGATATGTATATTTTCCCACTCACGAGCTCCCCACTGACGTCAAGCACGTGCTTCACGAGCAGCTCATGCAATGTCGTAGGATCTATAGCTTCCTCTTCCATCTGTGTTAAGCTGTGATCCTATAATATAAAAATGGTTATACTTTATGAGCAAAAGATAAGACAAAAAAACTTATTAAAACACATCGACTTTAAAATTAGAAACGTGCGTTATCTACGCACCAATAACTAAACTCAATTTAGAGATATCACTCTCATTCTTAACTCAGAAGCATGCTTCATGCGCATCTATATTTTTTTTTTCATTTTTCTTCTATAATAATTTTAAGCATTTAAAAAATATATTCTTAACATTATTATTATCACAGATGCTCATTGGTTTTGTCACAACTCACAAACCAGCAGTCGCACCACGATCTCGTAATCAGAACAATTAAATAAAGAATCAAATAATTTATGATCCAAAAAATTAAGAAGGTGAAAACTACTTGTAATTCGTTGTGGTGATTCTGCAGCCCATAACAATTCCATTCCATAATTGGACCCAGTTATGCAAAAAACAGCCATGTGCGTAAAAGTACCAACAGAGTTATATGCATTTTTCTGTCGATAGTTGCACTTGGGTTATGTTTTGTTTTTCTGGTTATTTTAAAATTGAACAATATTTATATAAGTAATGTTTATTTTTTTATAATTATTTTATTTTTTATAATAAAATGCTTATAACTCTGTTCGTACTTTTACGCACATGGCTGTTTTTTTGCATAACTGGGTCCAATTTTAAGTGTATTAATCATTTTGAAGTTTAGGCATAGCCTTTTGAGCGCTATTTTCTATTTTTTAAGACGCTCATCAAATGACATCATAAGCTTTAAAATGTCATCTAGTTTATTATCATTAGATTTGGTGTGCTCGTTACGTTGAGCAATTGTAGAGCTTCTAGCAGTAATTTGAGTCTAGGAAACAGTTTTATTTGCAGTTGTAATGGTTCTTCAGATAGGATTTTGCTGGTTGTTATTATATTGTTGTTAGCAGGTGGTTTTACACTGGTAACATGCGGTTGTCGCATAACTGATGGTTTTTTGGCACTCCTTAATTCTTAATTTTTGAACTTCTTTATCTATCATGCAGCCTCTATAAGCTAGGATGAGCTTCACCACAGTGCACACATTTTGGTTTTTCTTCTAGTTTTCTGCAGTCTTTCTTTAGATGTTTGCCTGTGCATTTTACACACCTTGGCTCTTTGGCGCAATACTTTTGTGTGTGTCCATATGCCTGGCACCTCTTACTGGGGTATATTATAATAAAGAAAAACACAAAATCTGATATTATTGTAATGTTTAAAAAAGAATGTACACTATTTTAAGTCCTACAATAAAAAAATAAGCCTACAATAGTTTAAGATATGAATATCTATAGGTAAATATGTATTTTACGTATCGAAATATATTAGATTTGCTTTGCATCGGCTGATACCGACTTCCAAAATATCTGTTTAGGTATCTATTCCAAATGAAAACCTCAGTTTAGTTATTTTGTATATTTTAGTGCCTGGAAGTCGGTTTTTATTTTTTGTTAAAAAGTTTTTATGACTTATATAATAAAATATGTATTAATGAATGGCATAAATAGATTGTAATAATATGCTATATATATCTTAATGCATGTGTGTTTACATATACTATGTAAGGCAGTGGTAACTCGCTTGGGAAACGGAGTAAAGCTAGTTTAATTCCGGGCCTCACACCTCTGATATTTTCATGTGCAAATCATATTCCTACATGATTACCGCTTATCTCGCGGTGAAGGAAAACATCGTAAGTAAATTTTTGAAAGACACATGCAGTCTGTCAACATGCACTTGGCTAGCTTGGTGGACTATGGCCCGAATCCCCATTTTTACCAGTGCCCAGCAGTGGGACGTTAAAAAGGGCTGAATACCAACATAATACATATACTTGTAATTGTACTTTTGTGACTTAATTGTATAAATTTATAAAAAAATTCAATGTTTTTTTTTAAATATACAGTTCATAAAAACTAATTTGTACAACATAATGGTAACATAATCGATCGAATGGAAATAAATAATTTTAATTAAGTTTGAGTAATCAAATTAAAATGTAACAATTTGTAAGTAAGGATTATATAATATATATATATATATATATATATATATATATATATATATATATATATATATATATATATATAGGCACTTCAAGTCTTATAATAAAATTGTATTATAAGTATTAAATTGTATTAAAGTCAAATAAAATTAATAAATACCAAACAAAACTAACTAAAAGTATCTTTTCAAATCTATTTAGTTTGTTTGGATAAACAATGATATAATAATAATCTTTGAGACACATAAAATCTTAGTATCTTTTGTGACCATGATTGCTTTAAACTGTAAAGCATTAGCAATAGCAAATATCAAAATAAATTTACAAATACAAAATGATAAGTTAATTTTATTCAAAATGTCTAATATTCACAATCACATACATCTAAGAAAGTATGAAATGAATACTAAACTAATAAGAGTAATTAGTTTTACTACTATAGTAAAAAGATTTATGGTCTTTATTTTATGGTGATCTGCCACCAGCCTTCTTCCACTATAACCTCGGGAATAATGTGGTCCATCATTTTTAGAATGTGTATTCCATCAAGTATGCTATATATTTTACTAGTGACTCACTCTCACTATGTTTAAATGCATCTATAGGTGTCTAACAGTAGCCTATGTGATACTCCACATTATTGTCTGTGTATCAAATTTCATCTAAATCCACTAAGCCTTCAGCATCAAGGAGTAAATGCACACATACCAAATTTCATATTTATAATAATATACCATTCTTAGTTATGTACTTATGTTTTGTGCATAACTTATACTGAAGAGCTGAATGCCGTTCATACAAATTGATTTCAAGACACATTAAAAGATCAGTAGTGTCATTTAATGGGCAATTTACTATTGCTACCTGATAACTAATATAAAAGTATAATGTAGTCAAAACAATATAATATTTTAATGTAACAAAAAAGTGTCAATCATAAATATTTAAAACAGCATAACCAATTACCGCCAAGACCAATCACCAGTAATGCTGTTAAGACATTCTAACAGCATTACTGGTGATTGTAGGTACTAAGTTATTACTTATAAGTTACCGTAACCTCATATCCGGTAAGTATTCCGTCGTCCAACATTCCCGCTGTCAACACCATTGAGATGTTGTAGGTATGTTCTTAATAAATTTCATAAACGACAGTTAAAGTAATACTTTTCATCATTTAAAGTGTCGTCAAAAGCTTTAGTAACAAATTAAAAAGAACTAAAACGTTACTTTAATCAATCGTGAGTTAATATTTCCAGTAATTTATAGATTTCTGGATACGAATTACGATTAATCTAATATTATTTGTTGCATTCTTTTCTCTTTTTTGAAAGAAATAAAAATACAATTACAATACAACATGTCAACGTCATTGTCAATGACAACAGTCAACTGTCAACAACTATAGTCTATAGATGATACAATACACAGTTTACAAATATCTCTTCAAAAAGTATCACGGGCCGATTTTGTTGATTCAATTTGTTTAACAATCTATGTACATATGTATGTTTATTCATATATATGTGGAGTTCTAGTTCTAGAGACTAAAAGCGTGAGCCGATTTTGATGATTTTTGATACGCCGTTAGCGGTTAGACTCGTCTTGATAACGCAAGTGTCATAGATTTTTATATGTAGCAATATACTCCTACATATGGTCAAAGGCTATATAAAAATGATTAAAAATTAAATTGGCGAATTTCAGTCGCCAATTTCTCTTCAAAAAAATTGTTCCAACCAATCGAGGGTGGTTTCAAAATAAAGGTTATTAAGAGGCGATCACAAAAATGTATCCAACTTATATGGTAAAAAGTATTTAGGATAAAAAATTGCTAAATATAACTTAAAATGTCTAATTGGCAAAAACAAAAAAATTGTAAATAAAAAAATATTTTATAAAAAAAAAACTCGACTGCATAAAGGTACTACTTTCGTGTTCCAGTCATGGATGTTTATATTTATAATGAGTATGCATTTAAAGTTATATTATTATGTATAATGTATCAACTATCTGATAGCAATAACACAAGCCTCGTAGCTTACCATGGAACTAGATGGTGTTGTGTGTTAATTTCCTGTATGTATTTATAATATTTTATTTATTTATAATACTTTTATAATTTCGAAAAACGCTAAAACACGTATTTATTTCATTTTATTGAAGAGCATTAATACCAAGTTTCAAGTAATTCTGATCATAAATATTTTTTGGATTGTATCATATTGTGTTTTCCCGTGGAAATGAGATAATCTCCCGCGGTAAAAAGTAGCTTAAGTCACTCTCCAGCCCTCCAACTATCTCCACACTAAAAATCACGCCAATCCGTCACTCTGTTTCGACGTGAAAGAAGGACAAACAAACAAACACAGATTCACATTTATTATTTTGTGAAATTAAAATATAGGTAACAATCGCAATACTATTATAAACATAAAGGTGAGTATGTGTGTTTGTTGGTTACTCCCTTACGCTGAAACTTATATGGATGAAAAGGCACCTAAAAAGTAGGTACTATGTTTTATGTGTAGGTACTACTTTAAAAAATTGTTTTCATTTAGCTTAAGCGTTATTATTTAATTAAAATGGAAGACTGTGTGTATAATAAAAAATATAGTTATTAATTTATAAAAAAATTATATTATTTGATATCAAAAAAAAATGTTTCAATCTTTTTTCTTTGTTTCGACATCGCTCACAAGAGTAAATATATTTTCCGCTGTGTGTCTTCTATGAATATCGATGTAATTGCGACAAGTAACTCCACACTCCTAAAAGTGTTACAATATGAAAATATATAATTAAAATGATTTACATGAATTATCTAGTTACTATTAAATATTTTTAAGTATTAGTTAGAAAGGTAGACATTTCGCCTGCGTTTATGGAAACATATTTTTTCTTCTATCCTTATCCAAATTGTGCTTTCATCACCCTACATATTTTTTTATTTACTAACATAGGACGATGACACGTTTGGCTCAGTTTGTAGTAACTCTACTTGCTGTGCCAGCAGTCGCGGGTTCGAGTCCCGCTGGGGGCATTCATTTGTGTGATGAGCACGAATGTGTGTACACCAGTCATGGGTATTAAGAGTGATAAATGTGTAGTGTTTCAACTATCTGGTATCCATAACACAGGCCTCATACTTTACCATGGAACTAGATGGTGATATATGTTAATGTCCCTATATATGTATTTATATTTTTTATAGGAGGGAAAAAAAGTTTGCAACTTGTCAAGAAATCAAAATAAATAACGAGCAAAAACATTTTTATTTATCAACATAATCTCCGTCTCCGTCTCGTCCAGAGCTTCTATACCAATTGTAGAAATGATTCTATTAAGTCTACAAAAAACGGATTTAGTACTACTTCGATTGTTGATATATCCAAGTTTGTTTTTGCCGGTTGTTTTATTTCTACCTTTGAGTCCATTTCTCATCGATTACCACAAATTGGTAAAGTAAATGGTGTGAAAATCTCCAAATAGTTGCGATAAATTGTGGGACGAAAGGAAGAGGGACTCTTATCACACTACGAATTTTTCTGATATTTTCTTCAGTCTTAACCGTGGTGGGCTAGTCGGAGCTGGTGGATGTATTTTACATTGCAAGATGGAGCAGTATGCGTTAATGTTGTTTTCATGTTAATTAGAATATCATTTATTGACAATTTTACTTTAAACAAGTAACAAGACTTAATGACCGGACGGATGGTGTTCAATTTTCTCTATTTTTCAAAAACAATTGGGTCCAATACTACCGAATTACTATATAGCAAAAACAACTGTTAACATTGTAACAACCAAAGAGCGTATGAATATGATAAGTGAAAGAAATGTTGCTAAACATATGTTTAATGTGTACAATACTTCCTCATATCTATCAATCATCAAATTCTCATCTATCAACCTCATATCTCAAATCTTTTTTAACCTTCTCATAGCCCTACTTTTTTTTTTATTAAATAAATTATCTAATTTTTATTTGCAGTGGTATGTGCTACTACAAGAAGAATAGGTATATTTAATTGTAACATTGTTAAAAAATACAGATAATATATGTACATTAATTTAACTTACTGGTCCAAAAAACGTTTGTATCCAGTTTTGATTCATTACACATAAACTTTTATCCGCCACACAATTTTTTATGATAAGTTTAGCTCCCGTCTGCAAATAAAATATGTATATATATATATATATATATATATATATATACCATACTTTGCTTTGTATGGGCTGGCACCGATTTCGAAAATATTTTATTAGGTATGTATTTAATAGGTAGGCTTTAATTACTTAGCCAAAGCACACCGACTTCAAAAATATTTGATTAGGTATGTATAGTAAATGAAAACTACCAATCAGTTATTTTTTACTTTTTAGTGCTTTTGTTTGAAGTCGGTTTTTATTTTTTTGTTAAAAAGTTTTTATTTTTCCCTTTTTTGTGTAGACAGTAGTAGCAAAGTAAGAATTCTAACATGATACGCTTGTCAAATCAAACAAAATAAGCCCAAAACTCAAAGTATCTACTATTAGCCGTTGAAGAGTTCCACCTATCCACCTTCTGGCCTTACCATCTACAACACCATATCCGTACCGTAGGCCGTACTATCAACAGAAATAGAAACTTTCGCAAAGTTTCAAGTCGATCTGACAATTAGAAGTAGGTTAAATCCATCATTAGCTATTTTTCCACCCTTAGGGGTGGTATTTTTTTTTAATTTAAATGGGACCAATCTTTTTATATGGCTTTATTTTTATTAATCGTTTATACCTTTATAGGATTTCCGAGGCCTTCAAGTCGATCACGTGGCAAAAGTGGCATTGTAGTCCATCTACAGTTGCTGTCTTTGATCGCACTTAAGCGAATAGAAATTTTGTCTTCAGGGCCTGGTACAGCTTCAGGCGTGTATCGAACATACAGAGATGGTGCCTTGGAAAAGATACGTTTGTTTCTTAAGAAGTCATTGTATTATAAGGAATCGTTCAAAGAGCTACACAAAATATGATACATGATCAAAAACAATTAAACAAATAACCAAGCTCTATATATAAAATTTAAGTTTGGTGGATAGTCCCTCTACGCTTCACATTTGCCTTAGTCTTTTCTTTAGGTCTATTTTCTTTGAAAGGATAAACCCTTAAAATGTATGGCAGTGTTAAATTATATTATGATGAAATGAAAAATACGAGTATATGGAATCATCCCGGGATCTATCGTAACAGAATAGAATTTGAACCAGTCAGATCAGTCATGCCGCCTGTGAGAAAGTAAACATTTCTGTTCATCCTACTACTTATTTTTAAATGGATATAAAATCCCTATATTATTACACGATCCGATAATATTACTAGAAGTGTACCTATATAAGAAAAAAATTAAAAAGTGCCAAACTTACAAAAAATTTCTATGGCACACAAAACATCTGAATATAAGGCAACCATTTATTCTACACCGCCATTACCTGTGGATCACCATAATTTTCCGCTCTCAGAAGAAATTCATCCCCGTAATTCATTTTCTCTCCATGAATATTTTCATCCTTCGTACTAAATATATACATGCAGAGCAATAAAATGTATCATAAAATGTATGTTCAAACATGTTAACAAGTAAGAAAAATATTTTGCGAACTTTTAACTCGACTTGTATTTCTTAAATGCTACACGTTCTCATTATGAGGTCTTAAAGGAGTATACGAGTATCTGTCACAGACAACAAGCTTAATAATTAGCCATTCGATTAACAGCCTAGTCTTTTAACTAAACTAAATTAAGGGTAACCGTGTGACGAAAGTATATGAAATATTTTAAATAAAACTATCTTTTCGGATTATTTCGCGGATTTATTTAAAATTTTTGGTTCCCGACGTTTCGAATGCTTTATAGTAGGGGAGCCCAAGAGGGGATTTTCTGTAGTTACTCGAGCGCGGCAGATTAATATACAGGGGGATACCTTGTACCCGGTTAAGTACCTCCACAAAACATGAGGCCCATATATAAGGCCGCCCGTAAAGGATACAGGATCAGATTAGTAAAAAAAAATTGACCACCAGAAATTCTCGAGCGCGTCAGATTAAGGTAGGGTGAGTTAATTACATCCTAAAAAGTGTATATTCCACTAATCTGACAATTTGAGAGTGACGTAAAAAAAGGGGAGGGCAACAAAGTTGTAAAAAAAAAACGTCATCTCGACATTCTCGAGCGTAGCTAAATTTTTTTTATTTTGAAGGAAATAATGCAAGAATAATGAAAAATATATAATCTGACGATTTCCGCAAGCCGAAATAACAAAAATTCGTCGATAAAGTTAAATGCGTGCAGCTGCGTGATGCCTACATTTCCTTCTCCGCGTTTCTATTCCTCTTTCACTCTTTCTCTATCTATTACTCTCTCACTCCGTCCCCACTCTGGTTTCTGCCGCCATGACACCATCACAGCTGATCATAAAGAGTCTAGGGGTGTGCGAACATCGTTCGAATCGAATCGAATATCAATATTCGATTCGAAATTCGAAAAATTTCGAATAATTCGTGAAAATTTCGAATAATTCGAAAGTTTTCGAATAATTCGCGAATTAATGAAATATCTCTGGATCTTCAATTCGAGAGATATCGTGAACGAAAGAAAACCGAAAAAAAGTGTTTTTTCGGGATTACTCCGAAATTTTTGGTTCGATCAATTAAAACCTGAAAATAACTTATGAGGATAATAAAACTGCGTCGAATGCCGTCAACCGCGTGAAAATTGCTTGATGCTGAAGTAGAATGCTTGAAGTGTTCTATGAAACCTCTATCAGACTTTCGAGCTGGGAGAGCTCAAATGCATAGAAATATTATTTCTTTGAACTCTGCGAGCTCAAAATATCACATAAATTATATTTTGAGCTCAAAAATGCCATAAGTACAATTTTAAGCGCACAGGAATGGAATTAGCGGGAAGTTGCAGGTACGGCCTTTAAGGTGAACCGTTTTTCTAATTTTTTTTTGTCAGATCAGGCGAATCCCTCTAGATAATCGTCAGATTATGAGACAGTACGTTTAGAACATAAAGATGAACCATATATATCTTAATCTGACGCGCTTGAGTATTTCAAAATGGCGATTTTTTTTTGCACATTATGAAAATGGCCGCGAATTTGCGTCCCATCGAAATCGTCAGATTAGTGAATGAGAGCTTTTTTTTGGTGCAATTAACACTCCCTTAGAAAATCTGACGCGCTCGATTAAATTATTTTTTTTTTTTTTCATTTTCAACCCTTAAATACCACCCGCATCATGCAAACGATCAGATTAACATACGTACATTATTAAAAATACGTAGGGCATTTATGCTATCAATATCTGACGCGCTCGAGGATGTCTATGCAACAGTTTTTTTTTACATATTTAAAAATCTATAGCCACTTCCCCCACCGATGTAAAGGTATATATCATATAACATTTTTTTCTTCTTATCATCTAAGCTTTGCATCCCAATAGGTCTCTACGACGCTCGAGTAAATCCCCATTTAGCTTCGTGGGCTCCCCTACCATTACAGCAATTCCAATCCGCGAAATAATCCGAAAAGATAGTTTTATTTAAAATGTCAAATATTCGCGTAAATCTAAGAAAGTAATAAGTATATGAAATATTTAATTTTTAAGAATTATTTATGTAAAGTAATTAAATAAACAGTTCATGGCATAGCTTACTCGGATAAACAAAAACCTAGCCTGGTTAGGTTAAAACTGAGACCATAATGCCAAAAGCGGTTACGACTTTAAAAAAAAATGCTTTATTAGAATCCAAACATTAAATGAAAAATTTATAAACGAACTTAATGTTTAAATAACTAGGCTAGGCCAGTAGTTAAACGTTACCGATCCAAGTTATTTGTCTAGCTGTTTGATTGATGGCTAAATATCATTTAGGCCGTTAGTTGAACGGCGCCCTTTAGTTAAGAGACTAGGCTGTTATTTGAACGTCTAATTAAGCTAGTTGATGATTTTTTTAACAGATATCAAAGGCTCAATACCTAAAACAAAAAAAAACGTTTGATATACACTTTACATATTACATTTAAAAAATGAGACTAAATCACTATTATTCTTTGAGATTCTTTATTTAGAATGTCCTGTCTTTGCTTTTAAGTAAAAATATGTTATCTTATTCTTGAATCAACTTTTTGTCATTTTTATTTTTTACCCTTTTTTACCCCTTGTGCCTTTGACATGGGCATGTAGGACGTCTCTCTTACATCATCACTTATGTCATATAAACATTCCACCAGTTTCGTCTAGACTCTAGGTGTTAAAGTATTAGTACAGATCATATAATACTATACTAGGTATTAGTCAAAACACAAAAATTAATACACATAGGTATATATATAATGAGTAATATTTGAGGCTGAAAACTTATTATTATAGAAATTAAAATACAGCCTATATTACTTTTGGTTAAGTACTTTCCAATGGTGAAAGATGAGGTGTTAAAATCAGTTCGGCTGTTTTAGAGTTTACAGATTACAAAAAACAAACAAAGTTTTCCTCTTTACAACAATTTTTTATTAAATATGAATATTATATATATTATACCTACAAATATTTTCACGTAAAATTTTAAATTTCAATAGTATTTTACTTTTTAAAAGATAAATTTTTCACCTTAAAATAACAAATGTATTCCTACAACATGGCGTGGTGATCGGAGATAAAGTCATAAAACACTCATCGCTGATGTTTTGCATGTAATCTACCTGTCGTTCATTGACCAAACTAGATAAAGCCAATCCGTATTGAGCTTTACCACCAGCTGCGTTTTTCTTAGCTGCATAAATTAATTAAATTGTAATTATAAGTAAGTTTATCTAAAATGTTACTATTACGGATTCAGGAATATTAATTCATTTTTTCCTTTAGAATTTAGATACAATATCTTAATATACCTATATAATTCTTCTGTACGAGTGTTTGTCATCTAACTCCTCCTAAACGGCTTGACCGATTTGGATTATTTTTTTTTGTGTATATTTCAATGGGTTCCTGGATGAAAGCGCTTCTTTCGAAGCTACCTTCCTATGGGCTCCCCGAGAAATTTTGCAACTGGATCACCAGCTTTTTGGCAGATCGGAGCATTAAGGTCGTTGTCGACGGTGCTTGCTCTGATCCTAAATATGTCAATGCTGGTGTTCCACAAGGCTGTGTACTGTCTCCTACTCTGTTCCTTCTGCATATCAATGACATGTTGCAAATTAGCAACATTCATTGCTATGCAGACGATAGCACTGTGGATGCGCTGTACACTGGCCGCGCTAATATTTCTCGGGAATACGTCGACGAGAGCCGGAACAAACTTGTGTCTGAAGTCGAATCTCTGTTAACCAAAGTCTCGGATTGGGGTCGACTAAACTTAGTCCAATTCAACCCCAAAAAGACACAAGTTTGCGCGTTAACCGCTAAAAAGTCGCCATTTATCGTAGCTCCTCAATTTGAGGACACTCCTCTGTCTCCCACAGCCAGTATCGGAATACTTGGCGTCGACATCTCGAGCAACGTCCAGTTCCGTGGTCAATTGGAAGGTAAGGCCAAACTGGCCTCAAAGAAGCTTGGTGTGCTCAGCAAGGCGAGACAGTACTTCACATCGCGTCAGCGTCTTATTCTTTATAAGGCGCAAATTCGGCCCCACATGGAGTACTGTTCTCATCTTTGGGCGGGAGCTCCCCAGTACCAGCTACTTCCATTTGACCGCATTCAACGTAGGGCGATTCGAGTTATCGACGATCAAGCTCTCTCCGATCGGCTTGATCCTTTAGCTCTGCGTAGAGATGTTGGATCACTCTGCATCTTCTACCGCATCTATCACGGGGAGTGTTCCGAGGAATTGTTCGGACTGATCCCGGCTGCTGAATTTCACCATCGGACATCGTGCCAAAGTAAATTCCATCCACACCATCTCGATGTCCAGCGTTCCACAACAGTGCGATTTTTAAGGCATTTTCTGCCCCGCACAACCACTCTGTGGAACCAGCTATCGCCGGCGGTCTTTCCGAACCGCTACGACCTGGCTACCTTCAAGAAGAGAGCGTATTCCTTTCTTAAAGGCCGGCAACGCGTCTGCAAGCCCTGCGGTGTTGCAGATGTCCATGGGCGGCGGTGATCACTTTTCATCAGGTGAGCCTCCTGCCCGTTTGCCCCCTTAGTCCCATAAAAAAAAAAATGATTTAAAAACATAAGGGGAACCCGGTAGATGGCGCTTCAGTCGGCGGTGTAACCAGATTTTAATGTAAGACTCCATTATCCGTTCAATAAATAAATTTTAATTGTTGATTTAATAAAATTAAAATCGATGTATGTTATGTACTCTAAAACAGCGCCAGAAATTTTGATGAAATTGTCAGGGAATCTTTAGGTGAGCCCAGAAGCTGCGGGTACCGCTAGTCTAATATAAAATGAGACACTTCAGCCTTCTGATAATTGAAGATTTCTATATTAATCTATTGTATATAAATAAGAATCAGAATTTGTATGTTTATATT